TTGAGTTCTCTTCATTTATTGGGTTTTACTGTGCTCAAATTGCTTCATTTACTCAAATGGATTAAGTTCAGAGCACTCATTAGAATTAATTTTTGAGCTTAAATGGTTTGTTGCAATCGGTTTCCTCAAATGGTTTGAGTTACCTTAACTTATTGGGTTTTACAGTGTAGCAGTAAACAAAATGGTATAAATACTGTAATATTTTTGGTGTTAGTACTGTAAACTGTGGTATATTGTATTATGATATGTACAGTTAGTTGTAGAAAACAGTACAGTATTGGGTGATTAGTTTGTATTACTATAGTTGTTGTATACCACAGCCGATTAATTCAGGTACTTTACTATAGTATGGTTACAAAAACTCTATGGTTGGAGTTCCAGTGTTATTTGATCACCTGATGTGGTATTGTTTATGGATATCATGTATTATGCAGGCGGAAAGCAGTTAAAACATGTCCCCACTATGTATATAGTGTATATAAATAAATAGTATGTAGTGCTGGGTAGATTACACTTCATTTATACTTTAAACCTTAACTGGGCTACAAATAAAAGATTTTTGTTTTTTGCTTTTTGTTTTAGAAAAAAAGGTAAGACAATCCCCTAATCAACCTTAAAAACTTTTGATTAAACATATATGGAGATACTTTTTATTAATATATTTCTTTTTTTTTCCACATCTGCAATTTACAGAGTCAAGTCAAAGCACAAGTGAACATTATTTTCTAGTCTTCCACCACTCTCCTCTTTCTGAACAGACCATTTAACTTTATCTTATCATGATGCATTAACATTTAATATTTGAAGGAAAAAACAACAAGAACAAAAATGTATTAATTAAAATGAACGCTAAACAAGATGGCTAGGTGGTTAGCCTTGTCGCCTCAAAACAAGAAGGTTGCTGGTTCAAGTCCTGTCTGGGTCAGTTGGCATTTCTTTGTGGGGTTTGCATGTTCTCCCCGTGTTCAAGTGGGTTTCTTCTGGGTTCTCCGGTTTCCCCCACAGTCCAAAGACATGCATTACAGGTGAATTGAATAAGCTAAATTGGCTGTTGTGTATAAGTGTGAATGCAAGAGAGTATGGGTGTTTCCCAGTGTTGGATTGCGGCTGGAAGGGCATCTGCTGCGTAAAACATATGCTGGATAAGTTGGCAGTTCATTCAGCTGTGATGACCACTTGTAAATAAACGGACTAAGCTAAAGAAAAATGAATGAATGAACACTAAACAAATACATAAATAACTATAATAACAATTAATACATTAATTAAAATGTTACCAGGTCACATCAGTCAATAACTTCCAAATTATTCATACACTGTAAAACCTAACAGGGAAAATCACTCAATTAAATAAGTTAGTTTAATTTAAAAGATTTTAAACAGTTACTTTGACTTGATGAGAGAGTTATGGTAACTCATTCAGTTCAACTCGAACTGAATGAGTATTAATGAATTATGTTTTTTCTGTTTACTTAACTCTAATGCTAGAAGCAAAATCAAACCATTTAAGTAGCTTTTAGGACTTTTATTCTGTTAATTGAACTCATACCAATTTGATAACTGTTGATAAGTGTTTAAGTATTCTGAATGTTTGAGGATATATCAACATATTCATTCAGCTAAGTCTCTTTATTTAACAGGGGGCGCCACAGCAGAATGAACCGCCAACTTATCCAGCATATATTTTACACACACTGTAAAAAGTGAGTAGTTACTTAAAACAAGTGAACTAATTGACTTTACAAAAAATAATGAAAGTAAACCCATTGTTACTAGGAACTGTAGAGTTGACTAGCTGGCTTTTTTTATAATTATGCAAATTTTATTTACTTTAAAAAAAATAAAAGTAAACTGATCACTTTTTCAATACACATCTATTATATTAGCATTCCCCCAGCTTTTCTTTATCTAGCAAAATGACAGTAACTAAAATAAACCTGCTCTTCCAGACTCCAGCATGTCCTCTAAATTCAATACAGGCTATAACTGTAGGTTTTAAAGACTTAATGAAGCAACCAAATATGAAATATTGTAATAATTTTAGTAATGTTTTGAAAACAAAAGTGCTAAAATAGTCTGACAATGCAAAAAAGGATTAGTGACTTTAAATTAAGTCAGCTTAACAGTTCCAAGTTACAATGGGTTTACTTTTAATATTAATTTTACATTACTCAAACCATTTTGTTAATTAATTCATTTTCTTTTCGGTTTAGTGCCTTTATTCATCAGGGGCCACCACAGCGGAATGAACCGCCAAGCGGCTGCCCTTGCAGCAGTAACCCTGGGACTACTGGGAAACACCCATACACTCTCATTCACACACACTCATACACTACGGCCAATTCAGTTTATTCAGTTCAGTAAACAGTTTGAGCTAACTTGACTTATCAGGTTTACAGTAAATTGTCTTCAGATGTCGGTGCAATAGCCTAGTGGTTAGTTCGTCAACATATGGTGCAGTAGCATGCAGGCCCGGATTGGCTAATCGGGAGGACCGGGAGAATTCCCGGTGGGCCGGTCCGTTTTTTGGTCGCGAGGGCCGGTGTCCCTAGTTCCAGAATTGGTTGCTCTCAGCAGTCACACTTTTTAAAAATAATTTATTTATTTACTTGACCACAGCCTTCTTATTCATTATTTTAACGCAGCTCTGCTCTTTTTATCTATTTTCTCGTAGCCTCGTGAGCAGGATGCAGGTTAATGATGATATAACTAGATAAGTCACCATTAAACGCACAGCTGTTGTGGTACAGTGGTTAGTAAGTTAGAACATGACGCGGCCAACCTTGGTTCGGTCCTTGTCTGAGTAACAATTTTTTTTTTTTTTTCATTTTTATTGTTAAGACATAATACTGTTAGGGTTGTTAAACATTTGAAGTTCTAAAAGAGCTGTTTTCTCAAAAAAAGACGTGATAGTGTAATTAGAAACTGAATTGGAAATAACCTTATTTTAATATAGTCAGTGGTGAACTGAGGTGGGCCGGTCTGAGGCTTGAAACTCCAGGGCTGAAAAAGAGTCCCACTCCGGCCCTGGTAGCATGTCAGGGTGTCCCATGATAGAATCCCAGCTTGAGGACATTTCCCTACCCCCCCTCTCTCTCTTCCTATCTAAATACTGTTCTCTCTAATAAAGGCAAAAAGATTAAAAAAAAAAAAAAATGTCTTCAGGTTAAACATGATTTTTTTCCCCTCCAACAGGAACATACGATGAATAGAGGTGCTTTTTTATCCCCCCTAAAAACAATTAGAAGCTTAATTGATGTTACCATTTTCAATTGTGAACAGTCATGCTTCTGATTTTATGGGACTTGTGGAGCTGCGCATTGATGGATTTGCTCTTCAGTGTTTGGACTTCCAGCAGTGAAAATTAAACCTCTAAACTAAACTGAACTTCAACTCTGAAAACTGCCCTGACACAGTTTCAATATACTATAATTTTCCATGTAAAGCTGCTCTGACTCAATCTACACTGTAAAAGCGCTATAGAGATACCGGTAAACATGAATTGAGTTGAACAGTCAAAGTTAAACTGTATAAATCAATGTAGGCTTATTTCCTAAAAGTAAACAAATAATATATGACCACATAATCCATAAAAAAGAACCGCAATGTGATTATGAGCATTTAAAACATTTGTAAATATATCATCTGAGTACTAGTGCATATTAATAGAAGTCTATTTACTTAATCAAGACCACATGCAATCTGTTGCATCCCAGGATTGTGTAGTTCATTGAGTTTACACAATGGTCATTTTAATATAGAAAGAAGAAACAAATGTGTTTCTCTTTCCTGTTTATGTGCACTATACACATTTTTTTTAAATTCCAATTTATGGTACCTGTGAAAAATGTAGGTAGTATAATATCTCAGGTGACTCTCTGAGCAGTGTGCAGAGGAATAATTGAATCAGAGTGGAACTTGTATTAATTTTGGCTCTCAGTGAATGTCACACAACTAAAAGGGGAAGTTCAGAAAAATCACAGAAGCATTACCCCGAGCAGTTTTGCTGTTACGGGGCTGTGTCTGTACCCGAGAGTGAGTAACATACGCTTACTTCCCCTCTGGACTCTCCAGCTCTGAGCCTAGGAGTCATGAGACTAAGCACATGACAATGTACACCTCATTCAACGTCCACAAGCAATGCTAAATGAACACTCCTTCAACATTTCATTGACATTTAAAGGATTCACTAAAGCTTTTTTCCAGTGGTAATCTACCAATAGCTGCAGTTAATGCATGTATTTTGAGCCTTTTCTTGTATTCACATAGTTTCATCCCAAAGAAATGACGATTCTGCCATCGTTTACTCACATTTTACTTCATTCAAGCCTTTAAAAGTGTCTTTCTTTATGCTGTTAAACTCAAAAGAAGATATTTTTACAAATGTTCGATACTCGGTTGACTTCTGTGTTTGTTTTCCCTATTATATTGACGTCAATGGTTAGATACAAGTTTTCAGCTTCCTTTAAATGATCTTTTTGTGTATGTGTGTGTTTAACAGAAAAAACAAAAAGGTTTTAAACGCTTGACCGTGACTAAATTGTGAGTAAATGTTCATTTTTGTGTGAACTACCCCTTTAACACTGTTATAATTGATGTAGTTGAATCATAAAAAGAGTTTAATCTCATCCATATGCTATATGTTGCAAATTTCAGGTGGTTATCAACCAATTAAACAAGTTTAACCAGTTAAATAACTGGTTTCCAATACAATATTCTTCCAATGATCTTGGATAGCCTGTAGATCGTTCACACAACATAGTGGAAGCCTGCAATGGAACGTACCAAAAATGCTTACAAAATAGGGGTGTCTGTAAAACGACAAAACCATCGAATGCTCGAACAAAACTATTTACGTTCATGCAATTCTACTAAAACGCTATAAAAAATCATCCATGCGATCCCGTGACAGTCAGTCATTGCACAATCCTAAAAAGAAATATCTTGCGCACTCATAAGTCATCCCCGCAGAAGCGGAAATGGACCCTGCACTCATGTCTTGATCATGTGACTCTCTTCATTTCGCCATTTTCTTCCTCTCCGCCGGCGACCAGCCTCCTGTCGGGTTCGTGACCGTCTCTCCTGCTCCTGCAAGACCTGTCAGCCAAAAGAAGACCTCACTCAGAGTCTAAACCTGCTAGACTGAAGCTTTCCTCCCTTTTCTGCCTTTAGTTTTAGTCTCCCGAACGCGCGAGAAGAATGGACACCCAGAACCCCCAGTACTCTCCCTTCTTCGCAGTGATGGGTGCCTCCTCAGCGATGGTGTTCAGCGGTAAGAAACGCGTCGTTTAACCCCTAAATTAAATGTCATTCAGTTGAAATGCTTTATTGAATGTGCTGTCTCTTTATTGAATCGCTTGCTCGTGTATACCTTTTGTAGGACGAGAAGATGGGATGCGAAGGTTTCCATCACGGCACATGACGTCTCAGTTGACGTAATGTCCATAAATTATTTATTTCGTTTCATTATATTCCCTTCATTTCGCTACGTGGAAAACTTAAGACGCCGTTCCCGTCTCGCTTGAGCAGGGTATCCTGTTGTAATGTTTGCGCAAGGACGTTGTTTATTTAATGTCCTTTATTTAAACCTTCCTTTGTGATCATCTCTAATGGCAGACTTCATATATTGGGCTGGAGTCTGTAATAAGAGCAGCGTCGTCTCTACGCGATTGATTTGTGTCAGGCCTAGACCAAATGCATTACTTGATTAACATAAACAGGTTCGCTCTTATCAAATGCGACAGCCCTCTTTTTGTTAAAACACGAACTACACGCCCAGGCAAAACGTCCTTGTGGCAGCTGTAATGTCCATTTTGGAGACTTCCTTGTTGTTTTATTTTTCGTCAAAGGAAAGGTATCACGTAAGTGCTTATTAGATTGTATAAGTGCGGTCTCAGCAGTCTTGGAGTGGTCCAAATAAATGTTGGATTCCTATAAAGCAAGTGACTCGCTGCTGTGATCATGTGACTGAAGGCAACTGGCATCGCTCTGTGTGTTTTGCTGACCTTGCCTTTTAAAACTCTTAAAAGCAGCACAAAACAGGTGAATAAGGTACAAGAGTGTACTGTTTGAATATTTATTTGTTTTATTAAAGCAACAAGTCATCCAAAAATGAAAATTAATGCATCCTCAGTTTTTAACAATTGAGTCTTGTCTTGTATTGAAGAAGAAAGAAGATGTTTTGAGGAATGCTGGTGCATATTAGGCATAGGACGATAACTGTTTTCAAGGTATACCGTGGTTTGTAAATGTCAAGGTTTTAAAACCTTCAAAATTTCCTGCTATACCATATCTACGGTATGTGTATTGTTTTTATGTTTTTTGTTTGTTTGTTTTTTAGCACAACAGTATCTTCAGAAGAAAATATATCTAAAGATGCTGTTTTAAATTGCAAAAAAAATAATAATAATAAATTGAAACAAATTACAACAGTAAAAGCCAATAATTAATTTAGCCTGACATGTTTACTCTTCCAAAATAGGTGAAATGTTTCTCAAAATAAAATATATTGTGTTCAAAAGGGTAAAAAGTTTTAGTGTTTTTTTACCCAGACATTTTAAAAGAATCTATTTTAGAGCAGTAATCACAATACTGTGAAACCGTGATATTTTTATTTAATGTTATCACACCGTCAGAATCTTCTTATATCGGCCCGTACATTGAACATATTTTAATGAACACAATTTATTTTATTTTAGGAAACATTAATAATATTTTGCAACAGTAAACATGTCAGGCTAGATCATTAAAATGAATCATTGACTTCTGCTGTCTTTATTGGTTTCAAAAACACAGATTTATTTACAACACGTTAGGAACTGTAAAATAGAAAATTTTTGTAGTTTTAAAACCTTGACCGGTTAACATCCCATGCCTAGACTGTACAATATTGGACTTATTACACATTGCAATATTTTTTATTTTATGATATGTATTGTTTTATGAATACAATTTCACCAGATGAGTTGATTAAATGTTTGGAAAAATTTGATCATTTTAGATTGCTTTGGATTATTCTTTAGGAGAGTGCATAAAATATAATAAACAATCCACACTGAAAAAAAATGATGTCTGTAAAATTGTTGCAAATAATTTGTGTTGAATTTAAACAAACAAATGAAATGTAGTAATGTTTAACTTTAATTTGTATGTTTAAATTCAGCGCATATAAATTTACAACCATTTAACTTTAAAAAAAAATTAGTAAATCCAAAGAATCATCTCTGTATGGTTTTTTTCAGTGTACAATCATAGATGAGTTCAATAAAGACATATATGCTAACTATACAAACAGCATTTTATTTTCTTCCGAAGAGCTTAAATGTATTCAGAAATGCAGTAATTTGATAATCGATGTAAAATAATGCTGCATAGTCTTCATTTTATAACCAATTCAGAAAAAATATTGTTATTGTACAATATCTTATGCCTGAATTCTTTTAAAACCCTCACACAGTCACAGGCCTCAAAAAACCCTTGTGAAATGATGAAATTATAATCCAGACTCAACATTGCCTATAGTCGTGATGTGACTATTGCGAATGATCACATAGCAAAATCAATGCTGAAACGGTATATTGTGCAGCCCTTACTTAAAGTTACAATTTTTTAAATTGAGATTTGCATACATTACAGTGCAGAGACCAACATTTTTACTGTCACTTTTTTTCCAACTCTGGTAAGTTTGCACACCTGGAAAAGGTACAAGATGACAGAACCAGGTTTGAATCTGTTGAAAGTTTTTACAGTTGAGATTTTGGGTGTCATAAATCTGAAAATATTTCCAATGGCTAGAAAAATGAAGAATTAATAAATAATAATGGAAAATATTTTTATTTCACCGAATAATATATGAAACCACAATGCCATATTCAGCGTGATGCTTTTAGATATCTCTTATCAAGGCAGAAACCAGAAAATATTTTCAACAGAAAAAATTAAGTTTTGAGACGAACTGTTTTATAAAGCAAATTATGTATCAATAAACACTCTGTAAAAAATAATCAAGCTTAAGATATTAAATGTAATTTATATCAGGGTGTAAAATAGGGCCTTAAATAGTCTTAAAATGTCTTAAATCTCAGAAGCTAAATTTGAGGTTTTAAAAAATCCTAAAACTACTAAGATGGAGTGTTATAAGCCTTAAATCTTTTTTTAACAGGTCTTAATTTTCCTTTGTTCTTGTATAGTTATTCAATCTGGCCATTAACACCCATGCAGTCACTAGCAATCCACTTTTTATTTAAAAATTGCAATTTAATTGTTTTCCTTACAGTAACATTTGTTTAAAAGTTCTTTTATTTGCTGCTGAGGATACTGACCTGACCTTTTTTTTTATTATTATCATTATTTTGTGATGGGTCACGTGAAAATCTTTACCATCTAGGATATTCGACAATAATCCTTATCGTTTAGCCCTGTATAAGTCTAAAATTTCCTACAGAATGGTCTTAAAAATGTCTTAAATTTAATTTGGTGACACCTGCAGAAACCTATAGATAGATAGATAGATAGATAGATAGATAGATAGATAGATAGATAGATAGATAGATAGATAGATAGATAGATAGATAGATAGATAGATAGATAGATAGATAGATAGATAGATGGATAGATAGATAGATTATGAAAATCGCTTTTATTGCATCATAAAACGGATGATACATCAGAAATTACTCTCAACAGCCTTAAGAAATATATTTGAAAAGAATTTATATAAATCATTTGAATGGTACTAAAATGGTTAATAAAATCCCTCTGTTATAATAATGATAGGGGTAAAATAGGCCAAACCCTTTCTGATTGACCAGGAAATGAATAACAGTACACTGGTTTTGTCTATAGTGTGTTATCTAAAAACACTTCTGCGGTGTTGATGGACAAACTGGTGTGTTGTTAGGGGCTGATATTTAGTACATATGTGTCAGAATCATGTGGTTGTTGTGTAGAATGTGTGGTTGTTTGCGGTGCTGGTGCTGTAATTAGTTACAAAGTAACTAGTTACTGTAATTAATGGCTTATCCACTGAAAAGGTAAAGTAAGTGATCACATTTCATTTCTAGGTAATTGAATTAAAGTCATAAATAATTCAGTTAACAACAACAACACTTGTAGAGGATTTCAGAGTCTTTTTGTTGTACAAATATATTTTGCAGATTAACACTAATCATTTATTTACAATTGCACTTGTACTTAAGAGAAGGAAGAAAATTATATATAGAAGGTACATTTGTCTGACAATTGCACATGCGAGAAACAGTGGATGAAGTAATGAACACTATTTTATGGGGTCTTATGGTCTTTACATGAAACATTTTAGTACATATAATGTTTATCTTTTTTATATAAGATTTAATTATCTAAAGCAAATGTAAAAGAACAAATAACAGTACAAAATTGATTACAGTCTAAAAATAAACCACAATATAACCCAAATATTGTGCAACAAACAGTATATGATGTGCATAAACAATATTTGATCTGCATTCATTTTACAAATTAAGCATATAAACAGGTCAGTATTGAAAGTTGAGGTTGGCAGCATGGTGTATTAAATAAAATAAATAATGACAATAAAAAAAGGAAAATATATTAAACTGCTGAGGCTGGGCTTTAATGTAAATCATTTAAGGTTTTGCCTTTTTTAAATAAAGTTAAAAGGCCTTTTGACTAAAAATCAAATGATTAAAATACTTTTTGCTTTTTTTGAGGAATGCCATACAATTAATAGACTAAGTAGTATTATTGAGTCAAGTAACTAAATTACTTCAGTAATTAAAGTTAATTTCAGACTAAGTAAATACAAATTGAATACTGTAGTAATGAATAACTTTAAATTACTTTCCCAAGTACTAATAGTTTGTTAAATTTGGTATTTGCTCAAACCTACAATGTGTGCTTTTTCCTGTTTTGACTGAGCGTGTCCCATCAAAGTGCACGTTTTCCTCTTTTCTCATGTTAATTGTCCTCTGCACTCAGAACACTCATTTATTGAAAGGGGACGAAAAACCTATTTGTACCTTGTCTAACTGTGCGTTCACACCGAAGGCGACAACGTTGTCTGCCTTCACAGCTCCAGCGGCGAGAGCATCAAAATTCACTTCATTGATCTCGTAAATAAAGGAGCCGTTGCCACATAAAAACATGTGTTCTAGAGTGAATATGTTGCACACTTTATATCAAGTTTATTTAACAATGAAAGATCAAGTTGTTTCAGGTGGTGTGGCAATGCTCCACTTATCCAATATGTGTCTATATGTCTGAAATATTCTGAAGTCGTTATAGTTAGCATGAGATTTCCCTCGGGAACAACTGTGGTCGGAACCAGAGTTCACAGGACTGTGTCCTATGAAAAACTCAAGCGGTGGACATAAACATTCTGATCGCTCGCTGAACCGCATCATAGCCCATTACCATAAAGTTGACTTGATTTCAACTCTCTTCGATGGGCAAAGACATTCCGTTTCGTTTACTGTCGCCAGCTCCCATTGCAAATGAGTGACTTCCAGCTACTTTGATGCTCTCGCCGCTTTCGGTGTGAAAGCACAGTAAGAATATTTTGATGATAGAATGTATTCTAATAGAATGTATATTTTTTTAAATAATATTAGAGAATACTTTTATTCCAAAATGTTTTACTGGAAATGTTTTAAAAGGAGGAATCAAACAGCAAGATTGTTTATGACTCTTTTCAGTGTTGTATTGTTTTTGTACAATGAATGTTAATTATAAGAAACTGATATGATTGCGTATTATAAGTTGTATATTTAGTATAGGTTTTGCCATCGATGTATCCAATGCTGCTGATATGACATGAAAGCATAAATGAATAATTGTCCTCCTCTCTCTCTCTCTCTGTTTTTAGCGTTGGGTGCTGCATACGGGACTGCTAAGAGCGGCACAGGCATTGCTGCCATGTCAGTGATGCGGCCAGAGCTGATCATGAAGTCCATCATTCCCGTGGTCATGGCGGGTATCATTGCCATCTACGGCCTGGTGGTGGCTGTACTTATTGCCAACAATATCGGTGATAAAATCTCGCTCTACAAGTGAGTCATGCGTATGCGTGTGTGTGTGTGTGCGCTGATCACAGTTTTCCTGGAAATCACTTTGAACTTACTCTTAAACAACAACCAGCATATTTGTTGCTGGTGGCTTATTGTGTTGTCATTTCAGATGTTAACTGTGATATTAGTTTGATATGCAAATAATCAGGAAATAGTGAAATTACATTTTCATTTTATTATAACAGTTGTCTCTTTGTTTGTTTGTACCCAATCATTTGAATGAAATGGAAAATCTAAAAATAAAACCATTCAATCTATCAAATTCTGCAATATAATGTTAATGGTACTAAAATAACACTGCTATGTTGAGGTTTACAGTTTCTTTTTGTTGTCAATTATTATTTATATTAAATAATAATATATTATTTAAACTTATTTTTTATTTTATTTTTTTTATTTATTTTTGCCATTTTTGCCTTTTATTTAGAGGATCTGCGACATCTTATTATTTTTTAATAATTTATATAGTAATTGTTATATTAAAAATGCCTGAAGAAGTTACTTTCTACCTTTTAAACTAAAGTGTTCGCATGGTGCTTTAGGGCAGTGTTTCTCAACCTCGTTCCTGGAGGACCACCAGCACTGCATGTTTTGGATGTCTCTTTTGTCTGTCACACCCATTACAGGTCTTTCAGTCTCTGCTAATGAGCTAATGATTGGAATCAGGTGTGTTTGGTTAAGGAGACATGGAAAATGAGCAGAGCTAGTGGTCCCCAGGAATGTGGTTGAGAAACACTGCTTTAGAGGATATTAAAAACGTGTTGTTTGTTTCTTTTTCTTTAATTTTTGCAAATTATTTATTATTATTTGTATATAGTTTACGTTGTTCTAGACTAATGACACTGGTAGATTTATTGTTTGAAATATTAAGAACTGATTGAGGCTTTTCGTTTTTTATTTTATATTTATAAAAACGATCCCATTATTTCAAGGCTTCTTTCAGTCAAATCCAGTCAGTTATTTTGGGCATTTCCAGCTCTACAATAGCAAGAGTTTGCTGATTTTTATCAGCAGTCTAAAGAAGTCCAAGAAAGCACATCCATGTTATTCTTTTGATGTGTATTGTTTTGGTGATTTTAGCGCCACCAACAGAAAGGACTGTTTTATTTGTCCCTCTTCACTGCACTTCCATGTCATATTTAAAATAGCTCTGATTGGATTGCTCTAAAAAAAGAAAGTCATACACCTAAGATGTGAAGAGCATAAATAAAATATGGGGTCATTTTAATTTGAGTGATCTAACCCTTTAGTACAAAATCCCAATGGCAGTATTCATGTTATATTATTACAGGAGGGTTAAGTTAATGTCTAACTGTATTGTTTAGGGATGCACCGATATCAGTAACTTTCCAGAATTGCAGGACAATATATTCGCAAATAAATTACAATTTTTTTTAAAATTTTCCTACATGTTTGCAAAAACAAAAGGCCAAACACACACAGAGTTTTAAGTTTCACTGTAAAACTTTAACTTCAGAATTGTTTGAACTGATCTCTGAACTGTATTAATTAACTTTTTTTTCTGTGGCCAACTTTCTCTTATAGCAATTAAATCTTCTGCCTGAAAAAAATAATAAATAAAGCAACCAGGTCACTAAACATTAACCAAAATCAAAATACCAGTAAAATAATAAAAGAAAGTAGCAGGAAGCAAACATTAGAAGTCGTTCAACCAGTGGAAACATACATTATTTATCGGCCTAAAAAGATAACAGACTAATTTTGTTTTAGGACTGATAATAATAGCAGTTTAAAATGGCATTTATCAGCTGATATCAACATGTCCATCTATAGTTTAAGTCAGAATTATTAGCTCTCCTGAATTAATAACCCTTTAACTAACTCACCAAGAAAAAAAGTTTGTGTTGGATTTCTTAACCCCTAATGTCACTAGTTAACACACACTCAGTGCATTTTTTTCAACATCTCATAATTTCTAAAATATCAACCTCTACCAAATGGTAGATGTTGTCGGTTTATGGGAAAAGTACCGGAATTACTACATATACTATGAAAAACCTGAAAATATGAAGTGTAAGACCAATTTATTTTAAAAATATTAAAAATAAAACATTTTTGAACAGTAAACCGTCGTTTTTTTTTTTTTTTTTTTTTAAGTATGCCATTAAAATCTTTTAGGGTGCTTTCACACCTGTGAATCGATTCAGTTGTTCCGAAACAGAGATTACAATTGTTACATTGTTGCTCTTTGCTCTTGAAGCGGTTCGCTTTCACGTTGCAAAGTTTCTAATCGGACCAAAAGAGCTAAAACAAGTCACGTGCGAGTAAACTCACCTCACATTGGTCAGAGTGTCAGGGTTTATTTTGCAGCGTCCCGCTAAACTGTCAGGAGAGGTGGTGGTTTGATGGTGATTGACAAAGTGCGCACGCGCGCGACGTGTCTGAGGAGAGACGCGGTGGGGAGGGGTGAGAAGGGTGCGCGACGATGCCTATTTGAGGACCGGGAGGAAGACGCGAGATTACCGGGAGATCATCACTCGTTTGCGACCATCCGGAGACTCGCGAAACTTCCCGCCATGCTCATAATTCTCTCTTCATATAGCCGTATATGCCTATTACATATCCATAAAACACTGTGATATAACCGCGCTCGGATCGGATCGCTTTCTCACTGTAATCAAACCGCTCCAGGGTTCATTTCAATCGAGCCGAGACCACCTCATTCAAGCGATCTCGGAGCGATTACTTTGGCGCGGAACATAGCGCTATTGCCCTGTTCACATATGCCAATCGAACCGCGCTAACTGGGCAAACGAGATACGTTCCGAAACAAAAGTGTAGGTGTGAAAGCACCCTTAGATTCTCATTTAACATGTTTTTTTTTTTTTTTTTTTTCAATAAAACCAAAATCAAGCGTAGTAGTGCAACAGGATTGTTTTTTTTTTTTTTTTTTTTTTTTTAGTAAACCATCAATGCTCAGTGTGTGTAAGCCATTATTTAAAACAGTCATTCTTTAAATTAATTTAACAGTCATTGTTTAAAACAGTAAATACATGGTCAACCATTTGGTAAAGGGGCAGTTAAAGGGTTAACAAGGAAGATTTCTGAAAGAAGAAGGAAGACAACACATTTCTAAGCATTATAGTCTCAACTCATTTCTAATAACTTTGCTCTTATTTTTGCCATGATGACAGTAAATAATATTTTACTAGATATTCTTCAAGATGCTAGTATTTAGCTTAGTGACATTTAAAGGCTTAATTAGCTTAATTAGACAAGATTTTTTGTATAGCGATGGTTTGTTCTGTAGAAAATTGAAAACAAATATAGCTTAAAGGGGCTAATAATTTCGACCTTAAATGGCTTTTAAAAAATCAAGAACTGCTTTTATTCTAGCCGAAATAGAACAAATAAGACTTTCTAAAGAAGAAAAAATATCATTGGAAATATTGTGGAAAGTTTGATCTCATTTAGGAAATATTTAAAAGAGTACATATCGTGCATTTCTAGGAAAGATCTTTCATGTCTTCATAATATAAAAAACATTGTCTCTGAAATCACTATGTAAATGTGTGTGTGTTCAGGAGTTTCCTGCATCTGGGAGCGGGTCTGAGTGTGGGTCTGAGCGGTCTCGCTGCCGGCTTCGCCATCGGGATCGTGGGAGACGCAGGTGTGAGAGGAACGGCCCAGCAGCCGCGTCTGTTCGTGGGCATGATCCTCATCTTGATCTTTGCAGAGGTGCTGGGGCTCTACGGCCTGATCGTCGCCCTCATCCTGTCCACTAAGGGTTAATCGTTGCTCCTATCCTCTCTTACACATGAACAAACACACACACAGACACACACACCAACACAAATGATATACAACGAGTAAACTTCACCGCCTGAATAACGACGAGAGGAATTTTTGCGTGCATGCGTGTATCGTGAGTGTGCTGTTTGCGATGAGTGAGCGTGAGATTGATCTTCCTCTCTGTGTAAAGTAGCCCGATGTGTGTGTGTTTTTCTTTCCCCCCTGTAAATGCGCTGTGTAGCTATCGCTCTCGTCCCGTGTGTGTGTGTGTGTGCGTGCGTGTGTTTAAATATAGACGCCCTCTTTCTCATACGCTACACTTTTTGTTTGTCATCCTCTTTTATTTAGTTATAATTTTACTCTCCTTTAAAGAACAAATCAACTGTTTTTGTTTAGTTCGTTTCTCACTTTTGGGACCATTCATTCCAATTATTAAAACACTGATGTTGAGGACCTAAATGTAAAAAAAAAAAGATGGATTATTGCTGTTTGTTTGTTTTGTTTTCTGTTCCTGATGATTATTTATGAAGATTTTGAGATGTTCATTAAACAGTTTAAGTGGATCAAAGTCTTTATCGAGAATCCTGACTATATATAAATGGTGTGAGCGTGTATCAGAAAATATATATATGAATATATCTGTATAGGTGAGTTGCACTGTGGAAAATTTGTCAGTTCTTCGGGTATGTAATCACTGATTGCCATTGAGAGAGTTGTCTTAATCAAGATATAGATGTGCAAGTTTAGTACCTGTGTGTGTGAAACGAATGAATGCACATGTGTGTTTGTGAGAGCGCATGTGTGCGTGTGTGTTTAAACGTGACATTTCTTCTTACATGTAGCGTTTTACCTGTAGTTGATACTGTTTCTGGGTCCGTTCATGGGTGAACACCAGCGCAGCTTGTCCAGTTTCCGAATAAAACTTCCTCAACCTTATTTCAGTTTCTTTTTCATTCACACACTGTTCTGTCAGCAAAATAGAGCCTTTTTGTGTTCGTATTTAAAGGAACCCTCAACTCGCTTTATATGGGAATTACCATGGCATGAATGTTATATCATTACGTCTGCTTCAGCCATGGTACGACAGCAAAGTTCCTTAATTTTTATGCTAAATGAATGTATAAATGGGTGGTTCAGTGGTTAGCACTGTTGCCTCGCACCAAAATGATCCCTGGTTAGAGTCCTGGCTAGGCCAGTTGGTGTTTCTACATTGAGTTTGCATGTTGTCCTTGTGTTTGCATGGGTTTCCTCCGCAGTCCAAAGACATGCGCTATTATAGGTGAATTGATTAAATTGGCTGTGCTAAATGAGTGTGTATGGGTGTTTCCCAGTACTGGGTTGCGACTGAGGGCCTCCACTGCGTAAAACATATGCTGCAATAGTTGGTGGTTCATTCCACTGTGGTGACTTTTGAAATGGAGATTTTTATTACTACCTTTCATTTCAGTTTCTCTTTCATTCAAACATGTGCAAAAACCTTGTCAGTCAACAAAATGGAGCCTATTTTGGTTCACATTTAAAGGAACGCTGCTTATTTTTTCGGAAAGTACCATGGCATGGAAATTGGCTATGGTATGACCGCAAAGTTCCTTGATCATTACCCCAGAGTGACAGTGTTGCTCCTAGCCATGTGAACCTAGAATGTACCAACGTTTCATTTTCTGTTGGTCTAAGTAAACTTTGTAACTGTAGAAGAGTCGAGCTTTAAAGTACAACTGAAATCAAAACTCACCATATTGATTTTGTTAGCTCACATTGCTGGTTATGTGCTGGACAGTTCATCTGTGCATGTCATTAAGAGACGTTTACCTTTGTAATCTGAAAATGCACTTCTTGTTTGTTTTTAAATTCTCGGATTACTTCTGTCTGAGATATTGGGTGTAACTCAGTTTAGATAACAAACAGAAATGGTGGTGAGGAGGAGGCTGTTGGGTTATTACAACCTTTTTTCATGATCTTTCTGAATGAAATGCTTACTTTACTACAGCCAATCAGCTTGCAGTAAAAAACAAGCCACGCCCACTGTTTTCTCATTTAATATTCTGTTTCTCTGAAGACTGCATCACAATAAAATTAAAAAATAAAAAAACAGACGCTTTCATTTCATGCGGACTTTAAATATGAAAATTATCCATTATTTTTTATAATTTTTGAACGGATGCCAATTGGTCTAATCCGATTCAATGTTCTATGGTAAGCTAAGCTAAAATTGCTACACCAGACCCAGAGATCGGCTGAATGGAATTAAAAAATGATCAAACTCAACTGTTCAACTTTAGAGGAGTTTAAAACCAGCATAAATGTGTTAACAATGGAGTCAATTTAGGGCCATATATACTAAAATACAAGAAAATTTTGCAAACAAAAACAAAGTCTTGACTAAACAATAAATGCAAATCTCCAAAAATCACAAAGCAAAAATACATTTTTGAGAAATAAAAATGTATTTTGCTAACAAAAATAAAGAATTGCTAAAAGGTAAATTAAGTTTTGAGAAATAAAAATTAAATTTGCAAAAAAAAAGAACTGCATATGAAAATCAAGCAGTGCAAAAAAAATTGATTAAAAAATATATATGTATAAATATTTATATTTACAAAACATTTTTATAGCATTACCTTTACGAAACTCGTCAAGTCAATTGCAATGCTCATTTTGATTTGTTTTTTAGTCAACCGTGAGTTTTGTCTCACACATTTTTGAAATTATCCTTATTAAAAGTTTTAAATAATACAACTAAATTAATATTTTTGGTAAAAAAAATTATTTTGCATTTAATATGGATATAATAATGTATTTTATTAAATAAAAAAAATTATACCACCCCTCCCCCTACGCTGACCATTTGAGCCGTTGCACCTGCATATTATTGCGCTGCTCGGTTATAGTTACATGTTAAAAATGGAAAGAAAAATGATACTATCTCCAGGTGATGACGTTGTTTAAATAGAGGCAGGTTCAGGCCTGCCATAAACGCACTGCTTGATTTTTATTTGCAGTTTTTTATTTTTGTTAGCAAACTTTATTTTATTTCTTAAAACTTCATTTTCCCTTTGCGATTTTTGTAAATTTGCATTTGTTTTATTTATTTTTTGCTCAATACTTTAATTTTTTTGTTTGCAAAACTTTTATTTTATTTTGCAAGGATATATGGCCCTAGATTGACTTCATATTGTGTTCCCCTAATAACCTGTCACTGAACATTGAAATGTACTGCAATAATACATTAATATCTCCTACTTCCCTAAATAGAGTGTGAAATGAGGGATTAGTGCACAGGTGACCATCTGCTGGTCTGAATCACTGCATTGCAGCCTCAACCAAACTTCTTGATCACGCTTCTCTGCTGCAGTCACGACTCTATAAAGAAGAGAGAGGGCGCTACAGAGCTGTCTTTTCACAGCCACATTTTCATTATCATCATATAATTGTCCAGTCTGCAATAAAATGAATATTAAGTCATGGTTAAATAATGTTGTTATTTATGATCTCACGTTAGCAATAGGAAGTTATGAGATAAAAAAGCGCTGTCATCAGAACATGTCCAGGTTATGTTCTGAAATACAAAGAAATTTGATCATTTATTTTTGATTTATTTATTATATAAACTTCCACAAATTTTACGCTTATTAGTGAATTAATAATTATATATTGTTAATTGTGCATGTTGGAATGTCTCAAACAGACTTGTGATGTTTTCTTTAGATTTAGAGCTAAAACCAAAACCAGTCAGACTTTTCATCTTTTGATTAAAAAAATAAAATATTAAGATGTTTTTGTCATCTGTATGCCAGTTAATAAGTGCCAATATTAAGCTTACAATTTTAACTTCTTTATTTATTAAAGTATTTTTAATTAAAGCACATTAGTTGTGTAACCCACCGAGAGGTCCTGGGTTCAAATCCCGGACGAACCCCCATGTGTCACCCACCAATCTTACTGCACTCAACCCGGTCTGAGCTGGGATTGAACCGGCAATTTGCATGGGAGTCGGATGCTCTAACAAGGAGTCTAAAGACCATGGCCTCTAGCGTCTGTCGCTAGAGCATCTTCAGAGGTCAGAGGAGTGAGGTTTACCTGCATAGCACTTCACTAGCCGGCCTTTGTTACGCTTGTTTTATTTAACTGGACAGATTTTTATTTTCAGTGAAATTATGATATATTGAAATAATGTTTTAAAAATACTTACTGTCTTTAAACAACAAGTCAACTTCTTATTGCTATCTTCAGATTTTGCTCTAAAAACGGCCAGACTACTTCAGAAATCTCTGGAAAATACTGCACAAAGAAATCTTTTTTTTTTTTTTTTGACAATTAGACAACAATATATCATATAATTTCTTTAATAATTGAAGTATTACTCTAAATATCTAAATATTAATATAATTAATATTAAATATATAACACTTTTATTTGAATATTAATATAACTCCCCTTCTTTTCATTCATTCGGCCTAAGCAATTCCAGCCATGGGGCCTAAAATCCTAAAGTGGACATTTTGTACTTTAATTTATTTTAAATTGATTTATTTTGCTGTTTTTTTTTTCTTATATCACTCAATCACTCTTTTTCTACAATTTGCCTTAATGTAAAATAATAAAAACATCATATCAAGCATCTTGTAAAACTTTTTAAACAATTTGTTTTCATAAAATGAATTCACAACTAAACATTACTATAAACTATTTTGTTTTTACAACTAATTCTTTACTTTTTGCTGGACTTCTGGTGGGTGGGCGATACATTTGCGCAGATGTAATAAACATTAAACTGTTATTTTATTAGACCCTCATCATACAAAGTATGATAGAAAATGATGTTATATATAATTTTTAGGAATAAGTTTCACTTCTAGGCATTTATTTGGGGGCCCTCAGGGTTCCCGAGGCCATAAGCAGCTGCTTATGTTGCTTATTGGTTAAATCCACCCCTGTCTGACATTAAGTAGATGCTCATTTGCATACATTTCTAGCGCAAATATAATTAAATAGTGCCACATATGCATATTCAAACATGACATTTTAGAAAACTCAGTAAAAATGGTCAAAATTCTTGATGTTACCAATTAATGGGGAAAGCAGTCAAAGCTATCAGTTATGTTTATCCCTGTGTCACCTTAAAGTGATAAACATTCATTTTCTTTTCGGCATAGTACCTTTATTAATCAAGGGTCGCCACAGCAGAATGAACCGTCAACTTATCCAGCATATGTTTTAAACAGCGGATGCCCTTCCACTTGCAACCCAGTGCTAGGAAGACTCCCCTTCTATGTAATATTAAAATGAGCACCAATTCTGTAATAAAGTTGTAAGGAAAATTATGATATATTAAACGCTTAGTGGTCTTTTATTTTACTTTGAAACAAAATATCACTGCTGGTTGATATTCAGGAATTGAATACAAATTTCAAGCAAGCTATCTACAGCAGATTGTTCCAAAACACAGCAGAAAATCCATAAATAGTCCATTAAACTGATCAGTGGGAGATTACCACAGCAGAACATCAAGATAATCCAGTTAATTAATAACAGGGTGGCACGGTGGCTCAGTGGTTCGAGTCCTGGCTGGGTCAGTTAGCATTTCTGTGTGGAGTTTTCATGTTCTCCCCATGTTGGCGTGAGGTTTTTTAGGTGAATTGTGAATGAGTGTGTTTGGCTGTTTCTCAGTACTGCGATGCAACTGGAAGGGCATCCGCCGTGTAAAGCATATGCTGAATAAGTTGGCGATTCATTCCGCTGTGGCGACCCCTGGTGAATAAAAGAGACTAAGCCGAAGGAAAATGAGTAAGTAATCATGAAATGTTAACATCTGCCTCTGGATACTGTCGCTACTCTCGCCTGGATGGGGAAGCCTTAACGTCAGAAAGGAGTTCAGCCTTCAAGTCCATCCTTCAAGGCTTCTGATTGACAGCTGTGTAGACCTGTAGCCACGCGAGCTGTAAAATAAACCACGCCCACTTAAGATTCTCAACCAATGGAGTTTAATCTAAGAAGGCGGGACTTACTAAAGCATTGTTTACGTCTGTCGTGAAAGTAGGTCACAGGAAAGTGTGACAGTTAGCTGGTGGACAGAATCCGATTGCTTTTTGCAGATCCACACATTATTACAGTGCCACAATACAACCTGTAGGTGTACGAGGCTTTAACGGTCGCGGTGGTATCCCTGAAAGACGGGTAAGTTTGCTTGTGTTTGTCCTAGAGAATGTAGCAGTTAGGATCCAGCGCCTGCTAAGCCTCCGTTAGCACCAGGATCAGATACATGCAAAAGCCTGTTGCACTAACTTACTATTTGCAATGTATATCGATACTATGTTAAAATACAATTAATATTAGTTGGTAGTAACGTGATTGAAAGATAATTTATTTTCTATAAGCGAAAAAGCCTGCAGACTTGCAAGGTGCCTGGCTCTCGATGACTTTCTGCGAGGCCTAACGAGAGAAAATGCTATAGTTTTATTTCCTGGAATCTATCTTTAGGAACTACGAGACTTGTCATATGGTTGTCAAATGACTGTTTATGCAGAGTGGATGCACAGGGATGTTGTTGACAATTAAAGTAGCCGTGTTGTCGTCTAGTGTTTACATGTCATGTCGCGCGCGAAATATTAGGGAAGTTTAGCTTCACGAGAGCAGTGCACGCGCAACGCGTTGAGGATATTAAACTCGTTATTTTGACATTATAAAGTAATTCTACGCTTTAATAAAGGTGCACATGTGGAAAACGTGGTTGGCTTACTATATTTTATGACACAGTTTAACACTACAGTGGTATTTAAATGTTTTTTAATTGGAAATAGCAGTGAAGTGCATTTTGAATGGGAAATAACATATTTATCATGTGTCTCAAAGAGAGAGTTCAACCAAAAATGAAAAGTTCCTCAGCATTTCTAAACGTCTCTGAATTTCTTTCGTCTGTTGACAAAACATGACATTCTGAAGAATGTTGGGGAAGAAACATCTATTAACTTGCATAATAGAAACTAAACCATGGAAGTCAATGACTCTTTATTTTCCAACATTCTTCTGTATATCTTCAGTTGTGTTAAACAGAAATAAGAAACTCAAACAAATTTGAAACAAATGGATGATGAGTAAATGATGACAGAATTTAAATTTTTAGGTGAACAATCTCTTTGAAAGCACAAGTGTATGATTGTTTTCAGGAATATATCTGAAAACCAGTAGTACAGCGTTATAAATTTAGTTGACTTTTGTACTTAGATTATCCCAAATGTTTTGAAGAATATTTAAATCCAGATTAATAAACTATTTTAAATAGTGAGACAGATACTAATGTTTTACAGAAAACAGGGAAACACCAAAGATTCGGCCGGTATAAGTTTCTGATGGTATGATAACCTTGGATTAAAATATCATGGTTTCACGGTATTGTGATTACTACTGTAAAATATGCTCTTTTTAAATGTCTGGGTAAAAAACAAACCCCCTTCCCGAACACCATATATTTTATTTTAATATTCAAAATATATTGAAACGGTTAATATGTCAGGCTAAATAATTAAATTAAATCATTGACTTCTCCTGTCTTCATTCGTTTCAAAAACACTAATTTCTTTACAACTTGAAAAGGCATGTTTAGAGAGCTTTCTTCTTTGTGGATATAAAGTAAAGCCACTGCACTGAAGCTCATGCTGGATGTGATTTTTTTTCAGATGTTTACTGAATTTTGGGGTGATCAGTAGCTTTTGATATGAAGGCTTCTTTTCTGCTGGAGATACTGTTGCCTTTAAAACCTTAATACATAGTCATAAAAAAACATGTTAAAAATTACAAATAACTTTGTAATACAAGGAACTGTATAATAGGAAGTTTAAAGGTTTTAAAACCTTGACTTTTCAAAACTGTGGTAAACCTTAAAGGGTCATGACACCGCCACTTTCGGTTCAGGTCTACCTCAGAATTTTTTCAAAAGATGCATCATAATGGGCGTGGAGCTCTGCGAGCAAATGGCAGGAGTGGGCGTGGCCAGCAGGGGAGAAGGAGGGGAGCGAACAACTGTTGTCAGTTGAGATGCAAGATTTTATAGTTTACAAACTTAAAATGCAAAGAAATAAACAGTAATTTAATGCCTTGCTTCATTTGTTATTCATAATCTCATATACAGATAACCACAATTTATATCATTATAAAGATAATCGTGTTCATATAAACACTATAAATGAGGACTTTTCCCTCAATCCCCGGGTCTGAATCATAGGTCTGAATGAAGACTCAGTGCAGCAGGTCTCTTGCCCTGTCTATTTTAACTTTTAGCCCTGTTGGTAATCTAGAGGATTTAGGTGAACACAGCAGCATGGCGATGTGTCTAAATGTGAACGAACTCCTGATAAAAGACAACGTCCGGCATTCTCCAATTCTTGTACTGCTCTCCCGACAAAAATGCTTGCTGCACACAAACAGCTTTGCTGTATCGGCCCTGACAGCATCACGGGGGAAAACATGCAACAAACCCCGTGGATCATGAAAACAAACACATACAACCCTTCATGAACAGCTAAATACTGTGTGCCCTAGGTCCGTGTCTCTCAGTTTGGCACTGGCAGGGCTGCCTTCCTTTGGAAAGCACGTGCAGTCATGAATAATTAAGCAGCAGGCTCTTCTCATAGTATAAGAAAACTCCACTATGAATAATAATGAGAAACTGATGCATCATCTTTGCAATTGCAGTTTTGTGATACTTTGCTGATTTTGATCCCGCCCCAAAAATCATTTTAAACCCGGAAGATGAAATTAGCTGATTAAAAATCTCCAAATTATCCAGTTTTCTCTCCTATTAAAGCTGACAGGTGCTAACATTGTCTGAACTGATGCTCAACAAACACAAATCTGTTAAAATCTCAAAAAAAGTACTCGAGGGTTTCGTGAACCTTTAAAACCAGTTACCATCTCATGCCTAGTTGTGTGTGTTTTATTAGACCGCACATTGGAATGTTATAACAGAACCCTAAAATGCACTTAGTCTGATTAAACAGCTCTGCTTCTTCTCTACTTGATCATAAAGATTAGAACAGGAAGCAGTGGACTGTGGCATAATAAAAGCTCTGCTGTTTTTTAGGCTGCGTAACACAATTTCTTCAGCGCTCTTGTTTCACTTTGACAGCTTTCAGCTAGGGGTGTCAAAATGAATTGTTTCTTTGATGCACCGCGACGCAGATGTGGACAATTCGGTATCTGTTCAGTAATAATCATAACCGGTTTTTATGTACTGATGTCATTTATCACATATGCGTTATACAGCGGTAGCTTACTATGGCGAGTGAGGAGGCCGCGAGTAATTAAAACACTACAACTACTTAGGAAGCAGATAACTGTGCACAATTCACTACTTGTGAGTTTGCTGGACAATCTTTCACTGACAGGGAAGTACATCAAAACTTTACTTTACTTCATTGTCCACTAGTGGAAATTCATCTTTGGCCTTACCACACAAACAGATCAACATTCACATTACACACATCACAGAAAGGAAAGCTAGGAAAAAAATGAACGGTGAAACTCTCTCTCATTCTCTGTGGCCCCTTTGACCTGTTAGCTTCGTGAGGTAACGTTTTATCTCCTCTCTCGGTTGTTACAACAATAGTGTTATCTGTAGATCCAGACATGAGGGTGTCTTTAGAGCGAGTTTTCTTCACCGCGTTAACGTCTATGATGGATCCGCTAATCGCTGTAGCTGTTTAACATCATCGTTTGCTGAACAGCACCAGAGCTGTGCTGACCATTAGAGCCAATCCCAGCCATTTCTGTTGAGTGCGTGATCAATCGCAGGCATTTAAGATCTCCCTCAACACCACTCAAATCGAAAGCGGGATAACATTTAGTTTTTTGTTTGCTGTAAATGCTCATGTTGTTCTGTGCTTGTACTTGAGTTTTGTTTGATACATTCAGAAAGAGTGTTTTATTTGAGCAGGTTCAATAAAACTGCAGTTCATATATTTGAATGCTTGTATTAGAGGACAAAATTGTATTACAAGTAATATCTAAATGTAAATATTTTTAAATTGTAAATTCTAATACAAGAATTATTGTGTTTTTAAAGTAAAATATCAAATTGTTTATGGAAACCATCGTCAAAGCACCATGATGAACTCGAGATATCGAATTAAACCAAATCAATAGCCTGATAATCATAACTGAACCGAACTGTGAGACCAGTGTATGTTCACACCCGTACTTTCAGCCTTACTCTACTTCATACTACCATGATAATTAGTGTTGAATACTTCTACTCCTCCATAAGCATGATGTCTGCAGGAGTCCTGTAGGATTCAACACTCAATCATGGCATCATTAAATTTACCTTGTTTGTTTTGATTATGCACCTTCTAGTGGAAAAAAGTCACATACTGTGTCTTTTAATGCTTTCACGTATATTTTTACTTTGATAATGCGTTTCATGTAGTGTGACTTATTCTTTTGCTATAGAACGAAGAGCTGTTGTGTCTGGTTGACAGGTGCGGAGGCTCCAGGTTGGCATGTCAAGGCGGAGCAGAAACAGCAGGGCGTGGAGGTACGTGTGGAGTGGAATAAGACGGGATGCAGATGCAAGAGCGCTGGTGCTTGCCTCCGAGAGTGACGAGTGGAGCTACGATCGACAGCAGGTGGGTGAAGATGATGTGCAGATGCCATCAAATAGAGCTGAAAATTTAATTGCACTTGCTATAACATTGCTGTTTTCAGTCACGTGGTGATTGACGAGCGAAATTCAGATGGAGGGCAGGAAGTTAAAAACTGAAAGGGAGACCTAGAGGAAAGCATTTAAACCATATTACAAAGGAGATGTAAATAGAAAATAAGCACATATGTTGGGCATGATCCGAATTTCATGAAGAGGCAGAGTTTTCTACTGAACTAAAATATATTTATCTGTCATTAGCCCCTTTCACACATACAGACCTTTCCGGAAAATTGCCGGCAATTTTCCGGAAAGGTTGTATGTGTGAACAGGTCCTTTTTGAAAATACCGGTAAATTCGTTCTGGCTATTTTCCGGAAAGAGAAGTTGTAACATTACCGGTAATTTGCCGTAATTTTATCCCCCTACTTGGATGGATCTTACTTATTATTGGAAAATGATTAAACTGGGTATTGATTCAGAATTACAAACTTTCTTTTTGATACTTGATTTGATTTAGTGAACTTCGATTGAACACAAATGATGTGTGAATGCAGAAGGAAGATTCCCATAATAAGCGCGTGCACGTCTAGAACGTGCTGACGTGAGACGTCTGCTTTAGCCAATCACAACAGTCAGACGCATTTACGTCCGCGCGGTTTGTGAGGATAAAAGCCTTTGAATATTTTTCCAGACACATTTAACTGCTAGAAGTTAGTCAGATCACGTTTATATGTTCTTCTTAATGACAACTGTGTAAATAATCATCGATGAGATGCTTATGATAAGCCGTTGTTTGTTTACCTTCAAGCTTTGCGTGTGCCTGTGAAACACGCACATATTATAAACATCTCGACATGCGAAAGTGATCCTGCGAAAGTTGTTCACAATACTGATCATCCACAGAGTTTGTAATTTAGTCAAATGTTTACAAATACAAGCGCAGCCGTTTAAAGCTCATTTGTGGTGAATGATGTCAGAATTTACCGGTATTTTGGAATGGATGTGTGAATGCTCTTTTCCGAAAAATTTCCATAACGTTCTCGCCTGTGTGAACAGCGCTTTTTTCAATATACCGGTAAAGTCTTTCCGGAAATTTTCCAGATATTTACCGGTATCACTGTGTGAAAGGGGCTATTGAGGCAGTAGATACTGTATAATTATGTTACATGAAAAATACCATAGTAAATGCCATAGTGTTTGGAAGCATACTATAGATAATTACTTGAATTAAACTGTTGTAGTAATTATATTGTTGCTGTGGTACGACACAACTGTAGTAATAAACTCAGTGTTTCCTCTAGGATTTTTCCAGCTGTGGTGGCAGGCCTTGATTTAGCTGACGAAATGGATAAACTGTAACTAATAAAATTAAACTAATATAAAGGTAGAGTAATTATGTTTGTTTTTATTTTGTGTAGCCAGGTATTATCTATCATTGAAAGATGATAATTAATTACATGCGCTAATATTTTGTGTCAGTTCAAATGTCTTGTAAATACCCCCAGTAACGCTCCAGGGTTTTTCCAGTAAGTGCCCTATGACCAGGGCCAGTCGGGATCTGCGGACGTTTTTTGCTATTTCTGCGGAGAATTTTGGTAAAAATCTGCGAATTTCTGCGGAATTATTTTTAACCTTAATATATTAAATAAAAAGTAATAAATTACTGAATAAATTCAGATTTACACCTTTACTTAAGCAAATAAGAATTAATAATGGGCTAGAAATCTGCGGAATTCTGCAGAAAATCTCCGGAATTTTGCGCACGCAGATTCCGTGTGGGCCTACCTTTGACAAAGGCAAAACATTATTCTATAGTATATCTTTTAAACCTTCAATTAAATTAATTAATTGATTAATGAAGTAATTTAAAAATGATATGTGTATGTGTGTTAATAATACAATGCAGTATAAAAAATAATGATGCATATTTATTACATTAAATTTTAGTTAATTTTAGCTCACAGTGCATTAAATAATATTAACAAGCACACCTTTTGTCCTGCAGTACAGTGACTCTGATTCTGAAGCCGAGTATCCTGCCATTGTTCCGGCGGTCCCCAGTGCGGTGCCGGTGACTGGAGAGTCCTACTGCAGCTGTGATTCACAGATGGAGCTCAGCTGTAACCCGCGCCTCAGAGGTTACACACACTTACGGGACTGCCACTGTGGAGAAGATGACCAAGGTGAGGCTGTGTGCCGCATCACTGCTTTTATCCCCCTACTTGGATGGATCTTACTTATTATTGGAAAATGATTAAACTGGGTATTGATTCAGAATTACAAACTTTCTTTTTGATACTTGATTTGATTTAGTGAACTTCGATTGAACACAAATGATATTGATATGTCTACAAATGAACAATAGACAGAGTATTTCAGGTGCACAGCTACATTAAAACAGCTCAGATGCATGGAGTGTGTAGCCATAATATGAAACATAAAAACAGCATTGGGAGCCTCGTATATTAAACGTACATATGATATATATATAGATTCAAAACGGATCAAATGAAGTCTTCATCAGGGGCACTGAGTTTTTTGTTTGTTTTTTGATTAAAATGGGAGATTTTCAAACTTTATATACCTTTTAACTTGCATTGTAACTACCACGTTGACCTTTTGTGCATGGGTTATCATCAAACAAAGAAACGCAAAATTTGCTTAGATGGGTGTCATGAACACAGTTGAACTAGTAAAAACAAGTGATGTAAGGGTATTGTCTCAGATTTTTTTTATTATAGACTTGACTGACTGCTCACATGAACATTCGCCTAGATGGACAGTGCAGTCCTTTTTTTGACACAGTTTATTTGAACTTTCAAGCCAAAATGTAACCCTCCTGGGAAACCTAATTTCTTTCTCAAATATTATCCAACTGATGTTTAACAGAGCAAGGGTTTTTTCACAGCATTTCCTTATACTTTTTCTCATGAAAAAAGTTTAACTTGACTTTTAGTTTGACTGGAATAAAAATGAAAATCTGAAAAATGAGGTCAATATTATTTAGAAATAAATGTTTTGATTTCCATTACAACATCTGTTGTCCAATGACTTGCCTAATTAACCTAGTTAAGCATTTTAGCATTTTATTTGCACTTTAAGCTGAATACTAGTATCTTGCAAACTAACTAGTAAAATACACTCACCGGCCATACATAGATGCACCTTGCTAGTACAGGGTTTGACCCCATTTTGCCTTCTGAATTGCCTTATCCCTCGTGGCATAGATTCAGCAAGGTACTGGAAATGTTCCTCCGAGATTTTGCTCCATATTGAATTGATAGCATCACGCAGTTGCTGCAGATTTGTCGTCTACACGTCCATGTTGTGAATCTCCCATTTTACCACATTCCGAAGGTGCTCAGATTGAGATCTGGTGACTGTTGAGGCCATTTGAGTGCAGTGAACTCATTGTCATGTTTAAGAAACCAGTTTGAGATGATTCACGCTTTATGACATAGTGCATAATACTGCTGGAAGTAGCCATTAGAAGATGGGTACACAGTGGTCATAAAGGGATGGACATGGTCAGCAACAATACTCGGGTAGGCTGTGGCGTTGACACAATGAGCCCAAAGTGTGCCAAGAAAATATCCCCCACACTATTACACCACCACCAGCCTGAACCATTGATACAAGGCAGGATGGATTCATGCTTTCATGTTGTTGATGTCAAATTTTGACCCTACCATCCGAATGTCACAGCAGAAATCGAGACTCATCAGACCAGGCAACGTTCCAATCTTCTGTTGTTTAATTTTGGTGAGCCTGTGTGAATTGTAGCCTCAGTTTTCTGTTCTTAGCTGACAGGAGTGACACCCGGTGTAATCTTCTGCTGCTGTAGCCCATCCTCCTTAAGGTTGGACGTGTTGTGCTTTCAGAGATGCTCTATTGCACACCTTTGTTGTAACGAGTGATTATTTGGGTTACTATTGCCTTTCTATCAGCTGTAACCAGTCTGGCCATTCTCCTCTGACCTCTGGCATCAACAAGGTATTTTTGCCCTCAGAACTGCCGCTCACTGGATATTTTCTCTTTTTTAGGCCATTTTCTGTAAACCCTAGAGATGGTCGTGCGTGAAAATCCCAGTAGATCAGCAGTTTCTGAAATACTCGAACCAGCCCGTCTGGCCCAACAACCATGCCACATTCAAAGTCACTTAAATCACCTTTCATTCCCATTCTGATGCTCGGTTTGAACTGCAGCAGATCGTCTTGACCATGTCTACATGCCTAAATGCATTGAGTTTCTGCCATGTGATTGGCTAATTAGAAATTTCCAAAAACGAGCAGTTATACGGGTGTACTTAATAAAGTGGCCGGTGAGTGTATTATGTACTGTCTTTTTGGGAAAGACAAAGGAAATTAGTTAATAGAAATTATTTAATAAAACTATCATGTTTAAATATCTGTTGAAAAAATACTTTTAGTTAAACAGCACTTAACAGATATAAACTCCTGTAATGCAGAATATTTTTATATTGAATCATCCACTTTTCTATACATTAATAATAATAATAATAATAATAATAAAAGTTGAATTGAAAAATAAATGTATTTGCCCAGAAGCAGTAATGGTGTGCTGTGATTGGCTGTTTGGCAGATTTTGACTGGGTGTGGGACGAGGGCAGCCGGTCGTCTGCGACGCTGCTGAGCTGTGAGAACAGGAAAGTGAGCTTCCACTCAGAATACAGCTGTGGGACGGCGGCCATCCGTGGCTCCAGAGAGCTCTCAGAGGGACAACACTTCTGGGAGATTAAAATGACTTCTCCTGTCTACGGCACAGACATGGTGAGAGACCAAAGTGCAGAATCTGTCCTTTTGTTCTGGTATACGCTGTCAGTATTGTAATGGTAAATAGTAGGATTTCTTGAGCATCTATCTGAAAAGGGGTGATGATAAATCTAGAGATATTGAAGAGAACGTTTAAACCCAAAAACTTTTCTTCTGAAGTTAATGGTTGCTTTTTTTCAACATTCTTCAGAATATCTTCCTTTGTGTTCAAGTTAATGAAGAAATTTGGTTATCCTTTAAAATAACAGTTTATTAGATAATGTATTTACTAACATAAACAAGCAATTAGTAAAATATTTACTATGGCATTTTCATCAATGTTAGTTTGTTAGTAGTTGTAAGTTATCGTTAGTCATTGTAAGTACTTCATTCATTCATTCTTTACTGTAAGACTTGAGATTCCACAAATACTTTGATGTCTTTGACAATTCGAATATGACAGAGACAATCGGCTCCACAACTCACCAGGTGGGAATGCGGAAAACTAGCTCCCCTCCTTTCCTCTATTTACATTTGAAACATCTCCCGAAACACCCCTTGGTCTCTCAGCCACTTTTCACTCTACTCGCACAGAATGGTCATTTCAAAATATGAATGTTCTAGATTAATCCAAGTCACTTTGTTTATGTTTGATATCATTTGAAATGTCTCAGTGCGACTAGTACAATGGTCTCATTCCCTCAGAAATAGACAATCAAAACAATAGATATATAACTTCAAGTATCTGTTGAACCACTGTGAAGGGTGTGCCTTTTCCTATAGGCAGAATGTCTTCCACTATATGCAAATGACTTTTGTTAATCGACACACCCCTTTACTCAAGGGGATTCTTGGATTGACTACTTAAGGGAAAATTTCTAAATGTTCGGCGCGATTCTGTTATCCAGATCAGCCCATAGCCTGGAACTTCATGTTTCATGTTATGTATATTTTGAAGTCAGGTATGCACCTTTTAATCTTGGATTTATCATTTGTATTTTATAGTGATCGTTTATGAATTGACTGAATGAATTGGCTTAATACACATTCACCTGACTTATAAATTGTTATGTTTTGAATTATTCAAACAGAGTTCATGTTATTATCTCTAGTAGATTACCTTAAGTCCATAGCACTTCAAGCCCCTGTACAGGTTAGTAACAGACTAAAACACGGTAGACGGAGCAGCGTGGCACACCATACAATGTTCTTAGAGCTCCGACTAACACATTGGCATTAATTCATGTATACTTAGACTGTAAAAGGCTATCCAAGAGGATAGACCTTCATCTCTAAACTTATAATACTAATCGTATGGGGATTACTCAAAGTTATTAATCGGTTAAGTAAAATGGTCAGCTTAATTCTATAGTAATGATCATTATATGACTAAATAACTTTGTTTGATTTAGTAGATAGCAGATCTATGAGGGCCGCACAAAAAATATCCTAATCTGAGTAAGTAGGGTTCTGCCTTTTCAGGATAGCGGTTAATCGCCACTGTTTAGTGACCAAGACTGACATGCTTGTGCTTAGGAGATTGTATACTCCGCCAGTACAAGACTCAGGATGTTATAGGAATCCAAATAAACGAGAATATATAAAATATAATATATTAAGATATATTAATATATATAATTTTATAATATATAAAATAACGAAGAGATTATTCAATCATCAACTAAAGTAATATTAAAAGAAACAAAATACTCTTATCAATGTTTTATAAATGGAGTCAAATAAAACGAGGATAAATATATTAATATTCTAAACCAGCTCGTACTAAAATTGTAGTCAGATAAGAGTTAAATTTAAAGTAAATCAACATTGTGCACTGAAAAGACCGAACATGCAGTGAACCTTCATCCACCAGTACACACCGGCATTGGACTAACTGGCTGGAACTTACAATTCATTCCTTTCTGGCTTAGTCCCTTTATTAATCCGGGGTTGCCACAGTGGAATGAACCACCAACTTATCCAGCATGTTTTACACAGCGGATGCCCTTCTAGCCACAACTGATCTCTGCGAAACCTCCATACACACTCTTCACACTCCTACACTACGGACAATTTAGCCTACCCAATTCACCTGTACCGCAAGTCTTTGCTCTGTGGGGGAAACCGGAGCACCCGGGGAAAACCCATGCGAACACAGGGAGAACATGCAAACTCCACACAGAAACACCAACTGACCCAGCCGAGGCTCGAACCAGCGACCTTCTTGCTGTGAGGCGACAGCACTACCTACTTCGCCATCGTGTCACCCATTATTCATACTTAGTTAATGTTATTAAATGCATTAACTAACTTAAGGGCCATCATTCTAAAGTGTTACAGAGTTTTCTGCAGTTTAAGGAAATGGTAAGGAAATGTTCATTTTTTTAAGAGAGCTTTAGCTTTGAGTAACATGACTGATTCAGCAATCTGAAGCATATTTGTCAGTTTGCAGCTACTCAGAATGAAACTTGCTGAATCAGTGGAGTTTTCATAAATGTGAGACACATTGCAGTTGGTTCTTAAAAATGTGAAGACTACAGTCAAGAAATATACACTTTTATTCAGCAAAGGGGCATAAATGATTGATGAGTGACCATTAACTCCATGTCCCAACAACACGACGCGACAAGCAATTTGTCTGTCTGCACCAAAAGCATTTAAATACCTGCCACTGCGCCTACAATGAATTGGTAAAGATTTTAAATCTAATTAAGACGCATTAACAAACCTCTTTAACATTATTAATAGGCTACTGAGTGACTGATGTTGAAGTTCTGGCTTTTATATTCTGCTGCTTTCAGTAGTGTGGCAAGACATGTTATGTAAAATGCTGTTTAAACTCACATTGGGAGCAGTTAACACTGAATAAAGCACATAATCAGTACCTGAGGTGATCTTTGTCGTAGTAGTTTATGCTGTTGTTCTGTTGCGATGTTGCAGAAATAGAAAGCATTTCTAAAATGGATATTTTGCGTGTCAAAGTCGCTGATGGTAAGACAAAAACTCCTTTTAACATGAAAAAGAGACCGTTTATCAAGTGCTGTGTTGTATAATGTTAAGACGCAGTGTAAAATTACATTTAAAATAGAATCTTTTCAGACATTAAGTCATCTTAAACACTGATTAAAGAATGCACCAAATCACTGAATTACAATTTTTTAAAAAAAAATCATGTGACTATGAAACCTGTTGTATAAATAAACTAAATAATTTACTGGTGTATGTAAAACATCTTTAAATAGAAAACATTTAAAGGGACAGTTCACCCAAAAAATGAACAATTATCTCACAATTCACTCACACTCAGATGGTTCTAAGCTTGAATGAATTTCTTTCTTCTGTTGATCACAAGAATAAGAAGAATGCTGGAAAAGAGCAGCCATTGACTTTCATTGTAGAAACAAAAATACTGTAAAAGTCAATGGCTGTTTTTTAGTATTCTTCAGTATATCCTACTTTCTTTTCAACAGAAGAAACTCAATATTAACATTTATATACTACTATATATATATAAGTATTTTGAATATTATTACACTAAATGTTTTACAAGTTATTGAATTAAAGGTGCTGTATGTAAGTTTTAATGTAAAGCATAAACATACGCTAATATGTTTGCAGATATTTCAGAAACATGCCAAGTGAACACTCCTGTTTATCTGAAAAACAATGCTGAAGTCAGACATTCTGCTTTGAAAATGTGTTTTCCGTGCTGGAACGCTTTCTTTGTTTTGGTTATTTTAATCTGCCCAACGCCACTTTAGCCATTTAAATTTCAGCACTCCGGGTTTCCTTGGTGGAAAACCGAGCATTCCATTCATTTATTCAGAAAGGCTCTCAAAGCATGCATCCGTGACCGAATGTGACCTCCAGTGGACGGTAGCAGACTCCGAAATGAGGCCGATTCAATTCCACAGTTCAGGTTACATTGTAACTCCATGTCCTAACAACACGCTACACGAGGAGATTTGCAGTGATAAGCAATTTGGCTGTTTGCACCAGACGAAACACGACAGAAATTTAAAAACAGCCATACAGAAGCACAGAATATGCCTTAACTCACAAAATGGTAAAGCTTATAATCCATTTAATACATATTAAACATATTAACATTATTAAATGTTCATGCTGAATCACTTGTATGTGTTTAGTTATGACGTTCAATTTTCAATGGTTCATTTTATTTTCATGATCTGCTGCTGCTTTCGGTGATATGGCAATAAATATCATGTAAAATGCCATTTTTAAACTCACATTATTAGCATTTAACACTGAATAAACCACATGAGGTGTACCTGAGGTGATCATTGTCAGTTTTCCGTGTTCAGCTGAGAGAAATAGAAGCTGTTTCTACAATATCAATTTCAGGTGTTTATTAGAACAAAAACTCCTTTTAATATGGAGAATATTCCCTCTATTGGGTACCGTTGCCTTTATTTAGAACACTGTTTAAATCGGCCTGGTCCTTAATCTGGCAACCTGCGCTTGCGTTTGATTTGATTCAGGAGTGCAATACCTAATTCAACCACTGGGTGTCAAACTTACATACTGCACCCTTAATTAATCAGTCTTTGGTGATAAACTAGTCTATGTTTATACTTCATGTTATATCTCACCCAAACATGAAAATTTACTGGTGAGTTACCCTCTGTCTTTTTTCCCTTCATCAGAACATTAAAGAATTTAGCTGTAATCATGGTTCTTGGCAGTTCATAAAATTCAAGTCTAATATTACTGGCACTTTCAGAGTCAAAAAACACAAGTTAACACTCATGACTCTTGAAGATTCATTGCAGACCTGTAAAGTGAAACAGTCAGTCTGTAAAATTCATTCATTCATTTATTTTCCTTTCTTAACAGGGGTCCCCACAGCGGAATGAACCGCCAACTTATCCAGCATATGTTTTACACAGTAAATGCAACCCAGTATTGCGGAACACCCATACACACACACACACACACACACACATACACGCACACTCATACACTACAACCAATTCAGTCCATCCAATTTACCTATAGCACATGTCTTTGGACTTGGGGGTAGACTGGAGCAGCCGGAGGAAACCCACGCCAACACGGGGAGAACATGCAAACTCCGCACAGAAATACCAACTGACCCAGTCGGGACTTAAACCAATGACTTTATTGCTGTGATGCAACCGTACTAGCCACTGTGCCGCCCCCTGTTTACAAAATGATTACCTTTAATCCAAAACCCCTGCAAACATTCCCGAAGGTCTTCATTCTAGTCTGGAGTGCAAAACATCCAGTCATATAGTAACATTTCTTGCACATATCCTTTCTCTTCATGAGATCGTAATGTATCTTCAGGAGCCACGGGTATTAGTTTTATTTTTCCTGTATGTGTTTTCTTGACACTAACAGATCTGGTAACCACTGACTTGCATTTTCTGATTCACGAAAGAGGACAGTTTCAGCTTAAAATCTTCTGCTAAAGAATGTAGAAAAGTATATTAGCAGCAAGTGTTCATTAAATCCCCTCTGTGTTGGTGTAGATGGTTGGCATTGGCACCTCAGATGTGAATCTGGACAAATACAGACACACGTTCTGCAGTCTGCTGGGTAAAGATGAAGACAGCTGGGGTTTGTCTTACACAGGTAAAATGGCTTCTGTTTGCGAGCACATACTTGTGGTCGCCTATGCATCACATGACAACTCGTTTGTTTATGCTTTTGTCAGGTCTGTTACATCATAACGGTGACAAAGTGAGCTTTTCGTCACGTTTCGGACAGGGCTCCATTATCGGGGTTCACCTGGACACGTGGCATGGCACCCTCACGTTCTACAAAAACCGCAAGTGCATTGGTAAGAGACACTGTTCACACCACACACTCCTTTCAGCTGTGATCATATCTTGTTTTTGAAATGTAGTACACATTTTCAGCTGTCCCTTTACTGATAGATGAGGTAATGTATGTACAGTAGTGAAGTGTTGTTGTTAAAGAAATGTAACCAGAAAAACATGTTTGTGACATTAAGTACATCTATGTACTGCAGGGAAAATAAGTCTTGAACACGTCATGTTATTTCCTGGGAATAATATTTATAAAAGAGCTGTTGATGTGGAATTAAAGCAGATTTTGGTAAAAATCCAAACAGTACAAACATAAAACTAAAACAAAACAAAAAAAACTGATAAAGGAGTTATGTTTAATACAAGGAGAAAGTCCTGAACTACTGAAATGGTATTTAATGCTTTATATAAAAGGTGATGGCAGCTTAAAGATGCCTCTCGTGGAGAATGAAGTCACATGCGTTGCTCAGTTGTGGGTTTTTCACAGACTTCAACAGAGTGTAATAGTCTTGATAGTTCCATGGGTCTCATCTTTCAAATCTGAGCTTTATTCAATTCAATTCAATTCAGCTTTATTTGTATAGCGCTTTTACAATGTAGATTGTGTCAAAGCAGCTTCACATAAATGGTCATAGTAACTGGAACAGTGTGGTTCAGTAACTGGAACAGTGTGGTTCAGTTTTTAGTGTTTAAGTTCAGTTCAGTTTAGCTCAGTTCAGTGTGATTTAATCATTACTGAGAGTTCAAACACTGAAGAGCCAATTCATCGATGCGTAGCTCTACCAATCCTGAACCATGCGAGGCAGTGGCGACAGCGGAGAGGGAAAAAAAACTTCACCTGATGGGAGTGAAGAAAAAAACCTTGAGAGAACCAGACTCAGTTGGGCACGACCATTTTAATTTCTCCGCTGGCCAAAAGTCTAGTGCAGAACTTCATTCGTCGTGGTTTAGGCTGGAAGATGGCCTCAGCGAAGACTCGTCTGTCCCTGGAGCGTCGCTGGAATCAGACTCATGTTCTCCACTCCCCACTCCTCCACTCTTATTTGGTGTTTTCTATTGGATTCAAGTCAGGTGCTTGGCTGGGCCATTCTACAGCTTGATTTTGTTTCTCTGAAAGCATTTGAGAGTGTCCTTGGCTGCGTTTTGGATGATTGTCTTGCTGAAATGTCCACTCTGGTTTTATCTTCATCATCCTGATAATGTAGATGTTGGACTGCAGCAGCTAATATTCATTTACACTGAGAAAAGACAGAGGGTTGCTAAAGAACTACCGAGAGATTTCCGCTGCCTACACATAACTTAATTTGTAAACTAATTAGATTTGCTTTCTTTGCATATATGGATTCCTTTGTTTGTTATCAACATCCAGGAAAAGTCAAGGGCACCTTTAGAAATATGTTTTCTGAGAAAAATGTATATATATATATATATATATATATATATATATATATATGTGTGTGTGTGTGTGTGTGTGTGTGTATGTACATATGTATGTGTGTGTGTGTGTATATATATATGTGTGTGTGTGTGTATATATATATATATGTATGTGTGTGTGTGTGTGTGTGTGTGTGTGTATATATATATATATATATATATATGTATGTGTGTGTGTGTGTGTATGTGTGATTTTTGTGTGTATGTATATATATATATATATATATATATATATATGTGTGTGTGTGTGTGTAGGCAATTAATCTGTTGATTTAAACAAAAAAACTGCTTGTCACAATGTAGTAATCATACGTTGTATTGAAACATTTGTTTGCTGAAAATAGTTGCTTATGAAGTGTAGCCTCGTTCCAGTGTTCACTTATTATTAAACTGGTTTCAAGTTTTATTTTTAGCATTATAATCCATTGTCATAGTTTAATGTGTCAATTTGTTAAATTAACAAATTACAGTTCTCCGAGTCATTTAGTTCTGTCATTCATTTTCAGTCATTTTCTATCTTTATTTTCTAATATTTTGAGTAAAAATGACAGATAATTGTTAGTTTTGATTTGTAGTTTAATGTATATTTTGTGTGTGTGTCAGGTGTAGCAGCCACAGAGATGAAGAACAAGCATGTGTTTCCGATGGCCTGCTCCACCGCGGCCAAGAGCAGCATGAAGGTGATTCGCTCTGTCTCCGCTCCCACGTCCCTCCAGTACCTGTGCTGCTCTCGGCTCCGCAAGCTGCTGCCGTCCGGCGTGGATGCGCTGCGCGTCCTGCCGCTGCCGCCAGGCCTCAGACACCTGCTCCACTCCAAACTGGGCTGGGTGCTGAGTCTGGATCACACACACTCACACTCCAGCCCGCACACCCCACCGGGACCCTCGTCAGGCAGTGACTCCGAGGGATGCTCCTCGGACCCGGAGGCCTGCCAGCGCAAACGCTGCCGCTGGACCTGAGGCTCGGCTCATGACGCACACTTCCCAAAAAACAGAGACACTCCACATGTAGAAACACTGGACGTGTGCTGTCAAGTCACATCAGTGGAGAACGGGAGCCTCCAGGTCAGTCCAGCCTGTTTTACTAGACGCATCGCTGGTAAATACTCATCATTCAAAGCTCTAAAGGTAGTTCGCAATATCAGGAAACCATTGGGATATATGTATATCGCAGTATTCATAGTCAGTTTTTATACTGTCAGATGAAAGAGAGAAAATGAGCCTGTTTTAAAACGAGGCATCTGAAACACACATGCTGTGTGGATTCAGAAATCAAAAATGCTAATACGTGACGCTTTACTGAGGGGAAGAAAGACACAAGTTGAGCTGATCTCCTGTGACCTTTTGTTTTGGGTTTTCTTAATGACATATTCACGTGTCATTTACGCTTCATCAAACATCTCAGCACTTCAAATCATTTCCAGTGTAAGTTTCCAACAATCACTGTATGTTTTTTACTCTTTATTTTATTCCGACAGACAGACAGTAAGCGAGTGATGTTGTCTACATAAATGTGTTTTAAACACCATTATGGGCAAATGATGAGGAAAACACTTTGTCTTGACAGTCGTTGTCTGTAAGGATCCCTTTGGGCAATGGGTGATGCTCAAAGTGTGTGTGTGTGTGTGTGTGCGTACTTGTTTATGTGGTTTATGAGGACAGGGAATTGTATAATGACATGGGTATGACTTAAGCCCAGGTCAGATCACACGAATTTGTCATGATTTCAGCACTGTTTCCTTGAAACAGGGTGTCTTGGTGAGTCGTAAACGACAAATGGATGTTGTGACACAAGATTTAATCGTTTTTTTTTTCTCGTGTAATTATGTGGCGACGTGTGGATGAAATTTCTCTGTTTTATCAGCGGGTGCTGAGGTTTATGCGCCGGTCAGGTAATTAAAAAATAGGCTGCATATTTACTTATGGGTGGGTCACAGGTGGATAAGATCAGTCATAGGCAGGGCCAGACGGAATCTGTGGACGTTTTTTGCTATTTCTGCGGAGAATTTTGGTAAAAATCTGCGGATTTCTGCAGAATTATTTTGGGAGTATCCAGCGGAGTATCATAACTAAAATCTTAATATATTAAATAAAAAGTAATAAATTACTGAATAAAAACTGAATAAATTCAGATTTACACATTTACTCAAGCAAATAAACAGAATTAATAATGGGCTAAAAATCTGCAGAAAATCTCCGGAAAATCTGCGGAATTCTGCACGCGCAGATTCCGTGTGGGCCTAGTCATGGGTTAACCAAACTTTAACTACCTTGTCTAAAATATGAATGCTTCTCTAAAACTGTGAATATTTAACTTTTAATTGTATTTAACAAAGCAACAAAATCTCACGGCAATTCGTATTCTGGCACATATTTCAGACTTGTTTTAAAGAGCATCACCTCAAATGTTATTCATTATTCTTGTTTAAAGATAACTGACCAACAAAAGATGCATTAAAATTAAGATACAAATGAAAGCAAACGAAATCCACTACTCCACTGTGCGGGTGGATGATTTGTTTCGCTCTGTGGAAAATAAGGATTTAATGAATGCTTCACTGTAATTGTATCACAATCCTCTGTCATGTATTTGTTAATTTTGTATAATGTCATTATTTTGAAGATCATGTCTTGAGCATCTGATTTTTCCTTGCTACTGCCAGTGTGCTTCATTTTCTCCGTCTCACTCGCGGCAAGTTCAGGCGAAGTGTTTAATAAGAAACCCATGGCAGGAAAATATACATGTAGATTTTAAGAAATGATCTTAATATTAAAAATGAATCATAAGTAGGGCCAGACGAAATCTGCGGACGTTTTTTGCTATTTCTGCTGAGAATTTTGGTTAAGGTCTGCGGATTTCTGCAAATTATTTTGAGAGTATCATAACTAAAACCTTAATATATGAAATAAAAAATAATATCTTTTAAACTTCTATTTAATGTTTAAAATGCAAATCCAATTAGATTCACTTCATTTGGTAAATAAAGCAAGTTTGTCATATAATATGTCTAGTAAAAAATCACTGTACAAACAGCATTGCTCATAAATCAGATGAATATTTTCACATTAGTCAATAATATTACTGAAATTAATTAAAAAACTGAAAAATATAGATTTACACACATTTACTCAAGTAAATAAACAGAATTAATGATGGGCTAAAAATCTGCAGAAAATCTGAGGAATTCTGCGCGCGCAGATTTCGGGTGGGCCTAATCATAAGTTTAATCCTACCCATGTGGTAACGAATGCCCTTAAATAATATATTTATTAGTTGTCAGCAAAAAATCTATATTTATTGAGATTGAAATAAGATCTGGAAACCATTGAAAAAAATAAAATTTAGATAATAAATATAAAAAAGGGGGCTGAATATGTTTTTGTTTGTTCTTTTTATAAAGATTTTTAAAAATCCACTTGCTCTTATTATTACACTGGATTTAAAGTACACTTTTCATCAAAATTAACCAACACAATCTCACACCAAGTCGTTACTTTTTTATTTAGTGACTAATTCGTATGAATTCGTCAGATCTCATTCGCACAATTTAGTGCAATTAGCTCATCCACCAATGACGGTTAGGCTTGGGTGCCACGCCTTCTTTTAAAAACTGTACATTTTCGTACAACTGAACTAGCACGAATTCATATAAATAAATCTGCCTTTCTGCTGCACACGACAAGCTACAGCCTCTAAGTCATTCATTTCCAATGGAGAGTAGTCCGGGAGCTGAGTGGAGTTCCGATCATCTCCCTATGCGGAAAATTCGGATCCGTTGAAATACAAATGCCATCAAATAATGTAGTTATTAGTTGTCAGCAAGCATCAATATTTATTGAGGTTGAAATAAGATAAAAAAATGTAATTGAGATAAGAAATATGGTTATAGCAACACTTGGGAAATAACGCTCGTCGTAGACGTCACGGTATGACTGATCGTGAAGGAACGTGTAGTCTGGCACATTTGTTACTCACAACAAGTCAAGATTTTATCAAGAAAAAAAAATCACATAATCTGACATAGTGACTTTCGTAACCGTCAATAAACATCATGTGATCTGACCGGAGCTTTAGTTTTACTATATTACGGTGGTTTATGAGGACATGCCTTGTCCTCCTAATTCAAAATGCTTAAAAAGCCCACTTAACAGGGTGTTTTCACATTCAAAATTTGGTAGAGGCCATATAAGAAGCAGTTTTAGTATGAAATACATTACGCCTATAGAGAGTCCTCATTAACCATATATACAAGTGTGTGTATTGTATGTGTATTTCCAGAGACTTTTCTGTTTCCCTGAAAATACCTTGATGCAGTTTTGTCAAACTGACTGATGCGAACTGGAGGTGGATTCAGTTTTCAATCTGTGCAACACCATCTATCTCTCTACATGAGGTTCATATTGAATTCATATGGGGTTTATATTGCAGGTTTTGTAATTCGTTGTTTTAAAAAACAAAAAAGAAGAGCAAATCATCTTTTTGTTATGCATTAAGCACTTTCTGCGCTTATTATATGTATAGAAATGTATACAGGTCCTATACTGTGTTTTACGCGTGTTGTATGTCATAAGCGCTATCTCTCTCTCTCTCTCTCTCTCTCTCTCTCTTTTGTCTGTCTTCTCTCGCTTCTTCAACAACTTACATTAAGCATGGCCTTTTATACGAGTCAAAATTATATATGCATTTTAAAAAAGGGGCTGAATATGTTTTTGTTTGTTCTTTTTGAGATCTTAATAAAGGTTTTCAAAAATCAACTCTAGTGTTGCTCTTTTATGACTCTGGATTTAAAGTACACATTTCATCAAAAAGAACCAACACAATCTCACAGCAATTCCTAACTTTTCGATTTAGTGGGTAATTCGTATGAATTCATAGGATTTAATTCATATAATTTAGTATGATTTGTATTTGTATGAACTGGAATTGGCCACTAAACTGACCAAACGTTAAAAAGAGCTATATTTCCTTGTGAGATCAGGCTGAAGATAACATATTGCTAGGGCTGGGCGATTAATCGAAAAGTAATCGAAATCAGCATTCAGAACCTATAATCCATCAAATTTTTCCAGGTCAATTTTTCGATCATTTTCCCTACAGCGTGTGGAGTCATGTGACCCCGCTATGTTAAGCCTTTATTTCTACTTCTGCGGCCACTTTTCAGCCACATCTGATGTGTCTCAAGTAGGATGATGGAGCCATTCTTGAACATTGACGAGGATTGGAAGCTGTACCAGAGATGCCTTTTGATGGCAAATTTTTTTATTACATTAAAATCATTATTTACATTAAAACATGTTCACAGAAGAATCAAGAAATGCACTGTTAAAATATCATTTACAGGATAAACAGGAGTTCTTTTATTTAGAAGAGATGCTGCTTATTTTCTACTCTGAATATGAAAAACATTTATTTATAATAGATTTTGTTTCCAAAAGTGCAAGTTATTCAGTTTTACTTTTGTATAACAAATGTTTGTTTCAGGCAAAAGTGTGTTCTAATTTCAGCTCTTCAACATTGATGTTTAATAAATAATCACAGATGGTAGACCGTGTGTGTTTCCTTCAATTATTTTAAAACCAAGTAATGCACCCTTCATCCAAACATCTCTCACTTGTCATTTGTGAGCATATTTACTGTACAAAACCTGTCAGTCTATGAGGGCAAAGAAATAAAATCGTTTATTAATCGTAATCGAGTTCAAATGTTCAATTAATCGAGATTTAGATTTTAGGCCAAATCGCCAAGCCCTACAAATTGATGCATTTGTAATTGCGTCCTTAAATTAAAGCCTAAAAGTTTTACAATCTTGTCCATAAAGTCATCAAGTTTTGCGTTCAGTTCAATAATAATAATAATAATAATTATAAATTCCTTCAGTATTTGTTGTTTTAAATTAAGAAATTGAGTTGTGTTTTCTGAGGAACCGAAGTTTTCAATTCAAAATGTGTATGAAACTAATTTTTCTGAGCCCGATTACTTACGCTGGACGAAACAGTGCAGTCCAGCAGGCCACCTGCTTCTTTATCACTTGATTGAATTGGCATTATCAGTGGTTATCAACTGATAGATATGGGCTACTGGTAGGTTCAGAAGGCTGTTATCATCTATCCACATGGTTAATCAGATACTAAAAGAGAACACTCCAGATGCAGATCTGTTTTTACATTACTGTGACGGTTGGGGTTGGGGTAGATGTTAATAAAATACAACTAATGGAAAATTTAAAAAATAATATAAGTAATTCTGGTCGTTTCTCATCTACACCAGGGATGTCAAACTCAATTCCTAGAGGGCCGCAGCCCTGCACGGTTTAGTTTCAACCCTAGTTAAACACATTTGATTAAACTAATTGAGTCCTTCAGGCTTGTTTGAAACCTACAGGTAAGTGTGTTGGAGTAGGGTTGGAACTAAACTGTGCAGGGCTGTGGCCCTCCAGGAACTGAGTTTGACATCCCTGATCTACACTAATAGAGAAGACTCCAGATCTGTTTTACATTACTGTGACGGTTGCGTTTAATGGTTGGGGTAGATGTTAATAAAATACAATTAATAGGAAATTTTATAAACAATATAAATAATTCTTGTTAACTTCCAGCCGCATGTAATCTATAGCTGGTTAACCATGAGTATGGATGATAACAGCCTTCTGAGCTTACCAGTAGGCTTATAACTACTGATAATACCCATTTAATCGAGTGATAACATTTGAATTGGCTGCGCAGGCCTACAAAGCTGATTCATAATATTTGATTAATATACAGTACTGTGCAAAAGTCTTAGGCCACTAGTATTTTCACCAAAAAAAATAAATAAAATTTAGAGTCGGTTTATTATATATTTTTCTGCAGCATGTCAATTTAAATGTCAAGTTACATTTCCAAATGTTATTTTTGTCATTTATAATTGTAATTCTACAGTGAATTATTGTGTGACAACAGCCAGCGCTCCACACAGAGATCTGATCTTATCAGTCATGACATGAAGAAACAGAACAAACTCAGACAAACTAAATTCAGAAGAACTTTGGCAACATCTCTTAGACGCTTCAAAAATATTTGATTCCAAAAACACAAATCTGACAAAGAAAAAACTACCAGCAAAGCTACAGTACTGTTTAAAGTTTTAGGCACTCATGTTAAAATACTGTAAAATTAATAATGCGTTAGTATGTTTTATTTATCAACCAACTTATATTAACTAAACCAAATCACCATTTGCTACAGGTGCACATAGTTTTTCAGGTAAGTTTGCAGGTAGTTTTTTTGTCAGATTTTTGTTTTTTGGAATAAATTATTTGTGGTTTATAAAAATAGTTTATTATTTTATATTAAAAACGTGTAAGATGATTTGTATATTATTAAATTTGTTGCAAGATGTTTTAACGAAGTAAATAAAGTAGAAATATAGCTTTTTCTGTTCTATTTGTTATTTAAAATAAGTAAAAAAAGATGAAAAACTATTTAAAGATACTTTCAAAAATATTCAAAACGTTTACAAGTGTTCACGTTGTTGTGCATGCTGATATTACATGCTGTATGGGAGATTTATGATATGCCTTTGAGAGTGTTTGTTAGTCTATAAGAAACTCTCTTCCGCGAGCATGAGGGGATCGTCAGCATTCTGTGTCGGTGACGTCGCGTTCTAAATATTCGATCAGCATTCTATAAAAGCCTTCAGCTCTCCGTCATTTCTCTCTCAGTGCATCTGGGGTTCCTGTTGTACTTGACCAAGGAGAGTTCATTACCAATGAGTGGAGCCACGCCAATTTCAGGAAGTCCGCTTCGTGAAGCTTCACTCGGGTCCGTCTATGTGTAGTTCTTCGCGGTTGGAAACTATATAGTTTACTATGGCAATTATGGTTAGTAAGGTTACTGTTGGGTGTTGTGATGGTTTTTATTGCCTTTTCAGCAGGGTTGTTGAGCAAAGGAGACTTCTTTCAAACAGCCGCGCTTACAACACGTACCAAGACGAGCATATGTGTTTGAGCTTTTTAATGTAATGTAAAGTTTTCTTACTGTAGTATGTTCCAAGTAGGTACCGGAGACCACCTAGTGGAAGGGGCTTATGCCGCAATTAGGCAGGGTTTAAGGTTAGTGTAGTAGACATTATTAAAACACAACAGGTTACAATGAGGTTTGTGTTTAGGGTGGGGGTGGTGTAGTAGATATTAATAAAACATTGCCGGGTTAATGTGAGGTTGAGTTAAGGGTTGGGGTAGGTGAAGACCTTAATAAAACACAACAGATTGGACATTGAATAATTGAAAACTCCAGGGGCTCAAGTCCCACCCACTCTTGCAGCTGGTTCAGACCTCTGTTTATAACCTTCACGTATATGCAATAAAATATTTTTTCTAAATGCCTGAATTGAGATTTTATTTAGTCTATACCCTCTCCAGTACAATGCATTTTATATAACGTGGTTTGATAATAGTAAATAAATTTTTCCAACAAATAGTTGCTACAAATACATATTTATTTCACCCCAGAGTATTAAAAATATCTTTATTAAAAAGGGGTTTTGTCAGGATCAAAAATTATTCAAAGACTCGAGGAAGATTTATTTTCTGATATTTTAATGTTCTTGCAGTAAGGGAACTATACAGGAGAAACCCAAGAGGTTCCATTCTGGTTGCTCAAAGGGCAGTCCTCTGAAGCCAGTTTATACAGGCATACAAACAGATGATGAAGCATTGTCTTTAATCATTGGTCTAAACAGTTTGTTTGGTAGAATCCTATTGATCATATTAGTCAAATCATTGTCAGCACAATATTCCTGCATCTGGCACATTTCAACCATTCAATTGATTGAAAACTATAGTTGAGCATGTGATTATATCAAGAAGCACATACATTTTGAAGTATACAAATATAAAATAGAATATTAAAAATATAAAAAATTTAATTTTATACTTAATAAATTAGCATAAATATTAGGGATATGTTGGATACATTTTTATTTATTTCCATACATTCTATTTATATAAAGGAACCCAAAGTTAATATTAAATGTATACACATCGCATGGCATATGCTGTATTTTCTAATCCTGGCACTGACAGCAATATCGATATATCAATAGAACTCAATATTCCGCCCAGTCCTATATTTTTACTTTTTAGATTGCTTAGATATGGGTACTACTATATGTGAAGTATCAATATGGACTCTTTTGAAAATGTGGTTCTTTTGAAAAGGTAATGCCCCAGTAACAGCTCCCATACTTTTATTTTTAAGAGAAAAAAGCTGACTGAAACGTGTATGCTTATCTGCAGCTCCTAAGAAGCAAAATATTGATCTGTGATGATATGGCAATGCTAATGTTATGTTTTGTGTCCAGTGTCCAGCAGTTGGTGTCCCAAACTAAGCTCTTGTGCAGCCCTGTTAGAATACCTGCAATTTGTGCATGTGTTTGAAAACGTAAAATTCTGTAGCGCATTTAGTTTAGGCCAGTGGTTCTCAAACTGTGGTACGTGTACCACTAGTGGTACGCAGGCTTCCTTCTAGTGGTACATAGAGGAATTGCTGAATAATTAAAGTAAAACAAAATTAACAATTTTAACGCTTTGACCCATACGATAACAACAATGTGATTAGTAAATTGATATTAATGGGCAAAACCTTTTATTTTATTTTCAATTTTCTAATGTTTGTTATGTATTCTATCATGTGAAGCTAATTTGTAACGGTTGTTGGGGGCGTATCCCGTATTTTTATATCCCAATGTTGACATGTATGTCAACTGGGGCACTTCAGATCATTTTGGATGGGCACTTTCTATCCAAGACTAAAAAGGGCATGTGCACTGCACAGGTTGATGTGTGCAAGTACCTGGGTTCAAGGAACATTTCCAGGTTTTGATGAATAGGCTACTTTCTGTTAATACTTTACATTTAAGTACAGCAGTTTTCTTTTTACTTTTTAAGAACAGTGTCATTTCTAATTAACGTTTAGAAGCACAATTAAATTTAAACATGATTTAATTTTTTTTCTGTAAGCACAGGGCAGTGTTGATGTTCAATAATGTTTAAAGTGGCTGACAATAGTAAATATTCATAATAATAGAAATAATCTGCCTCATTTTTGAACTGTGCAGAGCTTCAGCTGCTGAATTAGGCCTACTACGCTACTGTAATTTAATACTGGTCTTTATGGTGGTACATGGAGAGACTTGATGAAAAAAGTTGAACCACTGGTTTAGGCCATTTGGTGATTTCAGTCATCATAGGCATCCTTTAACTTCTTCTTAATGGCATGCAGTCTAAACAGACTCTCGGTCATTGTGTATAATGATTTTGGATCTTCTTGGACACTTTTTTTTTGCCGTTCGATTGAATAGGAAATCCAAGACAGATTTTTGTACTTAGCCTATGACCAAAGAAAAAATAGTCATACATTGCAGTTTAAAGGAAAGTAGTGCAGTGAAAGCACTGATACAGCACTAAAATGTATGGAAGTAAAAGTACACATTTTAAAAAAAAATACTTGTATAGTAATTCCAGAGGAAAAGCTACTTACAGATCTTTCTATATCCTGAAAAAATGCTCAGTGCTTAGTAAATAATAATAATATATGTTTCTTGATCAATAGATCAGCATATTAGAATGATTTTAGAAGAATCCTATGATACATGTCATTCTGTGAGGTGAAACTGAAGCAGTGTACTTTTTGAACTGTTTGATCAGTGTTTGTCAAAGTCTACGCGGAACTGAACTATTAATACAATGTTCAAAATGAATTGGATAAAACACTGCCTTTCCCAAAGTAACTCACTATGGTATTATATTCCAAATCTTTTCTTTAAAAAATGTGGTGGATTTTTTGCTTTCTTGTGACTACAAATGTAATAAACTTCCCAATAAATTATCAAACTTTCAAGCAATCATTAGAAGCATGGAAAATTGCCTTTAAACTTGCTTTTCTCCACATATGTGCGTTCTATGGAATAACCAACATGTGTTGCATAAAAACAAAAGTATATTTTAAAAAGATTGGTTTAAAAAGGGAATTATTTTTGTTTCAGATTTACTAAATAGCAGCGGTGAGATTTATACTTATCAGGAAATTCTTTCTTCTTCAGGGACTGTTGTTTTACATAATGATTATAATGTACATGTGAAAAGCATCTCTAATAAACTGCTTTACTTCATAAATATTCATCTTACTTATAACTCAGTCTTAAAGCAAATTCCAAACACTCTACTTGATGCTATCAGTATCTTAGATAAATAAATGTAATAACTTCCATATCAGAAAATGTCCAATTTAGAATAGTAGTTGTTTCCCGAAAGCCATTTTGAAATGGAAACAATATTTTTCTTAACTTTTATAGATGATATTTGGTCAACAAGTAATAAGCTTTTACTCCCGAATAAGGTAAAAGAAATTCATTTCAACATATTACAGAGGTACTACTGTCTCTGCAATATATTTATTAATACATTTAAAAGTCACATTTCACCACAGTGTTCTTTTTGTAACACTGTGTCTGAAAGTCTTGTACACCTATTTTGTACTTGTACATTTTCTGAAAACAGGTTTTTAGGGTTGATTTTTGATTCATTTTACAAAATAATTAATTTTGACGAATGCATGATTATTTTTTGGAATATTTAACTGGCTATGATACACTCGATAATGCTTTGAAGTTGATCATTTTCTTGGGATAGTTTCACATACACAAGGCAAAAGTAATGTCTTTTACTCTCTCCTTTAATTTTTTCTGTAAAGATTTAAAAATATTTCATAACTATTTGACCTCAATTACAAGAAACAAGAGAGCTATAAAAACCTCTGTAATAATGAAAAACAAAACAATATCTGTACAATCATATATGTTAATTATTCTTTTTTGTTTAAAGTATGTTCTGCATCACTAAGTTTTGTATGACTGTTACATATGTTTTCATATAATCCTGTATGCTTGTCAGTTATATGCATCAATAAATTATATATATATAAGTCTACGGGGAACTGGAACGCGCACGCGTTTTTCGCACGGACATTTTTTCTCGACGGACAGGAGCGAGTGTGACGTATTTGTGTGGAGGTCAAGTCAAACAAGCAGGTAAGAGAACAGAAAAATGCGTCGCAATTTTGATAATTTAATTTACTGTTCGTCGTCGGCTTTTGCTGTAGTGTTCGTGTTTTCTCCTGTATGATGCCTGCTGTTTTTAATTGAACGGTTTGAAACACGTGCGAGTGTGTGTGTGAGAGAGAGACTGCAGCTGGTGTTTACTCTGCTCCAAACCAGTGACCGCAGATGTTCATCACATCTTTTACACCAAACCTCTAAAATAACGAGGAAAGTTGGCTAAGTGGACACTAAATTGTGTGTCGTAAACTCTGTTATCACTAACGTTAGATAAATAAGTCACGTGTTATTTCCTAAAACAAAGGAACACACACGTCTCTGTTGAGCTTCTTAAAATTAAATGCGTTTAACCCTTTAACAATATGTTCATGTGATGGAAAACTTACGACAGTTCATAATTTAAAAGCTATTAAAGTTGATGTGAGGTTGGAGAGTGGTCTGAGGCAAAAAACGAACGCATTTCAATATAACAGTATAACTTATTATACTCTTAATAATCGACTGATTTGTTGTTATATCCAGCACACAACATCAAATCTCAACATACAAAAAGGTCATTGAGGAAACTGTTTTCAGTTAATTTCTTTTATTTTAGCCCAGAAGTGTTTAAACTGCTTATTATGTGGCTTATTTTACTGGTCATAGATATTTTCTACCAACAATGAATCTTTAAGTGTGTTAATTTCATGAACAGTTTGAATAAACTAGAGAGACAGCATTTTATCTATTGTTTATGCTATTGTTATTATTATTATTTATATTGTAAGATTAATCTAGTGGGGGAAATTATTTAAAATTAAAATTGTAAAACTGATGTTTATGTTTTATTCCATTTGTATTATAATGTTTGTTCTGCAGGCGAGCTTCATATGTGTTAATTTTAGTTCATTTTAACATTTCAAATTTGAAGTCATTCATTAGTAAATGTTAGTTAATGGATTAAAATCAGCAGTGGAAAAAAGGCAGATGTGTTACGTTTGTGTTAATATTAGTTATTAATCGATTTCTAATCAGTTTACAACCAATATTTTAACAACTAAGAGATAAACATCACATAACATAATTAAAACTTGCATTTTTCTTCATGGGTTCAGTTAAATTAACTACAGTATTCCAGTTGGGGGGGGGGGGGGGGGGTATAACATTACATGTTTTAAAATTAATATTTTTTTTTTTTTTCCTTTTAGCCTTAAATTGTTAATCCATAAAGCTTTTGTTCTAAAGTTTGGTAAGTGTTAATTTGAACACTTACCAAACGCTTTTAACACGTTAACCCCCCAGCAGTGTTTTCACACCTAGTTTGAAAAAAAAAGTCAGGAAAGTGGGTGAGTCCAGCTTTGTTTAGGTGAGAGTGTTGAGTGGTGAAAGAAAAGGGTTTGCATGAAAAGGGGAGTTTCAGTCACTACAGCTGTTTTTTTACAGCGTCAACACAGACGCAGATGCAGGGGAGAAAGACGGTGACTACGGCCCCGTTTACACTAATGCGTTTTAGTTTGAAAACGCATAAGTTTTGCTACGGTTACGCCAACCGTCCACACTACGCCGGAGTTCTCGAGCGCCGAAAACGCTGGAGAGGCCGTTTTCATTTTGAAACGCTGCTGCTCCGTCTCAGTGTGGATGATGGAAAACGGAGACATCTGAAAACGGAGGCGGGGCTGCAGACGTTCGCCTCTCTGATTGGGGCTTTTCCTGAATATTAAGTAGCCTAACACACAGTTCAGTCCTGAATCTTCTCCGTGTAAGTTCAGACTTCGCAAGTTTGATCAAGGCTGCAGTCTCTTCTTCTCAGTTTGATATGGAAAAGCAGATTATACCGAGGACACGGGTAAATCTTCAAAGGGAACAGTGTACTTTATAACTTCATTCACATCACCCTGGCTTCGTTGTTTCACTTTCTCAACAATAAAATGTAAACATGATTTAAGGAACTGCCTATTTTCATTTTAATATTAGCAACTTAGACAGCAGACATGTTGAGGCGCCGTGCTGTATAAGATGAGCGTCATCTTCACTGTCTGGATATTTATAACAAAACGGAGCCGATAACAACTGCCTCCTTTCAATTTCAGTGAAAATACGAAACATCCCCTCTCTTTTGCTGAGTATCAGTTTTAAGAATCGATAATGGCCATTTTAAAAGTATAACATACAATAAGTTTATACATTATAGGAAATAAAGGCAAGCGATAAGTCAATATACAGAATGTACGTGGTTACATTAATCATTAACTTATCTTTGCGCTCAGCCAAAACACGTTACCTGAGAACAAGTAATAGATTCCAATGCCCAATGTCAGGGAATATGTCGTTAGATAAAGACAACAAGATGAATGAAATATCCCGTTTAATAAATATAGTGAGATTAGATCCAGCGGGAGATGCTTGATGAGAAGTCCGACTAGCAGAGCTCTCATCTGGGTACATGGGCTGCAGCGCTTGCCCGAGAGCGTCTGTGTGGTCACGTGATGTGCGTTTTCAGCGTTTTGGTGTGGACGGAGAGCAGTTCAGAAACGCTGGGTAAAACGCGAGTGTGGACGCGGATCGTTTTCATTCTAAAACGCCGTTTTAAAACTAAAACGTACTAGTGTAAACGGGGCCTACGTTTACATGGACATCAGTAATCAAATTATTAGCCTTAATCTGAATAAGATAATAGTATGATTAAGGTGTTTACATAAGTGGCTTTTTGAATGTTCCTTTCATGTTCCCGCTTGACTGGTTATAGCACATAATTCGATTGGCATCCTTGCCAAACTATCCACATTTCCATCTGGAGTTTCATTTAATTAATTAATTTAATTAATTAACTCTGACACACATACACTCACACACACACACACACACACACACACACACACACACACACACACACACACACTCATCTGCACTGGTCACTTTATGCAGACACACCATACTACCTCCCAATATGTCACTATCACTTTATCACAATTATCATGTTTACAAGTTCTTTTTGCACTACCAAGCTCGCAGAACCCTAAATGAAGCAAAGAAACAAAGCTGGAAACAATTTGTATCCAGCTTAACTTACTATACTCCCATGAAGAAGATTTGAAACATGATCCGTAAAATGAAGGGAAAGGAAAATGAAACTCGCATACAACATATTATAAAACAAGGAATACTTCAAACAAAGGAAATGGACATAGCAAATACATTAGCTGAAGCCTTCGAAAAGAATTCATCAATAGAGAACTGCCTCCCAGCATTTCAAATCATACGAGCACAGCAGGAATGCAAAGAACTAAATTTTTATTCTGACAACAAAGAAGTATATAATCAACCTTTTAAAATTAAAGAATTAATAAATTCTTTAAAATGCTCACATGATACAGCCATTGGACCAGATAAAATCCATTACCAGTTTTTAAAACACTTACCATATAGTTCACTAAGCCTCCTACTGGACGAGTTCAACAACATCTGGTCTTCGGGAAAAATTCCAGCTTCGTGGAAAGAAGCAACAGTAATAGCTATACCTAAACCAGGAAAAGACCACACTGATCCAAATAACTACAGACCAATTGCTCTGACCAGTTGTTTATGTAAAACGATGGAAAGAATGATTAACAACCGTCTTGTCTGGACACTAGAAAAAAACAAACAACTAACTGACTACCAGTGTGGATTTAGACGTGGAAAGAGTACATTGGATCAGTTAATCCGACTAGAAACTTATATCAGAGATGGATTCATCAGAAAAGAACATGTTGTTGCTGTTTTCTTTGATTTAGAAAAAGCTTATGACACAACATGGAGATATGGAATTTTAAAAGATCTTCACCAAATGGGATTTAGAGGAAAACTTCCTACCTTCATTTCAAACTTTCTCACTAGAAGAAACTTCAGAGTCCAAGTGGGAAATTCTCTTTCAAATACCCACCAACAAGAACTCGGAGTTCCTCAAGGAAGTATACTCTCGGTCACACTCTTCAGTATTAAAATAAATAGCATTGTGGAAATCATTGCTCCAAATATGTTCTGCAGCATCTACGTGGATGATTTATGTATCTGTTACAGAGGGAAGAACATGAATACAATTGAAAGGCAATTGCAGTTAAATATTCACAAAATTAACCAGTGGGCTGTCGAAAATGGTTTTAAGTTCTCTAAAACAAAAACTGTTTGTACACATTTTTGTATCCAGCGATCACTTCATCATGATCCAGAACTTTTTATCAATGGAAATATGATCAAAGTTGTTAAAGAAATCAAGTTTTTAGGTCTCCTTTTTGATAACAAAATGACTTTTATCCCTCATTTAAAATTTTTGAAAAACAAGTGCCTCAAAGCTATGAACATAATCAAAGTGTTGGCAAAAACAAATTGGGGTGCTGACTTAACTGTACTTTTACGATTGTACAGAGTACTCATTCGATCTCGTTTGGATTATGGAAGCATAATTTATGACTCTGCCAGGAAATCTTATGAACAAATCCTCAATACAGTCCACCATCAAGGATTACGGCTTGCTTTAGGAGCATTCAGAACATCACCCGTTCAGAGTCTGTACATTGAAGCTAACGAACCCTCACTTCAAAATAGACGGCTGAAACTTTCATTACAATATGCTATCAAACTAAAGGCAAATAAGAATAACCCAGCTTATACTGCAGTTTTCGAACCTCAGTTTGTACAATTATACGAAAGTAAGCCAAAAACCATCAGACCTTTTGGTTTACGTATCAATTCACACTTACAAAATCTAAATTTAAACCTGGACATTTTAAAACAAATACACTTCAACTCATTGCCTCCCTGGAATTTAAAGATGCCTATAATCAATATGGAGCTAGGACACCAGAAGAAAGGAGTTACTCATCCCAATATGTACAAACAACAATACCTGGATATCAGAACTCAATACTCTCAGCACATACCAATCTTCACAGATGGTTCAAAGATGGAAAGTAATGTAGCAGCAGCAATGGTGACAGGGGAACAAAGTCATGGAATCAGTCTACCTAAAGAATGCTCCATATTCACAGCTGAAGCCCGCGCTTTACTTTTAGCATTGGAGTACATAGAAAATGCACAACAAAAGAAATCCATCATTTTCACAGACTCTAAATCATGCCTCCAAGTTATGGAATCTTCAACAAATGATCATCCTTTGATTGATAATATTTTAACTAAAGTTCACCAACTACAAAATCAGTTTTATCACATCATTTTTTGCTGGGTTCCTGGACATGTCGGGCTTTTAGGCAATGAGCGAGCTGATGCAGCTGCTAAAGATGCTTTGAAGCAAGTAGTAAACAACTGCCAAATTCCTCCGTCAGAGATGAAACCTTTTATCAACGCTTACATTTTAAACAAGTGGCAAAAGGAATGGGATGCATTAGAAAACAATAAACTACATGAAATCCAACCTGAAGTTTCACACAGAATTTTAAGACATTTTAAGAATCGATTTGATCAAGTAGTTTTTACCAGATGCCGTATTGGGCATACGAGAATTACACATGGATTTTTGCTCCAAGGTGAAAACCCCACTCAGTGTTTGTGCTGCAAAACTCCTATTACTGTAAAACATATTTTACTGGACTGTCCTGCTTTTACTGATTCCAGAAGGACTTTTTATGAAATTAACTCTTTTAAGGAAATTTTTGACAAAGTGGAACCAGAAAAGATTTTAGAATTTTTATCATGTATTAACACAAAAAATCTTATTTAATTTATGTTTTATTTTGTTTGTTGATTTTTAAATTGTATTATTTATTGTTGAAAGATTCCTGCCATGAAGATAGCCTTGGTTGCTGACATGGCAATAAATAAAAAATACATTACATTACATTCTTTTTGCACTATACTGTTCTTTATCTGCACAACTCTGGTTTACTTTGCACTCATTTGCTATATGCCCTTAATGTCACTGTATTGTTTACAATTTTTATTACCTATGTATATTTTTAGACCACATTTATGTGCAATGTATATACTGTAAATTTTCTTTTTCTTAAACTGTACTATTTTTTTATACATATTTTTTATATTAATGTTAAGCAACTTGGGTCTGAGAGTAACGCAATTTTGATTCTCTATATGTCTTGTACATGTGGCTGAATTGACAATAAAGCTGACTTTGACTTTGACTTAATTTCGGGTGTTTCATTCTTATTTTGTTGACTTTAACTGCAGTTTTACTTTCATTCAGGAACATTTCATGCATGCACGCGTGACAAACAAGATATTGGATGCGAGGAACTGCTGGAAGGGTGTAGTTTTAATTAAATACTATACCGCATGCCTTACGGGAGAAAAAAACTCTGCATTTCTCTGTAGATACAGACACTCACTCGGTAGGTGCAGAGAATAGCATCAAACAGCCGTGTGTGTATAGACTATCCTTTCACAAAATGTGACAAACCATATGCGGGGGAAATCCTACACGACAGTAATAGTTTGATTAAGGTGTTTACATTCTAAGAGCTAGTAGTTTTAGTTAATGGTTTGTTAATACAGTGAATTGTGGCCTAAACTAAAGGGTTACAGAATTTGAGCGATGTGCATCAACTCTACAATTTTGGTGAATCCTTCATGTTTTAAATTTTGTTTTATTCAGGCATAATGGTAAAGAAAAAGCGTTTGAGGCTTATAGCCGAGATGGCACGGAAGATCCGAGCTTACCGTGAGCTGAAGAACCGGCCCCGGGACTCTCAGCGCTATGCTTTAGACTACGACACCATGACGCGGCCCTTTTCTGGAAAAAAGCTGCCGGTGTTGGCCTGGAAGGATGTGCAGAGAGAAACCCGCCTCTTCTCTTTACTGTCCGGCATGCGCATGTTTGGTTTGGGTCGACTCTTCACGCGCAAATCCTGGCTGGACGAGCACACGGAGCCCTGCTATTGGAAAATAACCAAAGTCAAGGTGGACTACACAGCAGAGGTACAGTTGGGGTTTGACATTAAATCAAATAAACACATGCAAATTATTATACACATTATAAAAAACACTTTTTTGTTTTTTTTCCTTTAGAACATGGATCACGGGAAAGCATGGGGCGTCCTAACATTTAGAGGTAAGACGAGATGTTTTCTGTAAATAACTAATACACAATCAACTCCACATTTTCCAATAACACTAGCTGATTATATCATATATTTTGAGGAAATCTGAATAGAAACGAGACATTGTATGTCTATTTCAGGTAAAGAGGAGCCCAAGGAGCGTGAGGTGGACAAGGTGATGTACCATGACTGGCGACTGGTGCCCAAACATGAAGAGGAGGAGTTCAGGCGCTGTGAGCCTGTCCCGGAGCCTGCTGCCCGGTCAGTGCGGTACCCTCCCCTTCTGCGGGCCATGATACTGGCACAGCAGGCCAAAGAGCAGGGGGTGGAGGTCAGCACTCTTCCAGAGCCCCTGCTGCCCCTCAAACGAGTGGTCACGCTCAATCAGGAGTACTTCAGGAGACAGGATGAGCTGAAGAAGCAGGAGGGAACACCTGTCTGAGGGGTAAAGGTCACGCTTTGATGGGAACCACTTCTGCTCCTAGGCACTTTTTAAAGAGCACTGCTGGCTGTAAAGACTGACTTGTGTTTGATGCTGTTTTATTCTCACTAAAATATAGCTAGGTTCATCGTACATCTTCATGTGGATATGCAGCTCATGAAGAAGGAAAAGGAGGAGATTTGACACAGTTGGATCAAGGTGACCAAACTCAAAAGCATAAGACTCTTTTTGTTTTTTGTCACAAAATCATGTGTCTAATATTTGTTTAATAGCAAATTAAATGTGTAAAATGATATTGGTGTTTTATTGTAGTTTGTAAATATGCATCAAAACTAGGGTTGCACAATATACCATTACAGCACTGATATCGCAATATGCAATGTCCAGTCTGAATTATAGTTGACCAGGAGCTACAGAATTGTATTTAATCACTGTATTTATATGGAATTTATATGATTTATGCAAGAAAACATTTCTTACTTAGAATTGATGTCTTGTTTGTAGTCCAAACATCTACATTTCAAAGTGAAAACAAGATTATTTCACTTGCCCACTGGCAGATAATTTCCTCAAAACAAGCAAAGAAAAAAGCCTCTTCCTTTTCACTTATTTTGTTCTGATGGTGAAAACTAAACAATATTTTTACTTGCTCTAAGATTATTTTTATATTCGGACTAGAAACCAGACAAAAAGTAAGAAAAGCTTATTATTTATTATTATTTTTTTGCATTGTGATTATTCAATTACTCAACCTGACTCCCCAGAAAGCCGTCCAATTATAATATTCAAACTATCTTCTGAAAATATTCATGTAACAATTTATCGCAAAAAAAAAGATCGCAATATCAGATTTTTCCGATATTATGCAGCACTAATCAAAACCTCTTTAAAAACTTCTTAAAATTTTAAATAAACTTTAATTTTTTTTGTAAAAGTCAAGAACATATTCAGATTATAATTTCCAACAATATTAATTGATTAATATTACTTTAATATACTTTATTTATTTGGAATTATATTTAAAAAAAAGCATTTCTCAATTTATATATGAGCAATTCCAGCGTTATAGATGACATTTGCAGTAAAAACTCAAAACATAAAGAGTTACGGGATCAGAAAAAGATCAATCTGTAAACATATTTTATATTTTTAATGAGGTAAATAAACATGCATTATGTATATGACCAAAAAAAGTCTGCAGGTTTGCAGTGTACAACATACTTTGTTCAAATTACTGACACTTTTCCGTTATGGGTGTGACAGATGTGAAATTGCCACTTGTGTGACTTTGGTAAAGCAGATATAATAGTTTAAAAACACTGACAGAGATTTTTGAGTAGTTTTTGAAGTACTGTAAAATACTTGCTTACACAAAAATGTAAAAATAATTTCTCTATTTTGGTAAAAACTTTATTAATTTTCATGGCAAGATTGACATGTGCATGGAATTGCTAATATACAGCTGAAGTCAGAATAATGAGCTTCCCTTTTAATTTTTTTCTTTTTCAAATATTTCCCAAATGACGTTTTAAAGAGCAAGAAAATTTTCAGTTTGTCTGATAATATTTTTTTCTTCTGGAGAAAGTCTTATTTGTTTAATTTCGGCAAGATTAAAAGCAGTTTTTAATTTTTTATGAACCATTTTAAGGTCAAAATTATTTGCCCATTTAAGCTATATTTTTTCAATAGTCTACAGAACAAACTATCATTATACAATAACTTGCCTGATTACCCTAACTTGCCTAATTAACCTAGTTAAGCCTTTAAATGTCACTTTAAGCTGTATAGAAGTGTCTTGAAAAATATCTAGTCAAATATTATTTACTGTCATCATGACAAAGATAAATCAGTTATTAGAAATGAGTTATTAAAACTATTATGTTTAGAAATGTGTTGAACAAATCTGCTCTCCGTTAAACAGAAATTGGGGGGAAAAAAGAAAGAGGGGCGAATAATTCTGACTTCAACTGTACATATTTTACTTATATATTTGTTTTAACATTACAGTTTAAAATGTGCATTGCTTTTCTAAAATGGGTGGATCATCAATGTCTTTAGTAATATGTGGCCCAATTACAAGGTGTCTCCCATTTTGGTGTCTGCATTAACCCTTTAAGGTACATTCCTCGAAAATATTGTCTTGTATTGAACAATATGCTGACACAGTTGTGATAAATCGAGCAATTAAAATAAAAATGATAGCCTATGGATAAAAGGTCAACAGGGTGGTTATGATGCCTGTTAAAGGGTTAAATTCAGTTTACAAAAATGATGTTATTATTCAAAAGGTTCATGTTAAAAGCAGTTGTTTACTTTGTAAACATAAAATGTTGAAGTATGGGTGAAATTTTCCATTTCGTCTAACATATTCATGTACAGGGCATCACGGTGGTGCAGTGAGTAGCTTGATCGCGTTACACCAAGAAGGTTGCTGGTTCGAGCCTCGGCTTGGTCGGATGGCATTTCTGTGTGGAGTTTGCATGTTCTCCCTGTGTTTGTGTGGGTTTCGTGCTCCGGTTTCCCCCGCAAGTCCAAAGACATGCCAAATAGGTGAATTGAATAAGCTAAATTGTCCGTAGTGTATGTGTAAATGAGTGTGTATGGGTGTTTCCCAGTGCGTAGAACATATGCTGGATAAGTTGGTGAATCATACCGCTGTGGCCACCCCAGATTAATAAGGAACAAAGCTGATAAGTTTAAAATAAATGAATGAAAAAATATTTATGTACAATGTGCTTATTCTGGCGCTCAATTGTAGTAAAATTACAATATATAAATAAGTACAAGTGATCGTCCTACAGTTTTATCATACATTAAATGACTCAAATTTGCCAAAAATGGCTAAAACAGTTTTGATGTAAAGTGGCAAAATACAAAGATACAAAATGAAAATGAATTCGTATTTTGTGGCTCTGTGAATGCCATTATTATTATTATTAATATTATTTCGTATATAAAGTGTTGTTAAACGGAATGTGTGTTGGTCGTCTGGTCTAAATCACTAAACATGCATGATGGTATATTTGTTTTGTTCAGATTTTTGGACGCGTTCAGATGTACGGGGGAGTAAGGCTGTAATACACTTGAAACGTACCAAACATCACAAAAACAAGAAAGGTTGGAGAAGTCCTGAATATACTCACTTTCCGTGTGTTTTCTATGTAGTGTGGATCTGAGACGCGCACGCGCATGTCACCTAGCGACACTCATCATCAGCGCGCGCTCTCGTCTCCTCCTCCTTTCTGCCGAAAACTCTTGAGGATTCCTGCACGGAGAAGATGATCATACTTTGCTTAACCATATTTGCGAACATCTTCAAGCCAGGTAAGATGTCTCTTTAAGGAGCCCGATATGTTTCGCTTGCTAACTCAATTTGAAGTGACGGTATTTCGTCAAGATGCTCATGTCTAACAGTTAAAGCTTTGTTCTTGTTTGCTATGCTAACGTTAACTACCCAGACCCAGATGAATGTTATGTTGTTTTCTTTTTACGTCCATATAACCTCTTTTTATGTGAATGTAAGTTATTTAAGTGCTTTAGAAAAGACATGACATCAACATACACTTACGTTAACTGAAGTATTTCACTTTAACATGCGGCCCATTCACGTCAATGCGCTGCATAAGTAGGTTAGTTGGCGTCACGTCTTAAAAATGTGTCGTTACTCCTAATATACTGTTTATAAATTGGCCTTATACGTTGCTCTCTAACCTGAACATTCACAGCCTTTAAATAATAAAAACACTCACTAAAACGCGTTTTCTTCACGTTCTTGGCTTGATCCTATTACTAATGTAGCTTGCCTTCTTGTTATTGGCTCTTCGGTAATTATATGCGCGGTACTCGTCTCTGATTAGTCAGCTAAGGCTCCGTTTCGCGCTAGAAACCTGCACACACACACACACACACGTTTATAATGGACTCCAAAAGGTCATTATCTGATGCAGAAGAGCTCGCGGATTTAGCCACAAAACACGCGAGGATTATTGAGTCAGGTATGCAGAATTAACACCTGCGCGCTCTGTAATAAATCTATAGTTATTTTATTCAGTGCAGTCTTCATTGCAGAGTCCTCGAGCAGAGACGGTGTGCTAATATCATTATTGACTACTTCTGTGTGTAAGATTGTATTATTTAAAAATAATTAATTAATTATTGGTGTATTAATTTAAAAAATATTAATTTAACATGCACATAGACGTGCTCTGATTCACCTTTGAGTATGTTTGTGACCTGTACAGGCTGATGACGAGAGCTTATAAGAGGTTTATTGCTCTGATATTAATAGGATATTAAAATGACATGTGCCATGTTGTTTCTTTTTTGTTCTTCTGCATTAAGAATATGCAGATCTATTTTGAAATGTGTGTGTATATATATATATATATATATATATATATATATATATATATATATATATATTGTGTATATGTTGGATTTTATTTAAACAAATCAATTTAAATGTATCTATAGTAAATAAACACAGGAAATACACTTTATATTTATTTTCCGATTTGGTATTTTTTTAAATGATCTAAATTGATTTTATATATAGAGACTGAAGATTAACAGACCACAGTCGCAGTTATGTACTAAACTACCATTATTATTATATGATTGCCAAAATTGACCAATGGGATTTAAGAGTGAGTAGTGAAGTAGAATAGATTATTGGGGGAAAAACTCATTCATTGTCTCATCACTGATGTTCATATTTAGCTACAGTTAAAGTCAGAATTATTAGCCCCCCCTTTGTAATTTTATTTCTTTTTTTTAAATATTTCCTAAATGATGTTTAACAGAGGAAGGAAATTTTCACAGTATGTCTGAGAATATCTTTTCTTCTGGAGAAAGTCTTATTTGTTTTATTTCGTTTAGAATAAAAGCAGTTTTTAATTTTTTAAAAACCATTTTAAGGTCAAAATTATTTGCCCCTTTAAGCTGTATTTTTTGATTGTCTACAGAACAAACCATCGTTATACAATAACTTGCCTAATTACCCTAACCTGCCTAGTTAACCTAATTAACCCAGCTAAGTCTTTAAATGTCTCTTTAAGCTGTATAGAAGTGTCTAGTCAAAAATATCTAGTCAAATATTATTTACTGTCATCATGACCGAGATCAAATAAATCAGTTATTCGAAATGAGTAATTAAAACTATTATGTTTAGAAAAAATTCGCTCTCTGTTAAACAGAAATTCAGAATCTGACTTCAACTGTAAATCAAACCTGAAATATATTTTTTTACAGATGCAACCAACAATGTTTAATGAAAAGTTTTAGATTTCGGTCACACTTTACAACAAAGTTCCATTTGTTATTGCTAGTTAAATGTGCCATTTACTGCTTTGGTTTAATAAGTTAAATTGTCCTCTGATATCCACATCATCGGTTTATGGTTTCGGTTAGTTAAAAACATCTCTAAGACAGTTTTATAAGCTCATTTATTACTTCATAAAATACCCATAAGTTCAGAAGGTCCATGATTGACCATGTATGGACTGTGTCATGAATATTAATGAGCTCTGCTCTGACGTGCTGCTTACACACACACAAACACAGCATGATAAACAAATATAAACCCAATCAGAGTAATGTTAACCTGTTTTGCACACCAGATCTGTTGTGGATAAAGGCTAAATGATAATTAAACTTGACAAAAGAGAGTGATTGAAATGTATGGTGTTTTATTTGGAAGCTATAGTAAAAGTAAATACAGGAATTAATATCAGCCTCTGCAAGAACAGATGATGTTTGAGCTGAGTGATTTGTTTGATGTGAGTGACCTACGCATCAAATTTCACAATAAATATGCTTAAAAATGTCTGTTGTCTCACTAGAAATCATTGTTGCTTATCAAACACAGCCTGAGGGGTGCATGTTAATGATTTAATTAATGAGCTTGATGACACGGCTGCTCGTCAGGTGTTTTATGAACGACCCAAATTTGGTAGACATGCAAATGCAGAGGACATGGCCTGCGAGTCTTGCACTCTTGTTGTTTTGTCTTCTGATTGGCCTGTTGTCCACTGGAGTTTTACACATGAGAACGAGGAAACAGGGGTGTCTTGAGGCTCACAGTTGCCCAGATTTCTTATACTGATCTTTTATTTTTCTTCTATGCCTTGGTATACCTAGATTTTCATTTTAGGGCACCTTTAATCTATTCATTAACATGAACAACACATGTGCATCATTTACTAATGCATTAATAAAGTCCAAAGTTGTGCTTGTTAACATTAGTCAATGCATAGTATGCAGGTAAATATTGTATTGTTTATTGGATGTTAACATGAACTAATGTAGCATGATTAACTAGATTTCTTCATTATTTTTAGGTTTGTAGTTCAAGGTCACAGTCTTGCACCTTTGTCATTCTGTCCACTTTTCAAAGACTACTTGGCTTCATCTCAGATGTTGTGATTCACTTTGCAGCTTTATGGTTTATAAAGCTTCAACAAATGCTTTATTATAATAATCCCTGTGTGAAAAAAACGTAAGGATTCACTGCTGTTTTTAAAAGGATTTGATTTGGGTTATTTCCTACAGGATGGACTGGTGCAAATGAGCGCACGTTCCTGGCAGTGAAGCCGGATGGAGTTCAGCGCAGACTGGTGGGTGAAATCATCCGCCGATTCGAACGCAAAGGTTTTAAACTGGTCGGCATGAAGCTCCTGCAGGTGAGAACCCTAATACAGCATCTTCACTAAGCGTTCAGCAATAAATACATACAGTAATAAATGACAATGGAAAACAACTCATGCTGTTGTGAACAAGATTGCATATAATATACATGCTTGGTAGGAAAAGCCAACAATGCATTGTTAGTCAAAATTATCTCTTTTTGTGCCAAAAATCATTAGAATATTTAGTAAAGATCAACATTTTGTACATTTCTTACTGTAGATATATTAAAGCCTAATTTTTGATTCGTGATATGCTTTGCCAAGAGCCTAATTTGGACAACTTTATCTCTTGTGTACTGATCAAAGCCACTCTCCCTTTTCTTACTGTTTTCATGGATTTTTTTGCCCCATTGACTTCCATTATAATGACATTCTGTTTGCAGTGACACCAAATAAATCCCGCATTCTTGAATGTTGGTGGTGTTCTCTATTGGGAAGAGGTCAAATGTGTCATTTGTACTGGTGATTATCTGTTGGCAGCATTAACTTCTTTAAATAGGCCTGTGCAAACAAAGTTTCTGGCTTTTATACGGAGTTCTGTGACCTCTGTAAAGTTGGCACTCCATAAAAACAAGTAATCCCCAAAACTATGCCATTCATTTGTGCTGATTTGTGCTGAGATATTCAGCATTATTTTTTTGACCGTGTGAACTTGTTGCTCAAACGACGTCAAATCAGCACAGGTTTGTGCTCAGTTTGTGCTGTTAAGACAAACACTGTATCTCTTTTTCTCGTTTAGATACAAGTAAAATATTTCGGGAGCCATAACAGTACTCTTTACCCCATTTCCTCTAAATCGCACTAAACTGGTGCCATTCGTTTGCGCTGTTAAAACAAGCACTTTGTTTATTTTCGTTGTTTAGATTTAACCAAAAAATTTTGGAGGCCGTGACGTCACTCTCCACCCCAGATTTTCTTAATCGCACAAAACTGGTGCCATTTGTTTGTGCTGATTTGTGCCGTTAAAATAAAAACTGTATCTGTTTTTGTTGTTTAGATTTTGCCCTATCAAAATATTTCAGGAGTTTTGACGTCACTCTCCACCCCACATTTTCTAAATCGCACAAAACAGGTGTCATTCGTTTGTGCTGTGACTGGGGTGAAGAGTGACGTCACGACTCCCAAAATGTTTTGGTTATATCTATCTGTTTTAACAGCACAATCTAGCACAAATCCAGCACAAGTCGAAGTCGTTTGAGCAACATGGGGTGGAAAGTGACGTCACACGGTCAAAAAAACAATGCTTAACATCTCTGACCCCAAACCAGCACTCAAATTTTTGCAACAAATGTAGCACAAACGAATGGCATAGTTTTGGGGATTATTTGTTTTTCTGGGGTCCCAACTTCATAGGGGTAGTTCTGTGGAGTAAAACAGCAGATTATAGTGTGTATATAAATAAATTGACTGTGTTTACTATGTTCTGAGAGCTGAGCTGCTTATTTAGATTTTATTGGGCATAACAAGATAAGTGTGCAAAGGATAGAAACTAAGCTTTTTTTGCACTCAACTGATGATAAACAATAAAAAATAATAAATTATACTCTGCCCAACAGGGAAAACCAGCAACAATCAAGAATGCAGGATTATATGCTGTCATGGCTTTGCAATCCAAAAATCTCATTATAATGGAGGTCAATGACCTCAGTGAAGTTGGCCCCCCACGCCACACAAAGCATCAGCAAAGTTCCGTTTGTGCTCTTTCTGTTATTAAAATAGGACATTTAATTATGGGCGATGATGTTGTTTCTGTTAATAACAATATTTCACATGGAATATTACACATGGCCGATGACGTCACGAGCCCCTAACGCCCACCAACCACAACCCCCTCCCCAACACACTCCGAAATCCAAATTCCCCCCAAATTATTTCATATGTTTGTGCTTCATTTGTGTTGCAGACATTTTTGTTTGTGCTGTTTTGGTTTTTGAGATATTAAAGTAACATTTGCTGGTCATTATTTTAGCGGTCACGCAGCCCCCACCCGTACATCCACCACTGACATGCGCCTGCATGACTTCCAAATTTTATTTCAATATCTCAAAAACTAAAACAGCACAAATTAGTATTTTTGCAGCACAAACAAATGAGACTTTTTTGCTGACCTTTTGTGGTGGGTGAGGGGCCATCTTTACGGAGATAAGTCAATGGGGCAAAAACAGCCCCAACATACCGAAAGGGTAGTCAATAAGCCCAAAGTCTATTGTTGAATTCTTTGAAATTTTCAAAGCATTTTCCCAAAATATGTGGCAAAATAAGATTAGTCACTAAAAAATCATTCCGCTAGCCGGAGCACAGAGAAAGTTGTGGCCAAATTAAGACTCAAAATCCCCCCAGAGTGTATGAAAATATCCCCAACAGCACACAAGGGTTACAGACGATTTTCTCAATATTCTGATTTTCAGCTTTATCTCAGCCAAATAGTGTCCTATTATAAACCATACATCAGTGGGAAGCTTTATTCAGCTTTCACATCTCAAATTCATGAGAATCACTCCTCGTGGTTTGTGGTGCAGGGTCACATATAGATGAGTAATGTATTACATATTAAGATGATGTGTTTATTGTTCAGGCATCAGAGGCGCAGCTCAGACAGCATTACTGGGAGCTGAGAGAGAAACCTTTCTACAACGGCTTGGTCAAATACATGAGCTCTGGACCCATTGTTGCAATGGTAAGATCATCTTCATCATCATCCAAAAGTTCTGCATTCACAGCGTTTGCATCTAGAGCCTTCTGTTGTTGTTTTGTTAGGTTTGGCAGGGGCTGGATGTGGTGAAGACGGCCAGAAAAATGCTTGGAGAGACAAACCCAGCAGACTCCCTGCCAGGCACTATCAGAGGAGACTACTGTGTGGAAGTGGGCAGGTTAGTGTGTCTGTGCATGCTTTAGATGGATGCACTGAGGATAGAAGATGGATGCAATGAGGATTAATAGATGCATGGATAATAGATGAATGTGTTGGCTGATATAAATGCTAATTAATTATTAATTAACTTTAGGAGCTGTGCACACAGAATACTTCTTTAAAACATTATTGATGCTGCATCTCATGCTTGAATGTTAATCTGTCCTACAACATGCACAGTGTTGTTACAGTAAGACTTCACTGCTTTATTTATGCAGACACAAATGAGATCTGCTTGGAAAGACTTTGTTACTCTTAGGTTGTTTAAATTTCTTATGGTTTTACTTAATGGAGCTGAAAATTTCAGTATTTCTTAAGTGAAAATTAGCATCTAATACAGTAACTTCTGTTACAAATAATGTCTTTTACCCACTGTTGATGATGGTTAATGGATGCATTATTAATGTTTGCTAATGGGGTTTTATTGTAAAGTCTTTTCTTTTGTTATTTATAATCCTTTTGTGGTTCAGTTAGTTTAAAATATTAGTTTTCTCTGAGCAACAGAAGATGGATATAAACAGTTAAAGACCAAATGATTAGCTCTCCTGTAAGATTTTAATAGTTTTTCAAATATTCCCCAAGTAATGTTTAACAGAGGTTAGACTATTTCCCAACATATTCTAAAGAAAGTCTGGAATTTTAAAAAGTATGTCTATTATTTATTGTAAAAACAGCTACGGTCAATATTATTAGCCCCCTTAAATTTTATTTCCCCCAACTGGCTACAGAATAAACCACTGTTCTCCAATGACTTAACTGGGTTAACTAGGAAAGCATTTGAATTGCATTTTAAGCTGAATGCTGTATCTTAATTATATATTTATTTAATTTCATTTCAGCAACAAAGGCTTTTTTGTCAAAAACAATTCATTAAAAATAAATAAAATAAAAACCACAAACTAACAAACAAGGATTAAAAAAAGATAAGATTTTTAATGATAATAAATATAATAACTCTATAACTTTTCTGGTAAAAAATTGCCAAATATCAAGGTGCATCTGGAAAGTATTCATAGCACTTCACTTTCTCCACATTTCTTTGTTACAGCCTAATTCCAAAATGGATTAAATTAATGGATTTCCTCAACATTCTACACACAATAGCCCATAATGACAATGTGAAAGATTTGTTTAAATTGTTGCAAAATCACATGTACATAAGTACTCACAGCCTTTGCTCAATACTTCGTTGCACCTTTGGCAGCAATTACAGCCTCAAATCTTTTTGAATATGATGCCACAAGCTTGGCACAGCTGTCTTTGGGAATTGTTGCCCCTTCCTCTTTGCAGTTCCTCTCAAGCTCTATCAGGTTGGATGGGAAGGGATGGTGTGCGGCCATTTTCAGATCTCTCCAGAGATGATCAATAGGATTTAGATCTGAGCTCTGGCTGGGCCACTCAAGGACATTCATGGAGCTGTTGTGAAGCCACTCCATTGATATTTTGGCGGTGTGCTTTGGGTCATTGTCCTGCTGGAAGATGAACCCTCGATCCAGTCTGAGGTCAAGAGCACTCTGAAGCAGGTTTACATTCAGGATGTCTCTGTACATTGATGCATTCATCTTTCGCTGGAGCTCAGACAGAGACCATCGGGTTATTGATCAGCTCTCTGACTAAGGCCCTTCTCCCTCGATCACTCAGCTTAAGCTGGATTTATACTTTCGCCTGGTGCCGCATCGCACACCTCCGCTGAGTGCGTGTGTACCTTGCGAAACGGACGAGGTTTTTATACTTGCCGAATTCACTGTTGTAATATTCTTTAAAATGACAACAGAAAGTGACTGTAAAGTCTGACGGATACACGGAGGAGTAGGAAGTTTCCGGAAATGTGTCATATCATAAATAATCTTTTAAAACTAATTATTTTTATGACTGAAGGATTTTTATAATCATTCAAGATTTTTTGTTAGTCAAACTTTGATGATTCAGTTGCTTTTGTTCATATCTCAGACAGTTTTACCTATTTAAACTTTATTAAAATATTAATGACTACATATATAATTGAGTTGCTCAACAGATATATTTTTCATTATGGCAAGAATAAAAGCACACTTACTGTCATTTACTTATGACAAAAGGCAATAATGGTCCAACATTCCTGACTATGATCACCAATCATGTGTAGAAAAACAGGCGTCAGCATCAACAAATAGGTTTCAATATTACTTTCCAGTTATAAAAGAAATAATTTGTTCCTTAATGACAGTTTTGTAACTATAAATAATTTTAAATTCAAAATTAAACATACATCATTGTAAAACCTGTTAATGATGGAAAAACATATTCTGTAATTGTGTACCTGGGTCTTCACTTCTGGCATGGGTCACTGGAAACAAAGCATCTAATTCTTGCAATGTTTTCGAGATGACAGTACACTGATTTAATAACTGCTTTGACATGACTGCTGAAACTCAGATATGACTTCAGAATAACATCAGGATTGGATCCATTATCGATGGATTGATAGATCCATAACAAGATGGATGTTTTTGGATGTACTGTTTATAGGTTATTTTATTATTATATTTATTATGACTGTGTTGTGTGACGTGAATGTGTTTATTTCTGTCTGAAGATTTTGCATGAATTGTTCTGTTCTTCCTGTGTGCAGGAATGTGATTCACGGCAGTGACTCTGTTGAAAGTGCTGCTCGGGAAATCTCCCTGTGGTTCGAGGATCATGAGCTGTTCTGCTATGAAGAGTGCGGTCAGCACTGGATCTACGCTTGAAATCATTCATCAAACACTCTTGCGTTCATCATCAATCACACACAGCTTTATCTGATAGCTGCTTATCAAAGTCAGCTCTGCACGAGCTATTAAGTGACCAAAATATAAAAACGCTGGCTTATGTTGACAAGGTAATTGATCTGAAATCCAATTATTGGTCAAGCTTGAATGTGCGGCTTACTTGCTGCTTTTGTAAACGTGTATTTAGGCTTAGTTTGCATTTTCAGAAAGTTGGTCAATCCTGCACTAAAGTGTTTACATCCATCTGAAAGACACTGTTTACATTTTTAAATCCAACTTTTGATATAGACATGTTTGTCATCTTGATGCACTATGAAAAAAAAAACGACATTTCCAAATCAAGACTTCTTAATCAGGACTCATGAAAGCAATAATGAATGAAGGGCCAGCATGCTCTGATAACTGACTTGAACATCACATAATGCTTTGTTTCAGTGCTTGGAACTCACCTGACCAAAGGGCCGCCTTACTTTAATAAATTATTACTCTCACTTTGACTTTGAATCCATTATTTGTGCAAACTAAAACTACCTTTTAAAAGTTTGAGATTGGTAAGACTTTAGCCGTTTTATGAAATGTTTGGTTTATAACCACGTAAAGGGGAAGTAAATGTCTTTGCATTTAATTTTGTACAAAATATAGAAATGTGTTGCATTGTTTCCCTCATTGGTTAAATCAGAAATAGGTAACGCAATTGAACAGGGTCATAATTTACTAAAAAGAGGGAATAAATGAAGTGATTGGTGTAAATTGTATTTTATAATCACAATAAAAGGGGCCGCTCACACAAAAATGAAAATGTAAGTTTGAACCCTTAAGTGGTTCGAAATCATGATTTTTTTTTCATGTTTTATTCAATTCATGTTTATTTTTATAGCGCTTTTACAATGTCGATTGTGTCAAAAAGTTAAAGTTTTACTGAGATGATTTGTCTGTGATTGGATGCGATCAGGGCTTGACATTAACTTTTTTTTGATCACCAGCCATTGTGGCTAGTAGTTTCCAATTTTGCTAGCCCCTAGCCACAAGTTTGTTGTAGCGAAAATATATTTTATATGCATAAATTTGACTTATTTGATTTAAATGATTTGTTATGTCCACTTGCATTTCATTCAACTTTTGTGTGTGTGTGTGTGTTGTGTATGAGCTTTACCAGGATTCACCTAATTGTTCTCTGGCCACAACAAAGTTAGTTCATTGCCACATTTTTTAAATGTGTGAAAACAAAAACAAAATATATCAAAAACAAAAATGTTCCTAAAAAAACAATTGACATTTTAAAAAAATAGTGTCATGTATCTAAAACTATACACAGTATCTGTCCAAGCTAAAAGTTCCAGATAAGGTCCCAGCTAAAGGTCAGAAAACTATATATAAATGGAGAGTTATCTCCTACTAAAGCAATGTTTTTGTAAAGGATGACATTTAAAGCACATTAACCCCTTCAGACCCTGCGTCCATTACAATGGACATCACATGACATCCCATTTTTTTTTTTTTTTTTAAATTTGGAACATAATTCAGGTCTGAAGGGGTTAATAAACATAACTAAGCAAAAGAAAGCATGTGAAAAACATTCCATGTGCGATAATGAAAAGATCACTAGCACATGATTACGTTAGGACCATTATTGATCTATTCCAAGAACGGTTAAAGCGAAAGCGGCAAGCGCCAGGCTCAGTTGGGCCATTTCTCCTCTGGCCAAAAATCTTGTGCAGAGCTGCAGTCTAGGCGCTGGATGTCCATCGTGGAGAAACTGCAGGTGGGAGCAGGTCACTGGTGTGTGTTCAGGCTGGCCCATGAGATAGTCTTTCAGAAATCAATCTGAAATGAGTCTAATGTTCTCCACTCCGCCATGACCACCACAGCATCTGCTTAGGATACGGCCTGGTCCAGGATAATGGAGACCTCTAAGACCTGTAACAATTGACTTCCAAAGTATGTTTTCCTACTATAGATGTCAATAGTAACAGGTTTCCAGCTTTCTTCAAAATATCTTTTGTGGACAACAGAAAAAAGTGACAATTAATACTGTTTTCTGCATGTCATGTAGAGCAGTGTTTCTCAACCACGTTCCTGGAGGACCTCCAGCATAGCAGGTTTTAGAGGTCTCCTTTGTCACACCAGTTACAGGTCTTTCAGTCTCTGCTAATGAGCTGATGATCTGAAACAGGTGTGTTTGGTTAAAAAGACATGGAAAATGTGCAGAGCTGGTGGTCCTTCAGGAACGTGGTTGAGAAACGCTGATCTAGAGTATTTTAAGTGACAAAACGATGACAGCGTTTTAATAAAAGATGCCGCTGAAGACAGACGTATTCAGCACATAAACGTTTATTTCTTAATACTTAATACCACACAGAGAACACAGAGTGATGATTTACATACAAGGCGATTGGGCGGGATGTCCATCTCTGTCAGACCGACAGCCAATCAAAGGCTTCGATTTACCTCATGCTCACTATCCCAGAGGGAAGGCAGCAGATCCAGTCAGCACACATCTCACTGAGGCGGAACAATAAATAAAGGACTGCAACTGGGGTTAAAGAGATGTTGCTTTAAAGCACAGGTGTCAAACTCGACTCCTGGAGGGCCGCAGCTCTGCACAGTTTAGTTCCAACCCTAATTAAACACACCTGATCAAACTAATTAAATCCTTTGGGCTTGTTTAAAAACCTACAGGGAAGTGCGTTGAAGCAGGGTTGCAACTAAACTATGCAGACTACCCCAGCTTTAAAAGAAATGAAGGGATAGTTCACCCCAAAAAACAACATTCTACCATTTACTCACATTTCTTCCAATCCTGTACACGTTTTTTTTGATATAAAGAAAGATATTTGGAAGAATGTCAGCAACCAAACAAAGCTTGCCACCCATTTACTGCCATGGTATTTATTGTAATCAATCTGATTGGTTGCTGACATTCTTCCAGATATCTTCCTTTGTTTAACAGAAGTAAATGAGTTTGGAAGAAGTTGATGATGAATAAACGATGGCAGATCTTTCATTTTAAGATGAACTATCTCTTTAGTTTACAATATTTTAGATGACACTGAAACATGTTTGGGTTGTGCAAGACTTCCAGCCGATCCCGAACGTTCATTTAATTATCCTTATCTATTGCTTCACATTTCTCTCTGCAGTGCAAGATTTAATCCAGTATTTACATATTGAGCTCTCTTGGTTTTGCCCTCTTGTTTGCATGTACACCAGTGTTTCCAGAATGATCTCCTGATTCAGTGAGCTGTGTGCTGAGGGACTGTACAGATAAAGGTCAGGGTTATTTGGCAAAAAGAAAAACAACTGGGTAGTTCTTTCAGGAACTTAGTTTTGGTTCTGGTTTAAGCTGTTTATATGCATTTCCTTTGAACTCAGTAGTAAGATGCAGGAAGTTTTGATCTTTGTGTGTGTTTTTGGAGGGAAACGTTACGAGGTGGATTGAAGGTAGTTATAATTGAGGGAAATACAGGCTAATGGAGTCAGTATAAGAGTTTAAAGAGGGGTAGTTACAAGGCCGTGGTTGTTACGGAGCGTGGGGCGAAGTTACAGAAAGGACTCATACTTTGTCTTTGGGACAAGGGGAATTTATAGGGGGTGGGGGGTACAGGCAGGAGGTGTTTGTTTAAATCACTCCGGAACATAAGAAACCTGCCAGACGATGATATGACTCCTCTCTGCTTTAGACAAGGCTGGCTTCATCTGAGGAGCTTCATCGTCGTCTGCTTCCTCCGTCTCGTCATCCTCACCGTCACCTGAGAAACATGTCAGTTAGGATTAGTTGTTGTTTGTATGCTCAGGCATTCTGTTTGAATGCGGAAACATCAAATTCTCCAAACTTGCTTACGATTCAATTTCATATTAGGAATCACGAATAAAATTAAAAAACAACTCTATCTTAGTTTCATTTCTAAACGTTCCAATCACACAAAATCTGCAGAAAGTCACGTCTGGTCCAAGACCCTCCCACGGAGAATTGTCAGTCTACATCGATCGATGATTGGCTCCTGTACTAATAGGCGGGGCTTCGTTACACTTTCTCCTATTCAAAACTATACGAGTGACACTTCTTGGGTATTCTAGAGTCTTTGTTAGTGTTAAAACAGTCTAATTGACACTGGAATAAATGAGTTTTTGAGGCTATTCCAATAGCATCAACAAGCTTTTCCCTTTATTTAAAGTGCATTGCTCGTGTAGAGTCTGACATCCCATTCACACGGGGCTTCAGTGTCAACGCTTGACAAGGGGGATGGTCTGAAGTTGGGGCAGACGCGATCGTCATAGCAGCATCGGCCAATGAAATTAGTCAGCAATTGGCTACTGTCTGAGGTGGTGTATTTGCATACAGCGATCTGATTGGCTAATCCTTCTGTCGGCGCTTGAAAAGTTGAGCAAGTCCCAACTTCTGCAGCGAGTAACGCCTCTGAAGCGGCAACCGACGGATCCACAATGCAGTTTGGCAACGCCTGACGTCATCCATTCAAAGTGAATGGGAAGCGTTGAAGCTGACGCCCCGTGTGAATGGGGCGTGAGTGCTGGTTTTCAGTCCTATAAGTTTCATAGCATTTCAGACAATTTTAAACATATTTAATTTTAAATTTACAGAAAGATTACATTATAATCCATAACTGATAACACTCTCAAATACAGACTGGTAAAAAAAAGAATACACGATTTTCTTAACACCACAATCTACGCAAAACATTAAGCCTTTGGTGGAGTTTTTCCCCTCAGATCCAATTTGCACCGAGTGTCCCATGTGAGAGACGAATCTATGCACACACCTAAATACTTACATGATTGCACCTGAATAATTTTCTGATTATGTACAAACACTGGCATGTGATTGACAATCATGCATGCTAATTTAGCTTGTGTTGTTTTTGCTTCTCACCGATGCGGAAGTCAATGTAACCCTCGCCTCCGCTGAGCACCAGCACATTCTGAAGACTCTGTGCTTCTGTTTCTGCCGGGGCCGAGGACCCCTGAGACTCTGATGGGCTGTCCAATACGCTGCCGTTCAGTGTGGCCAACACATTGCCTGAAAAACACACAACATCAGATCGTTTATGACTGACCAAATCATTTCCAGAAGAAAACATGATGAAAATGTGCTAAATCAATCGCTGTAGAAATATGCTAGCAGAGTGTTAAATTATGCCAGAAAATTGCTACAATATTTCTGATAGTGTAAAATAATACAAGAAAAACACTACAAAAACATGCTGTCAGAGGGCTAATTCAATGTAGCACTGTACAAGAAATCAACATGCTAAAAACGTGCTAAATTGTGCTTGAAAAATGCTAGCGGTGTGTTAAATAATGCTAGACATGTAATCTTATCAAAGTGCTAAAACATTAACAGTATTAAATCATGTTTGTTACATGTTTACAATACACTACTACAGCATGTTAGTAATATTAAACGTGCTAAGTCATGCTAGAAACGTAATGTTATTAAAGTGCTAAACAATAACAGTTTTAAATAATGTTAATGTTTACAATATACTGCTACAGCATGCTAGCAGTGTTAAATGTGTGCCAATTGTGCTAGAAACATGCTAGCAGTGTTAAATCATGCTAGAAACGTAATGTTATCAAAGTGCTAAACATTAACAGTCTTCAATCATGTTAGTTACATGTAATGTAATGTAAGGTGTATTTATATAGCACATTTATTGTGTACAAGCGCTTTACAATCATAAGGGGGGGGGGTCTCTCCACACCACCACCAGTGTGCAGCCTCTACTTGGATGATGCGACGGCAGCCACAGGACAACAACGCCAGTGCGCTCACCACACACCAGCTATTGGAGGAGTGGAGAGACAGTGATAGAGCCGATTCAGTGGATAGGGATGATTGGGAGGGCTGATTAAGGGCTCCTGTTCTTTACGAATAGTGCCATGGGATTTTAAATGACCACAGAGAGTCAGGACCTCGGTTTAACATCTCATCCGAAAGATGGCGCCCACTGACAGTATAATGTCCCCTTCACATGTTAACAATATACTAGTACAGCATGCTAGCAGTGTTAAACGTGTGTTAAGTCATGCTAGAAACACGTTAGCAGTGTGCTAAATCATGCTAGAAACATGTTATCAAATTGTTAAAACTAACAAACTTTAAACATTTTACTTACATGTTAACAATATACTACTAAAGCATGCTAGCAGTGTTAAATGTGTGCTGGGTCATGCTAGAAACATGTTAGCAGTGTGCTAAGTCATGCTAGAAACATGTTAGCAGTAGCTAATTCTTGTTACCAATATACTTCTACAACTACAGCGTGCTAGCATTGTTAAATGTGTGCTAAATCATGCTAGAAACATGTTAGCAGTTGCTAAATCATTCTATGCTAGAATTCTATTCTATGCTAGAATGATGCTATCAAAGTGCTAAAACACTGTTAAATAATGTTAGTTTCATGTTACCAATATACTACTACAGCATGCTAGCAGTGCTAAATGTGCCATGCTAGAAACATATCAAATTGCTAAAACATGCAAGAAACATGAAGGCAACATGCTAAAATGCTAACTATTCATGCTAGAAACGTAACGTCAACAGATTAAGTTATACTAAATAGTTTTTTTTCTGTATTATTATTATTACTATCACTGCAATTTACTTAGATTAAACAAGGACATAACTGACACTAACCTGGCACTGACACAAAGAACTTGACTGCATCTCGATGTCCATGAAAACAGAGTTGCGCCTGTGCCATGGAGCAGTACGGGATGAAGCTGCTCTTCTCTGAGGTGCTATCATCTGCATATACATGGATCACGCCTCCTGATGATGTAGGGGACACCTTATTGGCTGCAACAGAGCAGAATCCACCAATCAGAAAGCAGAATGTCTAGAAATTCACTGGGATTGTGAGCATGTAAATGAATACATGAATCTGCTACAGAGGAAAACAAAGAGCTCATAGCATGCACACTAAAGAAACCAAAGGAACATGACCACAGCATTTGAAATAAACAAAATGAAGATAAACTGATGTTATATAAGATAAGCACAGACGGAAAATTCATTCATAAAGCATGAAACCAACAACAATAATAGTTCATGGAACTATCGTATACATTAAAAGAAGACCTAGGTGTTCATCGAAATCATCGTTTCTCTTTGTTTTTGGGAAAAAAAAGAGTTTAACGGTTACTAAATTTCGTTTAGTGAAAGAGATTTATCAGACAAATATGTGTGGATTTACGTTTACAGATTTATATTTTCATTCTTGTTGAAAAACTGGTACAAGTTTGAGTAAATAGTTAATATCTGTTTTATTTTATGAAGATCTATGAAAATGAGTCGAAATGTTGTCATTTGTTACAGAAAAAAAATCTTTTTAGGAAATAATAAGATTTTACACAAAATATGAATGTTTTTTAACACTTGTAAAGTTAAAAGTTGTATAGATATGCCTAAAAAACTGGTGCCTGTTAATTTTTTAACACATAAATGATATTTTTATTTTAAATGTGGAAAAAAGCCACAAGTAGTCCACAAAATAAAACTAAATTTATATTTTACTTAAGAGCTTGGAAATACAGCAATATCGATCTATAAAGTGTTTCTATATTATTTATTGTGTGTGTGTATTTTTCTTCAAACAAAATGGATAGAAATACATTTTAGTGAATGATGAGACAAATTAAAGACTATGGTTTCATTAAACACTACATATGTAAAGATTATATGTAAATATATTATTGTCTTAAACAATGAAAATCTGGGAATAACAAGGCTTAGTAGAATAATACAAGATCAGTATATGAATATAAATTTCACTTGCTATGTATCTAGGACTTTTATTTTGAAAACGCGAGCCCCACAATGTTTACTGTGCGTTACCAAGCAACCACAGCAAGAGACACGTTTCATACTGGCCTCAGTGCGCAAAATGCAAGATTTACACATTAAACATTTATTTATCTCCACTCTGAAAAGGCATAAGTTTGTTCAGTTACATATTTTGATAATGTATCATGTTTATTGTGAAATTAGATGCAGCTGTTTTAACAAACACGTGTAAGTTAGACTGCTGAATCGTGTCAGATCCCTCAGCTCAACTGTCATCTGTTCATGCAGAGGTTGATACTAAATCCTGGCTGTTTTCTTTGACTGTAGATTAAAAATACAACACCATACATCTCCATCACTCTCTGTTGTCAAGTATAATCATTATTAGCCTTTATCCATTCTGATTAGGTTAATATTTGTCCGTGTTCAGCGCACAATCCTGTGTGTGTAAGAGCTGCATGTCAGAGCAGAGCTAATTAATATTCACGACACGAACCATATATGGTCAATCATGGACCTTATGAAACTTGGGGTATTTTATGGAGACTAATAAACTTATAAATTCATTTCTGGAGATTTTTTGTATTTACCGAAGCCATAAAGCTATTATGTAGATAAAAGAGAACAATTTACCTTATTAAACCAATGCAGTATATGGCACTTTAAAGTTTAATACATAAACTTATTTCTCTGATTTCCCATTTCAAAAAATCTAAGCAATAGGATACCAAATTAACAAAATGTAAAGAGAAATGCAGTTATTTAAAACAATCTGCTTTTTTTTTAAACATTAATATTTCCACAAAATATTCATGTTTAAAAAAGTGAAAACATTGATATTTTGTTTTCATATAATGAAAATTAGTTAGATTATTATTATTTTTTTAATGACACAACGTTGCCCAAAGGTATGAACACAATTAATACTAATTAAATAAGCTCTACATCACATACATAACAGCAACCCCTCAACATTAAAAAGGTTCAAATGCTAAAGAACAAAGATGCAGTTTCAGAAGCTTTTTAAAAACAGATAGAGCTGGAGCGTATCTAATGTGGGGTGGGAGCTTTGGGGGCGATAACAGCAAAAGCCAGATTCCCATTCCGCTTACACCGGGACCTTGGTACAGAAAACATAAACTGATCAGAAGACCTTAGTGATCTACCAGGATTACATAAATGTACAGTAAGAGATCTGATAAGTAGGGTGGTGCCATATCATTTAAGGATTTATAAACAAAAATGTATTAATTAAAATCAATCCGTGACCTAACAGGCAGCCAGCCCAGAGAGGAAAGAACTGGGGATATGTCCTCATACTTCCCTGTCAGAAGTCTCGCAGCCGCATTTAGAATAATTGCAATCTAATCAGGGCATTTTGACTAATACCCACAAACAAAGAATTGCAATAGTCAAGTCTCCCTAAAATAAAAGCATGGGTCAGTTTCTCAAGGTCATTTAAAGAGAAAGTCGTAAATAGAAAAAAAAAATGGATTTAACAACTGAGTTTACTTGTTTAGTAAATTTCAGATCACTATCAATCTGAAGTTAATTTCCCGAAAAGACAACATTTTCATTTAATATATGAAAAAAATCTCATCAGCACTTTACAGAATAAAACAAACATTCATTTACTATATGGCGATATCATCTATAACTTTTATCCTCACTGCAAATTAAAATGTAAAAAAATGACCACAACAAATAAATAAAATGAAAAATAAAGAAAATAATGAAGATGGCAATGCACAGAAAACATACTTCATCCATAATAAAGCAAACTGAAAGACATTTGACCAATGCAATAAACCAAAAAGAACCAGAAGTGTGAGCGATGCCGCAAGAGTGACGGTGGTCAGGGTTCACACTCACCCCTCAATCCCAGCAGCTGGCCTCGGTGAAGCACTACGGCTACAGGAGGAGGAAAAGGAACAAAGCAGGACGAGAGAGCAACACTCATCAGATACAACAGAGAGAGAGAGAGAGAGAGAGAGAGAGAGAGAGAGAGAGAGAGAGAGAGAGAGAGAGAGAGGAACAATACAGAAAGAGGAGAGGAGGAGGAGAAGACAAGAGGAGCTTCATTGGCTAATTAATGCATTTAGGATGTTGACCCAGTGGTTAGTGATCTGGGATGATGACATTAAAGGTTGCAGGTTAATCCAATGAACTGGAGAGCTAACGAGATCCAAGCTGCTTTACTAGCTTAGCTGAACCTGGGGTTTGAATCCTTTCGTGTTTGACTGCTCAGTCAGCTTCAGGATGATAGAGTCAATCACAAAACCAGAAGTAACCAGTTTAAATGAACCAATGACAGGAGATTGTTGCTGGTTGGAAATTAAAAGGGTTCGGGTGATCGGGGCAGGTGTTAACCTTTAATAGTGTCTGCATGCAAATACAGATGAGACTTACTTTCAGTCAGGGGGATTGAGATGATGACACCATTTCCTGTGCCCACCCACAATCGGTTTCCTCCAATCAGCAAGGCCGTTATCCTGACAAAGGAGAAGCCCAACTTTCCTGTACCTGTCGATCACAGAGTCAAAGACAGCAGGTTGTCAAATATTTGTATTGCAACAAGCGGTCTATTATAACATTTGAAGTATGTTAATGAATAAAATTGTCATTAATTAAAAATATTAAAAGGTTTAAATGAAAAAAAAATGATCTCTTATTACACTTAACATTTTTCGTTATATTGTTGTTATATGCTTAAGTAAAAACAATTTTTAATTAAATATGGTGTCTTTTAAATGGAAGATTTTCTCAAAAAGAAATATATAAACACACACACAATGCAATGCCCAAATGTACAGTTTTAAGGAATTTCTAAACTCAACTTCAAACAAAACAAATCACAATCAAAGACAGCAGAATGTAAAATATTTATATCACACAACTATTAGACTATTATAAATGTAAATTTCATATAAATTTGAAAATTGAAATATATACATATACATACAACAGTTCTGTCTGGTTCATTAATCGGATTGGCTGATAGCCATGTGATTTTCGGCCAGTAACAGCACTGGACCAGCCTTCTCACCCTTCACCCTTGTGTATTAGTCCACCCACATGCAGCAACAAGCATAGGACACTCTACAGTTTGACTAACATTGCTGCTGTTGGACAATATAAATGTACTTTTGAGGCTTTTTTTGTTGAGAATGTAGTTGTTTAGATTGCAACCATGCAGTTTTTTTATTACGATAGTGCCTATTTTAAATATTTCTAATATCCGAGAGGCCATTAGCTTTCTATACTGAGTAGACCAAAGACAGTTGACGTTGTACATCCACAAGATGGCGACAGGACAGCATAATAAGCTCTTAGAAGATTAAAACAGCGGGATTTCTAACTACAGCTGATCAAATCAATATTAAACTGGTAAGTGATATCCTAAGTCGATCTCTCTCTTTTGTATGTTGTTGTGCTGTATTTATACCATATAATTGTAGTGTATTGAGTGTGAGATGGGACATGCATTTTAGGAATGTGTGTTGTGTTGGCAGAAAGAAAGAAGAAATGGCCTGCGTTTGGTGTTTTTCCTTATCGCAAACACAACAGCAGTCGGGTAGTGATTTTTCGGGGTTAATTATTGTGATATCCTGATTGCAACAGAGAAATGCAGTAGACTGTATTCTGTAACCAAAATCTGTGTGTGTGTGTGTGTGTGTGTGTTTGGTAAAGTCAAGTGTTGAAAGGAGAAGTGATTAGTGAAACTACACTAATCTAAACTTAAACTTAAATGTTACTAAACAATTACTAAAATGTTTGAATAGAGGCATTTCTAAAATATATTTTTTAAAGTAAATAAAATAAAATAAGATTAAAATGGGGTGGTGTGGCGGTTTAGTGGTTAGCACTGTCGCCTCACAGCATAAAGGTCACTGGTTCGAGTCCCTGCTGGGTCAGTTGGCATTTCTTTGTGGAGTTTGCATGTTCTCCCCGTGTTGGCGTGGGTTTGCTCCAGGTGCTCCGGTCCCCCCCCAGTCCAAAGACATGCAGTACAGGTGAATTAAATAAACTAAGTTGGCTGTAGTGTACCAGTGTGAATCAGTGTGTATGGAGTGCTCGGTTGCAGCTGGAAGGGCATCTGCTGCGTAAAAAAACATGCTGGATAAGCTGGTCCCTGATAAATAAAGGGACTAAGCCGCAGGAAAATGAATGAAACAAAATAAAACTGAACACTATTGTGTTAATGTGAAGTGTGAAAGAGAGCAGTGTTACCCAGCATCTTGCTGACATAAGGCTCAATGTCCACGTCCTGTAGATGCTGGTGTGTGTGAGCGTGATATAAGCGCAGTGTAGAGTCCAGACGGATTGAAACCCAGACTCCATCCCCAATCCACGCCAGCTGCCTGACCTGACTCTCCTTGCGTGGGTGAGCGTCAAAAGATTTCTGCATGAAGGAGAGATAATGAAATAAAACACAGTTCAGAGACTATAGCTATCTTTCCATACCAAGTAGATTTAATTTAGACCGCAAATTAAGTCACTGTGCTTTTCGCCCCATATACTTCCCTTCATAGGCATGCAAATGCAGTACACTACCTGACAAAAATCTTGTCGTCTATCCATGTTTTAGGAACAACAAATAATAACTTGACTTCTAGTTGATCATTTGTTATCAGAAGTTTTTTTATATGAAAGGCAAAGGCCTCTAGATTACATTTACTTTACCCAAATAAAACATGATCATGCCTTGATTATTAATTATTTAATTAGGACAGTAAGGTCTGACTTCGCTCAGACAAACGTCTGGTCACTTAACAGAAATGATGTACAGTCTAGAATATAAAGTCATGCTGCAGTTTAAAAAGAATGAATATTGTGTCTGACTCCCATGAGCTTGGAGGACTGCATCCATACATCTCTACAATGACTCAAATAATTTATTAATAACGTCATCTGGAACGGCAAAGAAAGCGTTCTTGCAGGACTCCCAGAGTTCATCAAGATATTTTGGATTCATCTTCAATGCCTCCTCCATCTTACCCCAGACATGCTCAATAATGTTAATTTCTGATGACTGGGCAGGCCAATCCTAGCACCTAGATCATCTTAGCTTTCAGGAACTTTGATGTGGAGGCTGAAGGATGTGAAGGAGCGCTATCCTGCTGAAGAATTTGCCCTTTTCTGTGGTTTGCAATGTAATGGGCAGCACAAATGTCTTGATACCTCAGGCTGTTGATGTTGCCATTCATTCTGCAGATCTCTAACACGCCTCCATACTCAATGTAACCCCAAAGCATGATTTTTCCTTCACCAAACTTGACTGATTTCTGTGAGAATCTAGGGTCTATGCAGGTTCCAGTAGGTCTTCTGCAGTATTTGTGATGATTGGGATGCAGTTCAACAGATGGAAAAAATCTAACTTCAGCCATTTTTCCAAACAATCAACTAGAAGTTATTATTTGATGCTCTTACAACTGGGATCGACGACAAGACTATGTCAGGTAGTGTATATAGAAAACGCAAACTCCGTTGATGAGTTTCTTGTCACTGCTTTACAAAGTTTCCAGTTTGGTGACTATCACAACCTGCGGGATTGTGTGAGACCAACAGAAGATCAAAAAATGACACAGAAATGTACAGAGATGTACACAGTGCCATACGTCAGAACTTTGCATAATCAAGCCTAAAGCCGCAGTTACTAGAGTTTATGTGCAAAATCGAAACATAAACATTATCAACATAAACATGTATGCAGCGTTCACATTCAGAAGACGAAACGCAATGAACGCGCTGCAACTTTTGAAGGTGTTAGAAACTCTTTGGGAGTGCAGACGCTTAAGTCAGTTCTGGAGGTAATAACACTGAACCCCTGTAATGACAGACTTTGGCTGAGGGATTTTAGAATGACCAAAACTACATTTTAGATGATTTATAGTGTGGTTGGTATGCTAGATTGTCCGCATCACACATTTTTTGTTATCACATGATCTGTTTAAACTAAATCACATGACTTTTTTTGATGCACATACTGAAATGTATTCTGTAAATGTATTTCAATCATTGTTTAAGCTAATTTTTTCTAATCAGATAGTTTTATTTTCTGTGAATTTTAAAAATGTATGCACATCCTACTCTTTCCATTGTACATTTGATGAAGGTGAAGGAAAAACAGGTGGATGGAAACAGAGCTATTGATGTGGATTTAGGATGTGTTGTCTTTAACTCGCCTCAATCTGCATGCTCTTGGGCTGAATCACATGGATCTTGTTCTTGTTGCCGCACCAGACTTTATCATGGACCACAGCCATGCACCGGATGGAGTGATGAGGTCTTCCCAGATCCATTAGATGATAGTTGGAAAGATCCCACTGTCCATCTGCGGTTACAGTTTACAGTTGTTGTTGTTATAGAGAGCAGGAATAAATAATGCATGACAGATATATAAATTACCTTCAGATCTGTGGAAAATTGCTAGAGTCCCATCAGCTAAAGCAACCAAAACTCTCCCCTTCACATGTCTGAAGCACAAAGAGACACAGAAATTGATTATTTTTCACTATTTTTCATGTAAATGTTGATTGTTACTAGTTTTTTTTTAAATCCACACAAAATCAAAATTGACAAAGTATTCTGTTGCAAGCACACATCGTGAGTCTCAGGCCCTGTCCACACAAACACTGCTATTTTCAAAATAGTATTTGGTCGGTTTGGTCGTTCGTCCACATGTAAATGCAGTATCAGATGATTAAAATACAAGCTTTCTGAAAACTTCAGCAAGTAGCGATGGGTGACAGACTTAAACTTAAAATTTCTGGTAATTATTGTGATAATATTACTGATAATTCATATCCACTGAGAGACAAAGTCCTGTATCTAAAGTATTCATTTTCATGTTACTTGATTTTTAAACACACATACACACCTTCAACCCTGTTCCTGAATGTCTGCTATTCTGCAGAGCTCAAGCATAACCAGACACACACTGAAGAAGCTAATTAAGCTTTTCAGGATCATCTAAAACACACAAGCAGATCTGCTGAAGCAGGTTACAAATGAATGAGTGCGCATCATTGAGACATGGTTCATGTGACCCAATATAAAAGCCCAGCATCCGCCACGCAGACAATATAAACTAATCCAGAGTACATACAGGAATCAAAGAGTGAAATGTAATACCTTTTAAGACCTTTTTAAAGACTTTTCCCAAATATTAAGACCTTATAACTACTTTGGGTTTCAATCAGAAACACTGGCAAGATTTTAACTTGCAGTACACTTATTATATATTAATGTAAGAAACTAATCTAAAACTAAAACATTATTCATATACCGAGTAAAAATCTATTAAATTTAGTAGCCTATAACAGCAGAAATAATATTGTTGCCTTGGTTACTGCAGTAAACAAAGCAGCATGATGTTAAATCTAGCAGGATTTCATTGATTTCATAAACCACACAGCATCCTGATATTCACAGATTTAATTCAGGCTAGCTATAGCATACAACTGTACATTGCAGAATCAATACCTTGCAAAATAGCATTTAAGACTTAGTATTTCTTTTTAAGGGTCTTACATTTCTCAACATTGATTTATCAACTTTTAACACTTTTTAAGACCCTGCGGAAACCCTGTGATCTAAAACTATTGCATACAAAACGTGCATAAATCACACCATGGACATGACAATAACATCCATACTGGTTAAAAAAAAGATTCAATTAAAAGAATACGAACAAATGAGAATTTGTCTGTCATAAACTACAGCAAAACAACATGTCAAAAAAAAACAAAAAAAAAAAAGACAGCCTGCGAACACATTAATTACAGGAATGGAGAAAAGGGCGCTCTTTTATTATCAGCTACAAGTCAGACGCTCTTCTTTTTCCGGGTCATTGCACCTTTTGCTGTGTGCAGTATCAATGCAGACAATCAGATACGAGTCACTTTTAAAGGATGATGTAAGCAGGTCATCAAAAAATAAATAAAAAATCGGATACAATCACAAAATCGGAATTGACACTCAAGATCTGCAGTGTAAATGCAGCCACTGATGTCTAAACTTTGCAGGATAGTGGGCAGAGATTGAGTCTCGAGCATACATTTAAATGTTATTTCTGTTTCGCTCACTCATAATCTCCGCATATACTTTAAGGAAAAAAAGACTTTATCTATGGTCAGCTATCATTGCAGAACAGAAGAGTGGATTAAGATGACGAGAATGGAACAAACGCAAAGACAAAACTAACGCTGATTTTTTTTGTGTTCTTCAAGCCATCCTGAGTATTTTATAAGAATAAACCATAAGAATGACCTTTATTTAATAGACTTTATCACTGTATTGAATACTATAAAATAGCACTATTTTGTAATTAATTGTTATAATAAACAATCTCTTGTTACAAGAATTTGTTATTTTAAACACTCGACAGATGTTATCAAGTGAATTTAAAGAGAAAATAAGTCAGTAAATCAGTGTTTGTAAACAGGCTCGAAGACGCAAAACTATCGCACATTTACTACAGTAAAAATAAATCACAGACCAATTAAAGGCTTTATTGTTATTGTGATACGTAATTTTTTTTTAGCGTGGGGAGAATTTTTACTGGGATATTGTAAATTATATCGCCCATGCCTACTGGCCAAGGTGAAGATTTTCAGAAACTCTGGTTACGGTATGATTGGCCAACACGGCTTTATTCTAAGGCTTTATTTGCGACCTGTTGATTAGCCATACCCTTGAGAGTGCATAATTTTTGCATCTTCATGTGGACGAAAACCAGAAAACTGTTCATAAAAATACCCATGTACATGTGGACATGGCCAAAGTGACCACAGACATACAATACAATATTAAACTGCAATCTGGATTTGAGCATAATACTGTTTCACTATATTCTGGTTCAAATAAATGCAGTGTTGTTGAACAGAAGCAGCTTTCATGAACATTTCACAATCCTATCGATCCAAACTCAAAGTGACACGCGCTTCATCAGGAATCCACTTACACTAAACTCAGTACAGAGTCTTTGAGCTTAATCGAATGGAGGCATTTCTTCCAGTTGGACACTGCAGAGTGGACATACAGCCTGTGGAGAGAGTTTACATGATGCATATGATGTCTGAGATGGAATTAAGAATTTATAAAATGAAAATGCAACTGAAAGAATCAGCCCTACCAGCCGTTTTGGGCTCCTAACCACATGGTGGGAGCAGCACTCGTTCCTGCACGCTCGTCTGCGGCCTCTTCTGAGTCTGCTGGTGCTGAGGACACTTTTTCCTTCGCCACACCAGGCTCACTGACCAAACAACACAGACAGGTAAACATGTTGCAATTCAACACAAGCATTTCCAAAATGCAAGAGTTCAGGTTTGATTTGGACAGTAGTGGAGATGTAATAGGACGTCCCTTTTCCCTCTCTGGTTTCAAGTCATCTGAAGCCTTTACTTATAACCAGCACACTAGTAACTCACAAAGACAGAGTTTTATTGTCAGCATGTTCCTAAGACAATACATACATTGGTTTTGATTATGTAAACTATACTGTAGATTAGCTTTCACATCAGAATTTTTTAAACTATTGATATATACAGTCATATTTAAAAGTTAGGACACCCTATTGAATTTCATGGCTTTCCATATTAGGACATAATAAAAAAAACTACATGGTCCTCAGCAGGTCTTAAAAATGGGAAGGTATTCTCCATAGAAGGAAAAACAAACATTATGGAAGTCAATGGTTACATTCTTCAAAATATCTTCTTTTGTGTTTAACGGCACAAACAGTGAAAAGTGAGTAAATGATGACAGAATTTTCATTTTTGGGTGAACTACCCCTTTAATAAATTGTAATAGTTCAAAAATATCTATTGCTACGGATAATTTAGCAGCTGCTATTTAATTTTAAATATATACATTGACTAACATCCCCGCTAAATTGCTATAACACTATTGCCTAAAGTAACTAGCAAACAAAAAAACACCAAGTTGCAGTGAGAAAAATGTAATCGATTATAATTGCTTTCCAAACTCTACCAGATCAGCCAAAATGAAAACATTTAAGACAGAAAACTGAGCACATGCTTTTATTATATGCTCTCACAGTTTCTTTCCCCACTTGTACTAATCTGTATCATATTTCATACTTGGTATTGTAAACACTTCTAATGTTTATTGCCTACTCAAAATGGATTGCTTGTTGTCTTCCTCATTTATATAAGTGTCTGCTATGTATGGGATAAAGTAGATCCAGGTGGTTGCTCTTGCAGAATAAAGCCAGAAAGGCTTATCAGCAGTCCATCCTGAAGTGAAGAATAAAACCTGGGTCTTTACTCTGTGATAACAACTGCCTGGATGTACTTTATCCCCTACGTATTACACGGCAGTCTGACATACTTAATTCTGATTGGTTAGTCGTGACATTTCAAGGTATCTTATTCCCAGACAACAACCGCTAAATAACACAGACTCACATTCATACAAGTACACCCGTCTTGTTGTCATCCACTCTGCAGATCTCTCGCATACCCCCATACTGAATGTTACCTCAAACCATGATTTTTCCTATATCAAACTTGACTGATTTCTATGAGAATCTTGGGTCCATGCGGGTTCCAATAGGTCTTCTGCAGTATTTAAGATGATTGGGATGCAGTTCAACAGATGATTCATCAGAAAAATCGACCTTCTGCCACTTTTCCAAGTGATCAACTAGAACAACTAGGATTGACGACAAGACTTTTGTCAGGTAGTGAACCTAGGAATGTTGTGACTGACCAATCAGAACGAAGTATTCCAGACAGCCATGTAATACATGTAAACGTTCAAGTGGTCTACTTGTATTGTACCTGTGCGTGTTGTCAGTAAAGACGTGTTCTGTGAAGGACCCGAGGGTGCTGTCTGCATTCTCACTAGGCCCTGCCTCCTCCGTCACCTCGATGGCTTCAGTGGCTTCCTCTGCAGACTGGGACACTGCTAAACTTCTACACACTGGAGCTGTAGGAGCTGAGCACAAAACATCCATTCATCCACTATCCAGGCTCAAACATTCATAAGAGTCGTTTTCAGTCAGTTTTGCCCACCATTGCTTCGGTCCTGCACTGGCGTATCGGTGCGGGAAGAGCAGTTGCTGCGTACAACACTGCAGTTTGTGGCGCAGCCCACGATGGTGATCCCTGCCAACATGCCCTCCACGCCACCCTTCTCCTCTGAAGCTCCGTCTCCAGCCTGCTGCTCCAGAAATATCTCTCCTGCTGGATAATCGCTCTCGCTGGCAGCTAAACACACAGGGACAATACAAGAGACGCTTAACTAGAGTAAGCAGAGATGCACAGATTGCAGCTTTCTTGGCTGATTCTGTTTTCTGAATTGTTATGGTAAGTGCTGGTCAGTTTCAGTCAGTTACAATTAGCATTAACAAACCTGGCACACTGGAGATGCACAGCACATGCGCATTGCACACGTTAAACTGGTCGACTAGTGAGCAGGGCAGGTTGGCATCAATGATGACCACTTTACTGGCTGAATGAGTGCTGGTCAGAATCCACACGCGGCTGCTCACGGGGTCAGTCTCATGCAGCTCCTTAGGCTAGAAGAGGGAGAAAATATTTATTTAAATGCACTTTAATTCAACTTAAAATAGGGTTTAAAGGTCCCATGAAGTTTTTTAGATGTTCTGTATTGTTAGTTTTTAAGATATCTCTAAGCTAGTGTTTCAAAACGATGACAAAATTCACGTTTAGAAGACTGTGGTGGTCATGGAGGAGTGGAGAGCATGAGACTGATTCCTGAAATAGTCATGCCCAACTGAGCATGTTTTTTTTTTTTTTTAGGTTTTTAAATTCTTCACTTTTGCCAGTTGGTGAAGTTTTTTCCTCGCTGCTGTCGCCACTGGCTTACATGGTTCGGGATCTGGGGTCTGTTCTTCGTACCTCGCTTAAATGATCTAAGATGATTTGGCAGATCCTGGATCTTTTAATCTTGATAACTGATCTCTCGCTAATTTGGTTCTTCAAACAAGTTCGCGAATAAGATTAGAATGTCTGGATGAACTGATCTGAGATCGCTGCGTTTGTTGTGAAGGACAGATCTATCGATCCTCGAAATCATGATCAGCAATGCAACGATTGGCTGACGCCACAGCAGCGTAATGACATCATCTGATTAATATTCAATTATTCATGTGAGCAAAATTACATCAAATTAGCAGTCGACGGTTTGTTAAATATGACACGCAAGAACTTTCCACATTTGTTGTGAGCTGCAGGCTTTACACTTTCATGTGTCAAGAGTGGTCAAGAGTATTCATCATGTGTTTCAGTGTATATCAATGTATTTAGTTCCACATTTAGAAAAGATTTTCTTTATTATAGTAGCCGTTTTTTAATCGGTGTAAAGAATAACTGGATGTTTACAAAAGCATTTTGATATTGGTAAAGGTGTCTGCAACTTTCGTGAAGCATCAAATCACCGGCATATTAACTATCAAAACATGTTTACGACTGCATTAATGTATTATTTATTTTTTTATGTTGTACATTTCTATTATCATACACAATTTGTACTAAAGCAATCTAAAAAGTTCATATCAATAAGTTTTCTCTTTGCACCACGAGGTGGCAGTCTTTGTACTTTCATTTCGAGGGTGCAGATTGCATAAGTTTTATTAATATGAATAACTTTATTTATTTTATTAATAACTATAACTTTATATATATATATATATATAGTTAAAAATATTTACTATTTTCCCAATTGTATATAACTACTACTGTAAGAAAATATCAGAATTCGGTTAATACTTTATCTATTTTCTTTGCTTGAACTGAGCCGATCTAATCCTGTTTATATGAATTGAACCTGCTCCCGATCAGGTTTAAGCTAGCAGAACTGTTGCTATGACAACAACTCTCGGATCAGCTTTGAAGAACGAAACGATCCTGGATCGTGTCAAATCGTCAATATCCAAATCCAGCTAACTGAGTAATCCACGTACGAAGAACAGACCCCTGTAGAGCTGCGCATCAATAGATTTGCTCGTCAATGTGTTTGGACTCTCAGTAGTAACTATTAAACCACACTGAACTGAGCTAAACTGAACTTTTAACACTGAAAACTGGACTGACACCGTTTCAGTTTACTATGATCTTGTGTGAAGCTGCTTTGATACAATCTACATTGTAAAAGCGCTTTACAAATAAAGGTGAATTCAATAAAAACATGTAAACATGTAAGTTTTGTAGTTTGTCCCTTCCGCCTAAATAGATCAACGGTTTTATTAACGTCACCTCATACTTCAGTTTCTCATTACATCATAACCAATCAAATGCTCTCTAGTATCAGACAAAGTTCTTGAATATATTTAAAATTATAGTTCACAATCCTTATAAAAATTATGCTAATACACAGATTTGTTATTCAAAGTTATTACTGTTATCAGATTTACAATCTTTTTGGTTGTTATAATTATTATGTTACAAAAATCACTCTCATTTTCAATCACTTTAAAGCATTCCAGAATAAAAGTAGTAATTTTCCCTAAATATTTAGCAAATTTTCAACATATTTAAAATAATGTTGGTGTTTTTACAGTCGTTTACCTTCTTCTTCTCTGGCGAGCTCTGTTCGCTCTTTCCGTCGCCACCTTCGTTTTCAGCCGTCAATGGATCAGAGCCATTAGACGGCTTTACAGATGCAGCCTCCTGACTGGAAGTCTTCCAGCCAGTGAGATCCACACCAGCCGCGCACCACAACTGCAACACAACAGTTCAAGTTCTTCACTAGAGCGGTTTGTTTCCAGGTTTTTTTCCAGAGTCATTTACCTAAATTTACTTTGCTTTTTATAAGCTTTGTGTTTAAGCTTACAGTTATTTTGGGCACCTTAAATTCATCTTATTAAAACAAAGCTTTAGCATAACTCTCTTCACTAATGTATTACCTTAAAATGATTTTTAAAAAATCTACTGTATCAATTGTATTATCCATTTGATGCCCGTGTCTAATTTAAAAGCAATAAAAATCACACGCAGCAGCCATGAATGTTGAATGTAATGCAGAAATGAACTTAGCCAAATACATAAATATATAAAAAAAGAAAGAAAGATGGCATACTTTAATGAATTAATTTCATTTTCTAAATTCATGCTTGTTTTTGTTTCAAAACAAAACTGCTCAAAAAGGAGTGTTAAAGGCATTGAAATAAAGTATTTGCAAACACACACAGATTATTGTACATTTAGTGAGTTTTTAATTAAGATAATTTAAAACATTGTAAGATAATTTAAGATTGTGAACACAAATAGGTTAGAATTTCTTTCTTAAATCGAACAATTTTAAAAAAAAATGTTGCTATCCAAACAGCTTTACAGTATAGGTAACTCATTACAATGCGATGTAATGTAATCAGATTACTTTTTTTCAAGTAACTAAAAGAGTAACCCATTACTTTTTAATTTCCATGAAAATAGTTACTTTTCAAAGGGAAAAACTAACTTCAGTTACTATGTTTTCTCATTTATTGACTCCCTTGTCTTCATGAGAAATCAGAAGTGCAGATGTTGGATTTACGATGTGCAGGGGTGAATTTAGCGAATTGGACAATTCCTAGGCAATTCCAGGACTGATGCACCCTTTCTACTTTTATTTAATTATTATAGATTTTGGTGTTGTTTATATTACTAAATCTTCTTTTCTATGTTTTATCTAAATACAGTCTTTTCATTTTTAATGATTCTTTTTTACTTAAAATAAATTTCCAATAAAAATAGTAAATATGTTGGGCTGCTTCATCATTGGGCTGGTGGATATTTTATTTTATATTATTATTATTATTATTATTATTACATAACCTTACATTATTATAATAATATTATATTTTAGTGCATATTAAATAGTATTTAATCATGTAAACAATTCTCTCACTATACAAACTATGATAGAAAATTATGTTATTTATAGTTTATAGGTATCATTTGTTCTTCAAGATATTTAGTGGGGGCCCTCAGATTTCCTAGAGCCCTAAGCGGACGCTTACCTTGCTTATTGGTTAAGTCCGTTCCTGACGATGTGTAAATATGCTACTTACCATAGTTCAAGTCTAAAAGTGAACATACAGTTACTCATCTCTCTTGCACAAAAACAGATTCAGCATAATTAAAACAATTTATGGATCCTTTTTTCCCAAGCAATCCAGAAATGTAGCACTGCTAATAGGTTTGTTTGAGCTCAATATGAGACTATGTCAATTTACATTTTCGTTGGCCTGAGGTTAATTCCTTAAACATTTCACTGCTGGTGTTAAATGGCTTTACAGTGGTCAAAAATCTGAATAAATAAATAAATAAATACAAATATATATACAAAATAAAAACAAGGAAGCCTGATCCAGATGAAAAAAAAAAGTAATCCAAAAGTAATTCAGTACATTATTTTCCTTAAAAAGTAACTAACACATCTAGTAACTTTTTTAAAGTAGTATTGCCAGATTTATATTACTTACTATTATTACTTACTACATTATATCAGTTTTAAACTTAACTTTCCTCAGCATTGTTTACAAAGTAAAGTCAACCTGAATGTTATTTATTGCTAAAGTACACTGGATGTATGCGCGTTGATCTTGTACCTTCCTGTTGGGGTCTTTCTCCACTAGAGGGCGGCAGTACACTGGCACAGGGACGTTTTTCATGCGATTATCCTCTTTCTCAGTGGCCTGGAGGACACAGGAAGGGAGTGATATACATGAGGCCTTTATAAATAAGACTACATCCACCCACTACATGCAGAAAGACGTCATATTTAGAGCTTCCTTATGCAGAAAAGGGGAAACCAATAAACAGCAAACCAGAGCAGCAGATCAAGGACTGTCGGAGGGTTACTAGGCAAACGCATGCGCATGGACACTTGATCTACTGTACAGTCAGCAAATGCCACTGAGAGACACCAAGAAAGAGCAGCAAATCATGATGTGAGGCTTTCTAAGATGGAGGAACACAACGGTCACAAAGTAGTACTTGTTTTCATCTGATTTGCTATAATCTAAGACTATATTGTCATATCTCAATTGATTTCATGTAATCTAAGACCCAAGTTCCCTGTAAATAATTAAATAGTAAAACGTGATTGTATCAAAATGAACTTTTGCAATATTTTTTAAACTTCTGGAAGATGTTTTGAACCTCCAGAGTTTTAACAACCACTGCTAATACATTAGAATCATACACTCGCCGGCCACTTTATTAGGTACACCTGTCTAACAGTTCGTTAACGCAAATGTCTAATCAGCCAATCACTTGGCAGCAACTCAATGCATTTAGACATGTAGATATGGTCAAGACAATATGCTGCAGTTCAAACCGAGCATCAGAATAGGGAAGAAAGGTGATTTAAGTGACTGAACGGGCTGGTTTGAGTATTTGAGAAACTGCTGATCTACTGGGATTTTCACGCACAATTATCTCTAGGATTTACAGAGAATGGTCCAGAAGAGAAAATATCAAGTGAGCGGCAGTTCAGTGGGCACAAATCCCTTGATGATGCCAGAGGAGAATGGCCAGACTGGTTCAAGCTGATAGAAAGGCAATAGTAACTCAAATAATCACTCGTTACAATCAAGGTATGCAGAAGAGCATCTCTGAACACACAACATGAGCAACCTTGAGGCGGATGGGCTACAGCAGCAGAAGACCACACTGGGCGCCACTCCTGTCAGCTAAGAACAGGAAACCATGGCTACAATTCGAACAAGCTCACCAAATTGGACAATAGAAGATTGGAAAAATGTTGCCTGGTCTGATGAGTCTTGTTTCTGCTGCAACATTCGGATGGAAGGGTAAGAGTTTGCCATCAACAACATGAAAGCATGGATCCATCCTGCCTTGTATCAACGCTTCAGGCTGGTGGTGGTGGTGTAATGGTGTGGGGGATATTTTCCAGCAGGATAGCGTGCCATGTCATAAAGCGTGAATGATCTCAGACTGGTTTCTTGAACATGGCAATGAGTTCATATGGGCTCCACAGTCTCCAGATCTCAATCCAATAGAGCACCTTTGGGAAGTGGTAAAATGGGAGATTCGCATCATGGATGTGCAGCAACTGCGTGATGCTATCAAGTCAATATGGACCAAAAATCTTTGAGGAACATTTCCAGTACCTGGTTGAATCTATGCCATGAAGGATTAAGGCAGTTCTGAAGGCAAAAAGGGATCCAACCCAGTGCTAGTAAGGCGTATCTAATAAAGTGGCCGGGGAGTGTATATCAGTTTTATTATTAAAAGCTTTTATTAAACACTTATAGTAAGCAAGCAAACTGAATGTAATTTTTAGACGCTTGTATTTTAATTGAAATAAAGTGAAAAACACAGCAATTACTATTTTAAAAGGTTATTACCTAAACATCAGTGTTTGTGACCCACTAAAAAGGACAGTTCATCCAAAAATAAAATCCCCCTGGTTTACTCACTCTCACTCAAGTGGTTGTAAACTTTTATGTATTTATTTCTTCTGTTGAACATAATAAATCAAGTAATTCTGAAGAATGTCGTGGGAAAAACAGCCATTGACTTCAATAGTTGGAACAACAAAAATACTATGGTTAACCCCCCCTCCAATAATATTTTTAAAATATCTTATTTTGTGTGAAGAAATAAACCTAAACAGTCTGGAACAAATGGAGAATGACTATTTTCAATTTTTGAGTGAACTACTTAAATCAGGGGTGGGCAAACTCGGTCTTGGAGGGCTGGTGTCTTGCACAGTTTAGCTCCACCCCTAATCAAACACACCTGCTTATTGACCTTATTCTAAAATGCGGAAGTGCGCCTGTTTTCGCGATTGTCTTAGAACTTCCGATTCAGTCGCCTATGGGAGAAATGACTAGGAATAATAAACGGCAGAAAATGGCCAAACTACTTCCTCAACAAACAAATGTTTGCATGACTACACACACCAAGTAGCATAATATAATAAGAAAATATTAAATTGCAACATCAAGCAGCGTAACGAGCAGTTGTTAACGTCAAAAAATGAATGAAAGTGAATGTGACCGGAAGTCGCGAGACAAAAAGATTCAAATGGCAGCGCCCGCTCGACAGCTGAGAATAAGGTGAATAGATTTCTAGTGATTTTGAAGACGCTGATTAGCATGTTCAGATGTGTTTGATTACTGTTGGAGCTAAACTGTGCAGCACACTGGCCCTCCAGGACAGAGTTTGCCCACCCCTGCTCTAAAGTTAGACAAATATTGCTGCTATTGGACAACATAATGTATTTTTGAGTTGAGAATGTAGAGGGTACTTATGTATACCTTTATAGTCAGTTGCATTATGTGTCAAAATTGGTTAAAACTGCAGTAAAAAATAATGGTACAGAACTTATTTATATTATACATACTTCTAAATCATGGTGTTGATGACATTGAGTAGACTTTAACTTTAAATGTAAATACTGAACAACGCTGCTAACTCAATTTATTATAATGAATGCAGTTAAAAATCAGTGTCTTGGTTTAGTGTATACATTTCTTGTTCTACCTTGTAGAGTTGTTTACTTCACTTCACCCTACCCATTCTCATAACGTTTTGCACTACTGTTTATCATCGACAGTTTTTTCTACTGTAACTAGTTGTTTAGTGTGATTTGTATTGAAAGGATACATGTTTGCACTGAGAAGTGAGATGCACTCAATCTCATCGCACATACATATAATGTACACTGTATATGTGTACAGTGACAATAAAAGTCATTCTATTCAATTCTATTATATAAATCAACATAGAAATAAGCTTGTTAAAACATTTTTCTGCAACAATTTCGAATGCAACTAAATAAAGCATTATTAATCTAATGATTATATTTTTAAAAAAAAAATTGAGATATTTATGAATTAAACTCATCACATAGCATCATAACATGCATCCTTTATGTAAGTTTATCCTGTTTAACATTCATTTTGAAATAAAAGTAAGGTTTAGTGTTTTTAACCTCCTTCCAAATCAAGTAATCTGCTGCAATTAATCATAATAATTGTATGGATCACTTACAAAAAATACTCTAGTGCAGCGGATCCCAACAAGGGGGTCCAGGCCCACAAAGGGGCCTCAGTGAATTCTGTCGGGGGTCGTGTCATATTTGAATTTAATTTTAGCATTGTACAATTAGGAGAATGATCATGTTGCCTCAGTTAATTTTATCCCCTAGCTGACCAAAAAATATACACATTTGTAATTCGTCCTCTACAAAAAAGACAGAATCTCACTGATTCGCCATCAGCAGCTAATTCTAATGACCCAAGCATACTGCACCCAGGTGAGGAAGCTCCAAACATTTCACGTTGCATCACTGGCAATACTGGAAACACGAAATACCAAGGCATTTACCTGAACTATGGTTCTATTCCATTTTCCAAAAACAAAGAGTCCCCGACCCAGCCACAGTGTATTATCTGCACCATAGTTTTTGCTAACGAAAGCCTGAGGCCGTCCAAATTATGAAGACATTTGCAGACGACTCATCCCCAATAATGCGACAAGCTCAGAGCATTATTTGAGCGCAAGACAAAAAAATTTGATACACACCCAAAATAATATGAGGGACGTCACAGCTACTGACAAGAAACTTTTTAAAAAATGGCAACTAATATAGGGCCAATTTAAAGGCCAAAGGCTTCAGTTTTTCAGTTACAAATGGCCTACTAATGCTTTGCTTTTATATTTCACATTAGGCTATTATTTGTGCATAAACATATCTAGACGTAGTAATAAACACACCATTTGTTTGAAAACAACATGTTTTGTCATCATTACTGCAAACTCATATAAGCAATAATATGATTAAATGTTGAGGGGGGCCTTACAATATTTTCAGGGGGAAAAAGGGGTCTCAGGCAAATAAAGGTTGGGAACCACTGCTCTAGTGGTACTACAGTGATATAAACAGATGCTACTGCATATTAAATGCTAGATGATTATCATAATCAATTAACAATGCATTTAATGTTCGCTTTTAGTGCAAATGAAATGTGTTTCTGCCAATAAATGTCTTGTAGGCACCTAACCCTAACCACTTAACAATTAGCCATATGCCTAACATATCCCAAATACTCTATTCACTTGATTGGGTTGCAAAAAATTGTTTGAAGCAAAGCATGACGGCAGCTATAAATACCACAGAGATACCTAAGGATGGATGAAGCTGGTTTTATCAGTGCTATATCAGTTTTCTGCTGCGTCTACACTGTGATTTGCTGACTGATGCTGACTCAGGTTAGGGACAGGGCGGAGAGGTTGGGAGAGGTGCATGCTGGTTCTCAGACTTGCCTGGTTCCTCTTAGCTGTGGCATCTGGAGCGCTGTCCGCCTGGCAGCCGTTCTGTGGGAGATCACAGTTAGAGCAACCCTAACAATACTGCCAGACCCATGAAACACACTTCCAGACTAACCATTGCACCATTACTAACACTCACACAGATGCAGTTATTTAGACTGAGCTTTGATTTTATGTTTTGGGCCCATTACTGGTTAAAAGTTTGGAATTAGTATGATTTAAAAACAACAACAAAAAGTTTTAAAAGACTTTTCTACTCACCAAGGGTGCATTAAATTGAGCGAAAATACGATAAAAACTATGGAATGAACTATTATGCAGGGGGACTTTTTACAATCAGCCAGCTAAGGCACTTCCCGGCGAACTGGCATGCCATTATAAAAATCACAAGGTTTAGGATCTGGTTTCTTTGACAATCAATAACAACGTTCACATGGACATCAGTAATTGAATTATTTGGCTTTATTAGCGGTGTAGGACAGAGGGTTTTTCAGAAATGCTAGATGAAACCTCAATGTGGACGTGGATCGTTTTCGTTCCAAAATGCCATTTTAAAACTAAGACACATTAGTGTAAACAGGGCCCAAGTGTGCATTTTTCTGCGATGCCAGCTCAGCATCGTGATGTCTATCGGCCGTCGACAATGGCATCGACCATACCCTAGTATATTGCTACTCTTTTTAACAATTTAATGTGTCCTCGATGAGTAAACACACTTTTAATGCTACTTCTGAATCATACTCCATCACAGTTTCCTCATATATTATATAACCCAGCAGTTTTCAACACTAATGATGATGATAATAACGTTTCCTGAGCAGCAGAAAATCATATGAGAATCACTTCTGGAGGATCATGTGACACTGAACACTAGAGAAAAGATGCTGAAAATGCAGCTTTAGGCACATATTTCCAGTGAGCCTGGGCTGATTATACTGATTGGTTAAAATAGTAGCTCTTATTTAACTGCTGAATGCATGATAAAATGCCACAGCACTGTATTTTCCTTCAGATTTTTACATTAATTGCAGGTTTGCAGCAAAGCAAGCAGAGACAGTACACAAGTGGACACTATTTTGACTTATTCAGTATAGGGAGACCTGATTTTAACAAATTAATAAAGTAATTCACTGATCAAATAAAACATGACAGTGTAAGTAAACAAACTATTAGTTTTTTCTATAATTTACAGTGCTCAGCCTAAATGAGTACTACACCCCTCACAAATCCCTCTTTTTAATAATGATGTTTTCTACAGCATACTTTATAAGTAGATATGTGTGCATAATATACATTAGATTAATCAGTACTTTATCCAAAACTGGAACAAATCTAACAAAGAAGCCAACAACTTAAGATCAGTCTAAAAATGATTCAATCAGAATTAAAATGTTGGGGAACAAATTAAATAATATTGAAATAAACAGGGAAAAATGCATAAGAAACAATTAATTTTTGAAATTTTGTAGTTTGTATTTTCTTGCTTTTTCTTATTGTTGATCTTTCTAATCCTAATGATGTTAGATGAACAAACGCTTATTTTAATGGACATAACTGTTTAATAAGAACACACCAAAAAGTATATATATTCACTGAGAAATGGATTAAATATATATATACATTTTTAATAGGAGGTGTTACCGAAGTACCTTTAGGGCAAGTCATTTCACTGGGTGGCCATATTCGAAAAGCCTCTCGGCATTCTGTCTGTATGGGGAAACATGAAATTCTCCAAAACTGTTTCCCGAGCTTACGATTACTTTACATATTTGTAGTCACCAATAAAATTAAATATCAAATGCTTGATTTTTAAACATTTGAATAATGCTTTTTTTCAGGTTGCCCGAGCTAATGTGCATGCGCACTCGAAAGGAACAGGATCACGACACTAACCTCATTTATGATTGTTCTACATATTATTATCCTCTGGATAATGATCGACAGATCGCGCTGCTCTTCTGAAGTAATTCACAACTTGGTTTAGATGGTGAATCTCCTCCAGAAATGACAGGGACTCTTTGTTTACAAGTTTGTGGGCGTTTTATAGTTGCTGTCTTGTGATGTGCGTTTGACAGGACGTACCTCGCGGGCTTCATTCCCCACATTGACCGTACACTTTTCCCCATTCAAAACTATATGAGTGACATGTCTTGTGTATTCTAGAGTCTTTCCCTTAAAAATTGTTAGTTAACTGCCACGTTTGCTAAATTTTAAACTTTCTTTTATTTCTTTTTATTAAAATAACTTTTTTAACTTTATTTTATTAACCATAAATTATTTAAAAAATTTTAATTAACAATAACAATGCAGTCACTGAATTCCTGCATCATTATTTTTGGGACTTTTATTTTGTAGATTTACAAGCTGAATTTATTTTACAACAAAATGTAAAAAGAAGACTTTATGACCATAATTAATATACTGTAGTTTAAGCAGATGAGCTCTCGTGAATTCATGAAGAATGAATTAAACATTTGATGAAGTGTTCGATACTGCCACATACGTTTTGTAAATTAGTAACAAGCCACCCAGACAGTCAATCACCTAACATAAACTCTGACACTCATCCCTTAAGAGGATTTCAACTAAGCATTTGTTTATGAGCCAACATTTTCAGCCAAAGCCAAAAAGCATCATGCATTTTGGCCACTTGATTGGACGACAACAGATATTTGAAAGTCTGAAAATATAGTTGAAAATAAACTTATTGTCTCTTTTTCTTAACAGGAAAGCATAAATGCTTTCATACATGTGATTTGAATGGTGCGAGACGTGATCACTCTGTGATCATTACAAATTTAGAATTAATCTACCAATAAAAAATGTATTTAATCCACTGGTCATGTGTGTTCCGAACTGTGGGTTGTGATTTATATGAATCACGGCTCAAGTGTGATCCGTTACACCCCTAAAGATTAGTATAATCGAATTCATGATATCTGAAAAACAGTATGCAGGTACCCAGATGACCTACTACATCTAGCGAGACACTAAAGTATGCATAGACTCTGTGCTATCCCATGATGCCACGCAAGAGAATTTATAAATTAAAGTATAGCAACTAGCGTGGGAAGATCATCTGATGATGAAGAACGGCAGATGTAGTATGTCTGAGTTCCATTCATGCTTCTGACATTCACACTATATAGGACATACTTTCCAAGGGTTGTATAGTAAATACAAATTCAAATCTAGTACCTACTGAGTAGTAGCCAATTTTGGACGCAGCCATAGAAGAAAGAAACTTCCAGGTTTTTGTGATTAGGTAAGTTGTAGCTAAAATCTACAGAACACCGGCCCTTCAGGACCGAGTTTGGGCACCATTGGTCTATTTGCTAAAAGTTTTAAAAACACAAAGAAGAAAAAATGTTGACTTTTTTTGGTAAACCACTGAAAGGAACAAACACCCCTCTTTACTCCAGATTTCTACTTTTATGAGAAAGGTCACTCTCTGATACAACAAAAGCACTCTAGTCTCTACATGGAGGTGATTACAATTTTGTGTTGTATACAGAGGTCAGCAAAAAGGCAGATACCTGTTTGAGACGGGATGGGACGCTCCAGCCACAGGTCTGCATAGGGCCGTCTTTGCGCCGCATGTGTTCGCGCACCTGCCGGTACTGTTCTCGCCGCTGCTCTCTGCGGGTACAGAGTGCTGAGTCGCTGAGGAGAGACGCAACACCATTAACGGGCATTCTACAGGACGAGAGAAAGAGAGACGCAGCCGTCGGTCAGCCAAAGAGCCACAAATTCAGCCAGCCAGCAGAGGCCAAAGAGAAATAACACAAACACATACAGCAGGAAATGAGAATTGAACTTAAAATGATAATGGCTTCATTATATATATATATATATATATATATATATATATTTATTTATTTATTTATATAAATTAAATTCTGAATTATTAGGCCCCCTGTATATTTTTCCCCCAATTTTCTGTTTAACACATTTCTGAACATAATAGTTTTAATAACTCATCTCTAATAATTGATTTATTTTATCTTTGTCATGATGACAGTAAATAATATTTTGCTAGACATTTTTAAGGCACTTCTATACAGCTTAAAGCGACATTTAAAGGCTTAACTAGGTTAATTAGGTTAACTAGGCAGGATAGGGTATTCATAGGGTAGTCATTGTATAACGATGGTTTGTTTTGTAGGCAATCGAAAAATAAATATAGCTTAAAGGGGCTAATTATTTTGACCATAACATAGTTTATTAAAAATAATGAAAACTGCTAGCCGAAATAAAACAAATAAGACTTTCTCCAGAAGAAAAAATATTATCAGAAATACTGTGAAAATGTCCTTGCTCTGTTAAACATTATTTGGGAAATATTTAAGAAAGAAAAAGGAATTCAAAAGGAGGCTAATGTATTTTAGTAGCATGACAATAATATATTGCTTCGGCAAACTAACTGAAAAAAATAAACATAAATAAAATATATTTGTAGTGGAAGATATAAAGTTACAAAAACTAATGCTGCAATGACTTTTTTTAAACCTAAAAAAGAATATACAGGTTAATCAAAACAAAAGAAACAAAAAAAAAAACTTAAACCTAAATTAAAATAGAAGTTATTTATTTTGTTAAAATAAATCTAAACAGTAACTTGACTAAACCCCACAGCCTAAACATAGTAATTATTAAATAAATAAACCTTTTTCTAATTTAGATTTATTCATCCTAAGCTTTCTTTTAAACTTTATGTTAAAGTTAGTTCACAGCTTTAAGTAGTACTGTCATTCAAAAACAACAGGGGTCACTGATAGTCCCTCAAGCTAAGTAAACATGTGAGTGTGAAACAGCTAACAGCCAAATGCAGCATTAGCACACATTAGCATTTAGCAGAGTCAGCTTGCCAGAGCAGAAGACAGAGAGAGAGAGAGAGAGAGTACACAATGTGGACACAGTGTAAGCAGGGCTGTGTAAATGTGAGGATGATCAGGACAGACACACAGACAGAATCTCATGTTCTCCTTACTCTTCCGGCAGAAACTCTCGTATGCAGGTGGAGGTGGAGATCTGGCACATGGTTTGGGAGCGTCTCTGGTTGTAGCCAGCCGGAGACGGAGACTTGTAGTGAATGTTGACACTGGTGTAGGGCCGCTTTACTGGAGGAGGACTAGCCGATGAACTGAAGAGACGAGCAAAGCTGGAGAGAAACAGAGAAAAGTGAAGGAACAAGGAGAAACAGATGACACAGAACCACAAATGTGGAAAAGTAATTTTTTTAGGAAAAGCCATGAATATATATTTTTTAATGGCAAAAATCCTTAAAATGTTACATACAGTATCTTGTTCCTTGCTATTTTGTAAATTTCTCACTGTAAACATATCAAATCTAAATTTCTGGTAAATATGCATTGTAATATTGTACTAGTAATATGCATTTTAATATGCATTGCTAAGAACTTCAACTTAAAATGCAATTTTTTTTTTCATTATTTAATGCAATGATGCTGTCATTAAATAGACAAAATTCATATATAAACCGTAAAAGATATGGAAGTAGCATCCGTGAGGTCACCCATAGGTTTCTGAATAATGCGAAAGAAGCTACAAGTAGGCGTGGCATACCGACACCATTTTGTTTGCATGTCATCGCGTGAACGAAGCTACAGATGCATTCTAGCATTTTGCTTCGATGGGCTTTTTTGGGAGAGAAATGCTTAATACTTCATTTCCTGCGACTCGTTTGTGTTCTGACCACATGTGCTTGGTTGTAAACTATATCAATAAAGTATTTAGTCTTTGAAAAACACTGTTGTAATACATCAAGCCACTAAGCATTGTTATTATGACGTTTTTCTACAGGAGGATTGTGGAAACACTATAATAGTCAAAATATAGTCTGTGTTAGTAAATGCAAGACTATTTATGAAATCAAGGCATAACACTGTATGACAATGCTTCGGATGACTGTTCTAGAGCCTACAGCTAATCAATCTGTCACATTCTGGAGTGCTTTACAAGGCCTAAAGAAAAATATAAAGGATCTTAAATAAAACAAATACATTTATAGAGATGATTTCTAAGTGTATAATTTCACTCACCTGGGAAATGGAGGCCACTTGAATGGTTTGTGAGCACAATTAAGTGCACACAGCAAGCCATATTATCTGATAATTGTAAGAAATAGTTCCAAAAGACAACTGACTGTGTAAAGCCACATAATACAAAACATTGATTTATGTATTTGCCGAGTTCAGCAGCTAATCAGCCGGAATCAGCTGAGGTGAAGTGACTGCAACTAGCAAGGACAAGCTGTCAATCAAGTGGCCACGCCCTCAATTATGCAGACTTAATATAAATGAAATGGACGAGTAATAAAAAAAAAATCACCCCCTCACAGTTGTCATGATGTACCAGACTGTAAACACCTTTTTTCTGCTGTAAAGTTGGCCATTTTAGCCATGGGCTCAATATAAATCTGCTCTATTTTGGAGTCAGGACTAGCAGAATTTCGATGAACTGCAGTTTCAGTTACTTCAGTATTTGCTTCACGAGGAAGAGCGGGAATTTGCTGCTTGATTAATACTCACAATTGCCAGATGATGGATTTCTTCTTCTCTGGTAGAGGAGGACTCTCTCGAGACGCCCTGTGAAAGTGAAATAGACAGAGACAAGATGAAGCCATACTCGTTCAATTTTCATACTATAGTAAGTAAAATGTATTATGCAAATGTGTACACTTGCAGTAAACCTAAACTTTTACAGTAAAAAAAACTTAAGTTTTAAAGGTGCAGTATGCAGGTTTGACACCCAGTTGTTTAACTAGGTGTTGCACTACTGGATTAAAACAAACGCAAGTGCAGGTTGCCAGATTAACAACAGGAGTGAGTGATTTAAACCGTGTTCTAAATAAAATTTGATAAAAGGGATATTCTCCATATTATAAGGAGTTTTTGTTCTAACTAACACCTTGAATTGATATTTAATCTCAGATGCAGAAAAGCTAGTCCATCCTTTTATGACTTCTAGGCTGGACTACTGTAATGCACTGTTTGCTGGCTGCCCAGCATTAACAAACTTCAATTCATACAAAATGCAGCTGCCAGACCTCTTACCAGGTCTAGAAAATAAGATCATATCACCCCAATTTTATCCTCCTTACACTGGCTGCTTGTTAAGTTTCGTATTGAATTTAAAATATTACTTCTTAAATATCAAGCTTTAAATAATCTAGCTCTTGTTTATCTAACCAACCTTCTGTCTCGCTACAATCCAACTCGCTCTTTAAGATCTCAAAACTCAGGGCTTCTGGTAGTACCTAGAATAGCAAAGTCGAGTAAAGGAGGTCGAGCCTTCTCATTTATGGCTCCTAAACTCTGGAATAGCCTTACAAATAACGTCCGAGGCTCATACACACTCTCCCAGTTCAAAACTAGATTAAAGACCTATCTGTTAAGTAAAGCATACACTCAGTGCATCACTTAGCGGGTTTCCACACAGATTTCTACATCTTGTTTATATACACTATGAACAGCAGCTACGCTAATTATTTTCTTTATTCATTATTTCCACCTGGGGATACTCATCCCGAGGTCCTCAGATCAGCGGAGTCACTGATTAATCCAAGACCAGAGACGAGATGATCCCAACGTGTCCATATCCTGGACCAGGCCGTATCCTGAGCTGCTGCTGTGCTGTTGGTCATACGGGAGTGGAGAGCATGAGACTGATTCCTGTGACGCTCCAGGGACAGACGTGTCTTCGCTGAGGCCAGCTTCCAGCCTCCGCCGCTGAGACTGCAGCTCTGCACAAGACGTTTGGCCAGCGGAGAAATTGAAATGGTCAAGTCCAACTGAGTCTGGTTACTCTCAAGGTTTTTTTTCTTCACTCCTGCCACTTGGTGAAGTTTTTTTTCCCTCTCCAATGTCGCCACTAGCTTGCATGGTTTGGGATCGGTAGAGCGACGCATTAATGGATTTGCTGCTTAGTGTTTAGGCCCTCAATAGTGACTAATAAACCACATTTAACTGAGCTAAACTGAACTTAAACACTAAATACTAAAATACACCGTTCCAATTTACTATCATCTTTTATGTGAAGCTGCTTTGACACAATCTACATTGTAAAAGCACTATACAAATGAAGATAAAATTGAAAATATATTAAAAACGGCTTCTATTTCTCACAGATGAACAACAGAAAACAGACAATGATCACCTCAGGTACATTATTCAGTGTTAAATGCTAATAATGTGAGTTTAAATGGCATTTTACATTACATCACTGAAAGCAGCAGCAGATAGTTCACCTCAGATCTTGAAAATAAAAAACGTTTGTATTGAATTTTAGAACTAAACACATATCGGTGATTTAGCCAGTACATTTAATAATGTTAAAGTTTGATATGTATTAATTACATTATAAACATAACCATTTTGTGAGTGAGTGCATATTCTGTGCTTCTGATTGGCTGTATTCACATTTCTGTCGTGTTTTGTCTGGTGCAAACAGCCAAATTGCTCATCACTGCTTATCTCATCATGAAACGTGTTGTTAGGACAGGGGGTTACAATGTCACCTGCTCACCTAATGTTTACGCTCATAATAAATATATCATTTGCTAACTAATAACCTCATGTAGAACTGAATCGGTCTCATTTTGGAGTCTTCTACTGTCCAACGGAGGTCACATTTCAGTCACGGGCGAATGCTTTGAGAGCCTTTCTGAATGAATGTGTGTGCGTATTAGCCTCGGTGTATAAACTCGGAACTAGCACTCAGCTGGCGTAACTTTGTTTAGTTGCAGCAGTTTCATTCTGTGCATGAGAAACACAGTGTTGAGAAGCCTTTACGAATAATTAACCGTGACGAATTAAAGCACGGTTAATAGCGAAATTGGTTAATCATTGCATCCCTAGACATAGTTATTTTACAGTGTAACTTATTATTTAACTTCTAAGTAAAATTAATTACATGTACTTACTATATGTTTGGGGTTTGAACGTGGGTTAGGTTTGTTTAGGTTTATGTATATAAGGATGTTTTGTTACATTATGATGGAATAATCATTTTTTTACACCATTTTCAACTTTATTTTATGAATATCATATGAACAAAGTCATTTAGATGTGCTTATGTATCAGATTTTGTGCATACACTTTATTTTAAGCTGATGTAGGTATTAAAGTGTAACTATTCATTCAACTAATAAGTAAAATTAATTAATTACATGAACTTACTATATGATTGAGGTTAGAATGTGAGTTAGTTTTAGGGTTAGTTACATGTAAGGATGCATGTTGAACTGTAACTAATATAGTAATAGTGCATGAAAAGTGTAACTAATTCATCTTAAATAAAAGTGTTACCAGGTTAGATGACGTTACCTGATCATCTCGGTCCAGCGCACGGCTTCCTGAAGCTCCATCAGTCTCTCCTTGTACTGGTTGCGCTCCATCAGCACTCGGGCCATCTCCACTCGGGTAAAGCGGCGTCTCTGCGTCATGGTCACATCGTCCTGCAGTGGAGATGAGTACTGCACCACAGAGCCAAATACCAAAACACAGGACAACACGGCGGCAGGAGAGCGGAGGTTAGTGCATCAGGCCATCAGCATTAAAAGCAAGCTTACTAAAGCATGCAGAGCGGGTTCAAGCTTTACTGCACACTGCGTTTTAATTAAAAGCTGTCAGAGCATATGGAGAGGCCTATGGAGGTGATTAGTAATAACATTTTTAACTGTGTTTGCACCTGGCATGCAAGCAAAAACAAAGACTAAAATCAAGTGGTTTTTCCCTCTGATGTTAAGAAAACATACAGGCGCAAAGTCTAAAGCGCAAAGGATAAATGAGCAAAACCATCATGAGCTTGCAAAAGCATCATGAGCGTGTCCGAATCCACTTTTGCTATTATAAGGATGGAAAAATACAGTTTGTGCCCTGGCACATGTTCTGACAGGGTTGTGCTTATTCACTTAAGGAGTTATGGGTTTGTTTTGAGCATAGCACATATAAAACCAATCAGTCTCATCTAACATGGCCTTTAGGAGTCAGTTGCGTCACGTCATGGCACATTTGCTGTTTATGTGGCAGACTTTGTAAGTCACAAAACTGAACTCCTTTACTTGCGAGAAAACCGTTAAACATATCATCTGCAGCACGAAGATAAAGAATGAGCCTCTTCCATTTGGCCTCTTAACTCCTTTACTTTAGTGGATACGGAGACAGTGTTGTACTCACTGCACTGAAGACATCCATTAGCCTACATATGGAAATTTGTTTGTTAAGCGCAAACATTTGTTCCAAAACTATTTCTAAATACAGTTCTAATTTCGAGCATAAATAAATTTCCTTGTTTTCTTCTTCTTTTATTGTTTAAGTAGTTCTTAGACCAAACTAACCAATGGTTTTGTGCCAGTGTTTGAGCATATAGAGCTCACCAGTTAATTCCCTGAAGCACATCTAATATTTTGTGCATTTTTAAATGCAGGTCTGATAATTTGTGCAGATTATATTAACGATTTTGCACTGAGAAAAATGTTGAATTATTTAAATGACATGCAATTAATACTCATCAGTATTAGCCTTTTTTATATAATTGCCAAAAGCTTCAAATGAATTCAATATCAGCCAATTAATAACATAAAAAAATACATACTTTGTTATTTGGGCCTTCAGTGATAAGTGAGCATGTAAGTCATGTTTTTCACAATGCATTCTGGGCACTTTCTTCTCCCTTAAGGACACTAGGATCTCTCTAAAGTATTATGTATATAAGCCATGCTGTTAAAACGGAGCTAAAACAAGATGTTCTTGGAGCAAACATAATTAAGTTTCCATCATTTGACACCAGTGTAGCAGCTCAGCAGTTTCTGGAGCACAGCAAAGGTGCTTAAATGGGACAGAACAGAAGTGTTTTACTTACATCCTCTCCACCTTCGTCTTTAGAGTCCTGAGATGCTCCTAATGCTTCCGCTCTCAACCTGTAATGAAAGAGACACATTCAGACTTTAATCAGAGAGCAGTCACGGGGTACTTTTAGACTTAAAAACACATCACTGTTCACAAACCATAGCTGCATCCCAAATGACACTCAATCATTTAGTGTAGAGTTTAGAGTTGTCCCAAACAGAACACTAACCTTTTTTGGTAACACTTTATAAAAACTACACACTGTGAAACATTTATTACGCATTCGCATCTAGTGAATTCATTATCTGTTAAGCATTAACTCTACATTAATAAACTTTAGTAAGCAGTTTATAACTGCAGTTACAAATGCTCTATTCTTGACTTATAAGGACATTTATAATGTGCTTAATAATGGTGCTTTCATAATGTGTGAGTGATTTATTTTTCATGACTAAATTAAGTATTGCATTATTTACAAACCATTTGTATTCAAGAGTAGTTGAAGGTTATATGATCATTCAGAACGAGCAAGTAAATGATTAATAAACTATTCAAATCAACATTTATGTATTTTATTAATCAGGCATATAGTAATATATATGTATGTGTTAAATGCTTTATTAACACAACTTCATGCAGTTTTGTAACCTAAAGTGCGGACTAATTATGCTTCGTAAATCCCTTATAAATGACAATTAAAGGCTGAGTGTTAAATGAACAATAATCTTTGCAATCCTATCTTAAAATGTAAAATGACTATAAAATTACTGTATATTGGATACAACAGCAATATATTAATTTAACAATATAATATGAAGCAACATTTTAATGTTACTTAGCGGTGTGAAAACTGCAACGTAATTTGATTTTAGATAAGGCTGCAAAGATTTATTTTTCTTTTGATACAGTTTCTTTTGAGCATATTCAAATAAATAGAAATGAATAAAGTTGTTTATTTTCTTTTTTTCCTGTTTGAAATAAGTCAACACAGTCAGTGTGATCATGCAACTTGGCGATGATAGCGCGTGGCCGCTCATAAGGATTAGGTTTCGGCTGTGACGTACGATGACATCTATCCACAACGACGTCTTTATCGAGGTGTAGAGCATCCTTGATAAGTTTGGAGACTGCTGATGTGGTGGAAGGAAAATCTTCAGGTATTCCCAGGATTCTTATATTATTACAGCGCGATCTCGCTTTAAGATCCTCACATTTATCTTCCAACCGCTTAAAAAAATCCATCTTTTCTTGAATTACGGTGACGTCGTCAGAACAGATGTTCCAAGTCCTTAATTGTATTTTTCATAGTCGCCACATTTGTCTGTACTGTGACCATAGTAACAGTTATTAGAAAACTCTGCTTTTACAGCTTGCAGCTCACTTTTTATGGTTGAGAGATCGTCGCCCAGAACAGTTTGCAACTCCGAGCGCAGAATACCTGCAGTGCAATGTCATTAAGTAGAGAGGATAAAAGCTCAGATTTGAGAGATGTGTTGTCGGCCGGGGGCTCCGTTTGCGCCTCTGAGCTATTTGAGGACTGAGGAGATGCAGGAACAGCAGAAAGTGCTGGCCGCTGATGAGACGATGACGGATTGGCAGCCTTACTGGGTTTATTCTTCATTTTTCAACGCAAAAATACGTATTTTCTATGGACATTAAAAAACAAACACTTGTAGGCTGGGTGGTGGGAGCAAAATAGGCTAAAGATTGAAATATTCATAAATGTACTGCAGGAGCAACCGCGAACGCGACTTACGCCATAGCTGCTTACACCGGAAGTCCTGTTTGAAATATAGCTAATCCTTTAATTGTCATTTATAAGGGATTTATAAACCATAACTAGTCCTGACTTTAGATTAGGCCACAAAACTGGATGAAGTTAAGTTAATAAAGCATTTATTAACATACAAATTAACTATTAGTATATGCCTGAATAATAGGAATTATAAATGTTAATTTGAATAGTTTATTAATCATTTACAAACTCGTTCTGAATGATCTTTAAAAAACACCAACAATTCTTAAATTACTGGTATGTAATTAATGCAGTACTTAATTTAGTAATGAAAAATAAATCTTTACAAAGTATGAAAACACAGTCATTAAGCACATTATAGATGTATAAACCCTAAAGTTTTAACCTTCAGCAGTCACAAGACTGGAACCTGAGGTTTAAGGCAGAACTCATGTCTCATCACAAAGGGGCAAACAAAACTGACATTTAGCCTACAATCCTTGCACAACATACACTTTTATCCGTTTTCTCTCTCTTTTGCTAGTAACCAATTTTAACGTGATATTGTAAAAACCACATCTAAGTTTGGCAGGAACGGTTAGGTTGAGTAGAAAATGGGGCGGGGCGGGAAGCGGGTAAACAAAGGCGGAATATACTACGGGAGCAGTCAGGTGTAGAATAGTACCTTGCCAGAGCGCGGAAGAGCAGGACTAAAAAAATTGTTCCACACAAAGCTCTACCTGACAGCTCCTACCCAAAAGTGCAAGTGTTGAATGCAAGAAGTGTGTTCAACATTGCACACATATTTTTGGGGGGGTTGAATAAGTCATATTATGAAATAGTTAGTACATAATAGTACATGTCACTCCGCTGCTCATCCGTTTGCACTGGCTGCCAGTTGCTGCTCGCATCAAATTCAAAGCTCTGATGTTTGCCTACAAAGCGACTTCTGGCTTTGCTCCTTCTTATCTGCTCTCACTTCTGCAGATCTATGTGCCCTCCAGAAACTTGTGTTCTGTGAATGAACATCGCCTCGTGGTTCCATCCCAAAGAGGGAAGAAATCACTTTCGCGAACGCTCACGTTCAATCTGTTCAGTTGGTGGAATGAACTCCCTAACTGCATCAGAACAGCAGAGTCACTCGCTACTTTCAAGAAACGACTAAAAACTCAACTATTTAGTCTCCACTTCACTTCCTAATCTGCAATTGCCTCTCTGGATATAAAAAATAAAAATAAAAATAATAATTACTAAATTACTAAAATATTACTAATACTTTCCTTCTTAGACTTTACAGACCTGAAACTTGCCTATAGCACTTATTCATTGTTGCTCTTATAGTTGTGTAAATTGCTTCCTTGTCCTCATTTGTAAGTCGCTTTGGATAAAAGCGTCAGCTAAATGACTAAATGTAAATGTAAAATGTAAATGCAGTTGAAATAATCCTATTACAATATGCATGCGCTTTGGGACACACCTCGTGATTTTGCCTTTAACTGCACTGTTAAACTCTATAGGGCTTTTCACATTAGAGATCTGAACCACAGGTAAACAGAATTTCACACTGCTCATAATTAAAACATAGTTAACAATTAATGGGTGTTTTTATTCATACATTGAAGTTTCTTTGTACAATACTGGATTAACAAATATTTTTGGCATGTTTGCAATGTCAATATCATTGACTGGACAAATGCAACATGTGACTTGTAACCAGCTCTAGAGTTGCACAGTTTTATATGATGCCAAGTGCTAGAAAGCTTCAGCAAGCTAAGTAGAAATTAAATGGCCTTCTTCATCTAGTAGTATTTCATTACTATTTGACATGTGGCCTGAAACCACTAAACCAGACGAAAGAGTAATTGTATAAAATATGAGCTTAAAACTGATAGAATAAGCTTTCCATTGATGTATGGTGTGTTCAGATAGGACAATGTTTGACAGATACAACCATTAAAAAATATTTTAAAAATTCCCCACATTACAATATGGAGAAATGCACCTTTAGGTTGTCCAAATTAAGTTCTTAATGCACATTAGTACAAAAAAAATAAGTTTTGATAAAATTGCGATTGAAAACTTTCAAAATGTCCCCATGGAACATGATATTTACTTAAATTTCTAACAATAATAGGCATTTTTACAAATATGCTCATGCAACTTAAGACTTAAAAACGTTTGTGTTCCCGGGTTACATATTTCATTTTAAATGCCAAAAATGTGTTTAATACAATGCACAATGCAAAGCCAGTCAGCTACAACTAGCCATAACATTTTAATGCTCCATTGTTTCCCACTGCACATGTTTGGCACCACAATGCAGGGTTAACAGCGTACAAATGAAGATAATCCTGCTCTGGAGCAGGGTTTCAGGACGCAGTTAAAAAAGTTCAAAATAGTTCAATATTTTCCTGTTTATATCATGCTCATCTATCCATATACATATCTATTAGGTATAATGGGTCACAATAGATACGTTTAGATCATGACCCACGGTTGGGCATGCACATGACCCATGGATTAATACCTTTTTTAATTTTTCTCATAGTAGATTAATCCTAAATTTATAGAGATTCCAGTTGTGACACTTAACAGCTTTCCTAGTTTCCTTTGTTTTGACAGTGAAACTGAAAGTTGTAGCAGTTACATTGTTTAACCAATAGGTGGCAACAACCAGCCATCAAAAATGTCTTATTTATAGCACCACATATAGGTGTGGTATACATATTACACCAATTTTTTTTAAATTATTCATTCATTCATTTTCAACTGCTTTTCCGTAGCCGGGTTGCAGGGGCATCAGAATCAGGAGAGAACCCCAGACTTCCCTTTCCCTAAACACTTCCTCCAGCTCCTCCGGGGGCAATCCCGAGGCAATCCCAGGGCAGCCGAGAGACATAGCCTCTCCAGCATTTCCTAGGTCTTCCCCGAGGACTCCTCCCGGTGGGACATGCCTGAAACACACCTTCCTAGGTAGGCGTCCAGTAGGCATCAGAAACTTTCAGAGCCACCACAGCTGACTTTTCTCGGTGTGGAGGAGAAGCGTCTCCACTCCAAGCTGCCCCCAGGAGACAGAGCTCCTCACCCTATGAATTAGAGTGCACCCTGCCACCCTGCAAAGGAAACTCATTTCCGCCAATTTTATCCGAGATCTTGTCCTTTCGGTCATGACCCAAAGCTCAAGACCATGGGTGAGAGTAGGAATGCAGATTGACTGGTAAATCGAGAGCTTTGCCTTTCGGCTTCTTAACCACAACGGACCGATACATTGACCGCGTTACTGCTGCCGCTGCACTAATCCGCCTGTCAATCTCACGTTCCATCCTTCCCTCACTCGTAAACAAAAGCCCGAGATACTTAAACTCCTCCACCTGGGAGGGACTTTCCTCCAACTTGGAGTTAACAAACCACCTTTTTCTGGTGGAGCACCATGGCCTCGGACACAGAGGTGCTGATTCACCTCCCAGCCGCGTCACACTCTGCAGCAAACCTCCCCAAAGCATGATGGTCCATGTTCGATGAAGCCAACAGAACAACATCGTTTGCGAATAACAGATAAAATCCTGTCCTCGAACTAAAAAATATAAATATTCTGAACAGAATTGATGACAAAGGGCAACCCAGCCGAAGTCCAACAGTGAACCAAACCCCTGCTTTGTTAATACAGAGACCAGACAGCCCTTAACAGAGCGCCTCTGACCCCATACTCCCAGAGCACCTTCCACAATATGCCACGAGGATCCTGCGCTTTCTCCAAGTCCACAAAACACATGTGGACTGGTTGGGCAAACTCCCATGAACCCTCGAGCACCATGGTGAGGGTATAGAGTTGGTCCAGTTTACCAGGGCCTGGATGAAAACTGCATTGTTCCTCTTGTATCCTAGGTTCAATTACCGGCCGAATCTTTCTCTCCAGTACCCTGGCATAGGCTTTCCCCAGGAGGCTGAGGAGTGCTATAGCTATTCCTATAGCTGGAACACACCCTTCGGTCTCCCTTCTTAAAAATGGCAACCACTACTTCAGTTGCCCTCAGGTAATGTCCCCAACCTCCATGCAATATTGTAGAGATGTGTCAGCCAAGATAGCTCCACAATATCCACAGACCTGAGATACACAAGGTTAATCTCATCCACCCCCGCTGCTTTGCCATTGCGGCGCTTACAAACTATCTCAGTGACCTCAGCTTGGGTGATAGTTGAGTCCACACCTACATCCCTAATCTCTGCTTCCTCAATGAAAGACATGTCAGTGGGGTTGAGGAGATCCTCAAAGTATTCCTTCCACCATCCGACAACATCCCCAGTCGAGGTCAACAGCTCCATTTTTTTTTTTTATTATTTATCACCTTTAATGGATAGGACAGTAGAGAGTATTGACAGGAAAGAATGAGGAGCAAAGAGAAGGGAAGAATCGTCATAGGACCTCGAGGCGGGTATCGAACTTGGGTCGCCGTGAGCACAGGAGGAGTGCATGTGTCGACATATTACACTGATTTTTTTATTGTTTCCAAATTATATATGTGAACACAAAACTTAAACACAGTAATACACAAAAACTTAGAATACACAATATATAAAAATAAAACATGATCACTGTCGTCTGGCTTTAATCGATTAACGCAAACACAAGGAAACACACACCTCTTCAGCTCCTCCTCCAGTTCCTTCACTCTCTGGTCCACTTTAGTTTTGGACTGTTTTACCGATTCCAGCTCCTCCCGGAGAACCTCCTGTTCACTCGACAGCTCGTCCACTTTAGCAATCAGGTCATTCTTCACAATATTCAGGGCATTCCTATACACAGCAAAAATGACTGAGGTAAAACCAATGGACTCATATGTACATGTGCAATAATAAAACAAAACCTACTTGGTTTCCAGTAGCTGTTTATTCTCAGTCAGTAGATTTTCCACTTCTTTCCCCATTCCTGTAGAAATACACAGTGTTAGCAGAAGAAAGCATTCATTTTGTTTTTCAAATCTCAAACTAAGAGACAAACTGATTGAAAACGGCATCCTGATTGTTTGATATTACATCACATTGACTAAAAATTACAATAATTACTTCAACATCTATTATTACTGTAAATACATTTAGTAAAATCAGCTCAGCTCTTAATTTTGACAAAAGATTAAGCTTCTGATGTTTCATTTAAATCTACAATGTGAAAAATCACAGGCTAACTGACTTGATAAATAATGATTCGCATGAGCCGTAAAGCCTTGCATCTGAAAGCACAGCGCTGAGCAGCCGGAGTTAATAGGATTAGAAAAAGCAGAAGCACATCTCATCAAAGCACAGCTACAAATCAAGATGGAGTCATAATGTACAACTGACAGCAACACGAGGGGGGAAAGGAGGCTGTGAGCCTTACCAAAGAAATCATCCCGGACTGAAAAAGAGAGCCAAGGAGGAAACAGGGGAAAGCGGAGGCAGCCAAAAGACAGGAGGCATTAATGTGAAGAAAGATCAGATGATTAAGAGAAAATGATGAAGAAAAGAAGAAGATTAAGAGAAGAGAGAAAAAACAAATGGACAGGTACATGTTAGATATTTGTCATCACACATACAAATACACGCACACACATAAAAAAAAATTGTAGCTGTCTATACTACAAGTGTTTTTTCGAAGGAACACTTCACTCTTCTGTAAATATTCTCATTTTACAACTCCCTGAGAGTTAAATAGCTGAGTTTTACCATTTTTTTATTCATTCAGAAGATGATTTCCTTCACTTTTAGCTTAGCTTAGCATAAATCATTGAAACAGATTAGACCATTAGCATCTAGTTAAAAAAAGTTATAAGTTAATAATAATAATAATAAGATTTATAAGAGATAATTTTACTTATTAAAGCTTGACTTTTCTGTAGTTTCATTGTTTACAAAGACAACGATAGAAAATCAATAGTTATTATTTTCTAAGCTGTTAACTCTCATTCAAATGTAATAATCAAGAAATTGCTGATGTACCATGGCTGAAGCAGGAGTAATATTATTATATGTTACATATTACAATACTGTTTACTAGTAACCTAGCTGTTAACTTTTTTTGGCAAGATGCTAATGATCTAAAACAAGTTAAAAGTGCTCATGGCAGACCCGGAGATGAGCTGAATGGATTAGAAAATGATAAAACCCAACTGTTTAACTCTAGTGGAGTTGTAAAATGAGTGTTACTTTAAATATTGCAGACACTCAAAAAAAAAAAAGTTTCTACAAAGACTAAAACACATTAAAACGTATAACACTTTCTCCTCTAATTTAATCTTTATTTACGAATAAAAATGTATATTTTTTTTCAGCCCCACAAAAACCTTGTCAAAAAAACAGCCTTTATTTAAAACAGAAAGACCTGTAATGCTGTCACACCAGACGCGGAAGAAGAGTCAAGCATGAGTGATTTACATGTTAAGTCAATGCAAAGACGCGAATAAACATCCTGCGGCACTATACACTGGAATAGCGTGGTGCAAATTAAGCATTTTGCGCATTTGACGTGCTTAACGCGTGTTTCGGTCAAGTTCGAAAATCTAAACTTCAGAAAACATTCGCGCCACATTAACCAATAAGGAGATTGCTCGTGTGGGGGCGTGATTATGACTTAGTGCCTGTTGTTGGTGTCCTGGGGAAAATCCTCCTGCCCACACCGACAACAGTTTATCAAACTGGGCTCGGCTCAGTCAGAAGCACCGCTGAAAGCCTCCATCATCCAGGTTAAGTTTCTTGAGGAGTTTATGAGCTCACAGATCTGAGTGCACCTCTGAAAGGATCTAGTGGACTCAGACACAGCTCAAAATGAATCGACACTGTTTTTCAGCCTTCATAAAGCACATAAACACAGTTCTTGTCTCAATAAAATCCATGTTAGCCATTAAGCAACGAAGCTACAGTCACCGGGCAGACAGAAGCCCTGCCCATGACGCGAATCTGCATCTGTTCTGAAGCGTATTTGACGCGCGAATGAATCAGATTTTGACGCGCGAATGAGGCGGGTAAACTCAAATGTTCACGTGTTTATTTACATGCGAATAGCGCAATTTATCCACGCGTTACGCGTCTGGTGTGAACACAGCATTACAATGCAAATGCTGATACTTCTGATCAAATCTTTTCCTTTTTTTTAAATAAATCTTATGTAGCGCAGTGTTTGTTTTGTCCACAAGATGTCGCTGTGACACTGTTTTATTTAGGTATTTGGACGTTTCTTATGTTGTTTGAGCCTCTTGGCACACCGTAGTGTTGAATATGTGCGCAGTGCGCCTTAATTTCTTCAGTTTGTGTTATCAACACTGATAGGTAAGACGTGTTCATGATAGCAGGATCCTTATTTAAAATGCATCTTTGTTATTAATGCTCAAGAGTTCTTTTTACTGAGATATTCTGTGTACTAAATTGTAAGGAGCAAATGGAGAGTTGTATAGGGAGTTAAAAGGTTGTTTTATTTTTTATTTTTTGTGATAGAGTGATTGAGGGAGTGTGCGGCTCATGCAAAGCCATTGTGTTGCAGTAGTTAATAATAATGAATGTTTTGTGTTGATATTTGACTGAGTTTGTGTTATCAACACTGATAGGTGCCCTTCTGACAAATAAATGGTCGAGTCACGATCACGAACCTCTCTTTGCCTGCATCTCCAGTTTACCACCCCACAACACATACAACACAACGCAGAGTAGCAGCGGTGGTGCTAGAGGCCAGCGAGCACGCAGAGAGCGCGTGGGTTACACTTACATGACACAAACTGTTGAAAAGCAGTGTATTTTAAAGGGCACCTATTTGACCCCTTTTACAAGATCTAAGATAAGCCTTTGGTATCTCCAGAATGTGTCTGTAAAGTTTCAGCTAAAAATATCCATCAGATAATTTATTATACCCTCCAGAATCTGAGCATTATGGTGTTTGAGTACAGTGTAGCTGTTTTTGTAGCCTGTGGCTTTAAATGCAATTGAGCTGCTTCTTCCCGCAAACAGCTTGTATCAGCTTCTCATGCGCTACATCAGATAAACAGCAGTCAGTGATAGAGTCTGACATGGATGAAGCTGAAATCCAGCTCATTAGTCAAAAATATGTATTTATGTATTTGTGAAGTTTATTCAAGCCTTTCTGAAATGATGAGTCACACACGAATGCTGATTGCAGTATGCCCATGCGTGCTTACTGACAACATGTGGCTGTGGTGATTAAAGCGGTTAAGACTTACATAGCGATTTTACTATATATTACAAGCATATTCTGTTTTAAAAGTGTTTATAACTATTAAAAACTCACACAGAGTTGTAACATGTTTTAATCTCAGTTTCTTTGCAAAACAATGCTCTGTGGACATGTGTATACAAGTTATTTTTAGAAAATGGCGCCTGTCAATCAATTCGGAGGGTGGAGAAAAACACACTCCTACATCACATTGCGGTGGGCCTCAATGTGGGCCTATCCCTCATAGGAGGGATTAAGATCCTATTTTAACGTCAGGAAATAAATTTAAAAAAGAGACTTATTGTCTTTATATCACTCCATTATGACTGTGGACACACTATACCTACACACAGATCTGTCCAAACAGCTTACAGAAGTTGATTTTCATCATTGGTGCCCCATAACTTCAAAAATATATGGTAGAATATTTTTATTTGATATGTTTCTTAATTATAGTTTCAGGTGCTCTTTAAACGAACACAGTCTATGTTTATGTTAACGTTCAATCCATGCAAATGTCAAGAAGAGTTCAAAAAAATATATATTGAAAAATAAAAATACCAACCAATCAGTGATCAGATACACACCTGAGAACTCCCCTAGGGGCGTGGCCGAGAGAAGCACACACAGGAAGGAAGCACAGAGAGGGGTCAAGGGTCAGTGAGTGAGACGGCCAATCAAAAGAAAGATCCACCTTCACACTGAGATAAACAAATCAACAGCTCTACCTTGATAACGAAAACAGAACAAATCAGAAAGCCGCCAACATAAACAACAAAAAGTACCAAACAACAAAATGTGCTTAGGGGCAGGAGATACAGCCATGAAGAAGCAAGCATGGTATCCCAAGAGACCTTGCTTTGGGGATACGTCCAGCAGTGTGGGCTTCCTGACAAAAGGCATGCAGTTCAAAGTGCAATAAACAAGGCCCTTGACCACCATATGCTTAGCAATGGTACTTCAAATATAAAACAATAAAAATAATAATAATTAAAGTCTGTGTGAATTTTTAAATATATATATAATTATTTATTTTGCTAGCGCACACTGTTATTCTTTAGGTGAACAATTAATTTATGCAAGTTAATCTACCAAATTGTATTTTTTTGGGATCTTCAATCGAATCGTTTGTTTTTTTTCGTTCTGAGTGGGTGGTCTTTCTCTGATGATGTCAGTTTGATAGTAGGCTCGTTTAAGATGGCCAAAATCTGCACAGAACCGATCACCGTAAGATGCATGCCGGTTAGAAATGTGTCACAGTTGCGTCTGCCTCGCACTGATGTTATGATGCGACGCACTGATGCGCACTGACGCGACGGTGAGGTGTGTACCTCGGATTGAGCAGTCGGCTGCAGTTGCACTCCAATGACTGTGCTCACTAAAAGCATGATGGGAAATGACTGGCTGACGACACAGCTTAATGCTCATTGGATGAGAGACAAATTACACTATATTCTCTTGTTTTTACTAAGGTTAATATCTGGCTGTATACATTTTTTTAATTTTCGTTGATAATTAAAAAAGACAAAAATGCATACGTTTATTTATTTAGATTTGCATGCAAACAAAAACAAAACACATCTTTGTAAAAACATAATAAGACCTTATATAACAAAATTTTACAAATAAATAATTAGGATGTGCATGTGCTGTATTTTATTTCTCTCTTAATTTAAAGTCATGTTTGTTGTCTTTTTCACTTTGTATGTTTGTGTGAATTTTGTAGATTGTAATTTTCATTATTCCATAAAATTCAATCAAATAAAAGATGCATGCATACATAAGTTAAGTCAAAAGTTATGTTTAATAGACCAGAACATTTTCACAGTATTTCCCAGTCTAATAGTTTTTATTCTGGACAAAGTCTTAGGCTATATATATATATATACTGTATATATATAGTTTATATATCTATATCAGTTTATACAGGTGTAAAAAGCCTGTCAAAAAAAATCTCTGTTTGATGCTTTAACATATTTGATGCAATAACATTTTTCTTTAACTTCACAAGAGGGCTAATAATTGTGTCTTCAACTGTATGTCTCTATATACCTTTTAGAAAGAAATGAACTGAAATGACTATAGAAATTGACTGCTTTAATAAAATGCCAAATTCTAGGAACATTCCTAGAAAATCAAACAAATGAACAAACATTTGTCATGAATGTATTACAACTATAAACATAAACCAATTTTGAAAAAAAAAAAAACATGTATAAAAACACTATATTATTTACAATAAATTACCATAGTATTTTTTTCATGAGGTCATTTATTCGCGATAAAAAACGCAAACGGGATCTCCACCACTGGTGACGTTTCCAGGCGGCAAAACAGCGAGATTCTGGAAATGTCCGACTTCTGATGTACTTTTTGATCCCTCCTCTTACTACAGCCGCCTGCTCTCATCTAAATTGCAGTTAAGGTGAGGCGGACCTCAAACAAGCCTAGTTTCAGTCACAATATTCTTAACCACGCCCCTCTTATTGTTAGTTTGCTATAGAGGGAATGATGCACAAAAAAGAAAGCCCCACCCCCTACTCAATATTCCATTTCAGTTGGAAGTACATCAACCTACTGAAATAAAAGTCTCAGCAACTTACAATTCACACAGACTTTAAACTATTCAACATAAATGGAGGTTACATTTAAATATATATATATAGCCTGCATTTATGAAGAACTGTCAACCAACTGTTGATGTTCAAACATAATGAATGTTCAACCTGAGGTCATAATAAGAACTAGGATTCTTACCGAGAAGTTCCGCTCCTGCGTCCACATCACCAATGATGTCAGACTTGGCGTCTTTGATCTCATGATATAAAGAGTCAGTGTTGATGCCGAACGCTTCATTCACTATGCCCTGCGAAGGACTTCAAAAGGAACAAGAGCTTTTGTCATCATTTCCATTCAGCGCAAAGCTAGTATGAGTTCTGCTGAAGCCTTTAAACTGATTTTCTAAATCTAAATTGTGATCCTTTTGATGGACCTTTTGGTCTGATTTCGTATTTTGTACTGTTTTTAATTATGTGAATCACGTACCTGTTTCCTCCACCGAAGATTCTAGGGTCCAAGCACATATCTAGCTCTGGTGTGGAGTCTATTATTTCCTGAAACTCTGACCACTCATCACTACTGCCCATTCCTACAAAAACACCAAAAAGAAAGAGCATGCGATTAGGCCTGTCACAATATTATAACATTTAACCTCCTAGGACTTAGTGGCCACATACATGGACAGCAAATTTTAGCTCCTAATTGGCTATTTAAAATACTTTGAATGTTTTATATTTTGTAACAGACATACAGTGTCATCTTACAACTGTTTTGCAGCATCTGAAATGTCCCAAACACTATTTTTAACTGTTCAAAATTGGCAAAAAAATTTGTTTTTACTCTCTGATAGTCAAAACATGTTAAAAAAAGTTATATGTTACATATGCATTAAAAAACAGTCAGGAAAAAGTGTTTAATGTAAATTCAGACCACAAGTCCACATAAATGGACATTATTTTTCTCTAAAAGTACATCATATCAAAAGATGATTCTTAGGTTTTATTCTAATTAGGTTCCAATAAGCTCAAATACCAAAGAGAAATAAAAAATGCAAAAAGACAAACAAAACAAAAAGCAAAAAAACAAAACAAAACAAAAACACCTTGGGCCTTAAGTGGTTAATATACAGTTGAAGTCAGAATTATTAGCCCCTTTCTAATTTTTTTCTTCTTTTTTAAATATTTCCCAAATTATGCGTAACAGAGCAAGGACATTTTCACAGTATGTCTGATATTTTTTCTTTTGGAAAAAGTATTATTTGTTTTATTTCAGCTAGAATAAAAGCAGTTTTTAATTTTTTAAACACCATTTTAGGGACAAAATTATTAGCCCCTTTAAGCTATATTTTTACTCGATAATCTACGGAACAAACCATCGTTATACAATAACTTGTCTAATTACCCTAACCTGCCTAGTTAACCTAATTAACCTAGTTAAGCCTTTAAATGTCACTTTAAGCTGTATAGAAGTGTCTTGAAAAATATCTAGTCAAATATTATTTACTGTCATCATGACAGAGATAACATAAATCAGTTATTAGAAATGAGTTATTAAAACTATTATGTTTAGAAATATTGAAAAAATCTTCTCTCTGTTAAACAGAAATTGGGGAAAAAATAAACAAGCAGTCTAATAATTCAGAAGGGCTAAAAATTCTGACTTCAACTGTATATTGACTTATCGCCCAACACATGGACATGACCTCAATCATTTTTGGTGATGTGATATATAATCGCCCATACATAAAAACAATTTCTAGCAACACTTTAGCTGATTGCACAACATCTCTCTCTCTCTATTGCAGGTGTCAGTGTCAGTATGGTTAAAAAACATAATAGCATTTCCCATAAATGACTATAGTATATTTTTATGAGGGTGTCTGACAACTAAAAATACTGTAAATTCGCTTTGGATAAAAGCGTCTGCTAAATGACTCTGGCATTATTTAATGATGAGTGGCATAAAAAAGGTCTTAAAATTACAATAATATCATTCATCGCAATATATTTTGGTGCTATATTTTGTACAACAAAATGTATATTTTGACTGGCCTGCATGCGATCAAAAAACATAGAATATGGCCCAATCCCAATTCTACCCCTACCCCTTTACGTGAACGCGCAAAACAAGGGGTGAGAAAGGGGTGTCCCCATTCTCTTTAGCTTGAAGGCGTAGGGTTAAGGGGAAGGGCTAGATAGCCCTTAAAACTGAGATTTTTTAGGACCACACTCAAAACCAAGGGGTAAGAAAATTTCCCAGATTACAGCCACAATGGCAGCATGGATGCAAAAATTGGTATTTCTTGGTCATTATTACGAGTTTTTTCATCAAACAAGCACATGTTTTAATATACTCATAACTGCATTCATGTTTTACTGTCATGCTTTAAAAAAAAAAGCTAAAATAAAAAACGCACAATTTTTTAAAACCCTAATAATAACCCCTGTATATTAGTCCCCAAACATACTGACACTCGATGACACTCAAATACCCTGTCAGAAAAGTCTAGTGGCTGGGAATGTGCTTTTTACAGTGTCTGCTATTATATTAATGCTGTTTTTTGTGTTAACATAGATGAATATGGCCACTGTGTAAATGCACAGTATTACAATATTATTGCCACATTAGATTGTTATGTGTTCAGTGATTTACTGAAGATAAATACCAAAAAACAACATAACTGGAATAACTACAACAGTCGCCATGGTCAATCTTATATGAAGTAAGAGATGATGATGGCATATGAGGACATGTACAGGTGCTGTAGTGCTGTCGCATTTCTTAAGGGTAGATTTTGTAGCCTTTCCCCTTCACACTCTGTTTCAAGGGGCAAAGGGAAGGGGAAGAGGTACAAAAATAGAATTGGGATTGGGCCTATTTATTACTTTGCAAACACAATTGCTTTATTTTGAATTCAGATGGCAGAAAATATACTAGCAGGGCTGAAAAACATTCTTTGTCTTTTTAGCACAATCTATACAGTATAAAAGGATTGCTGAGCAAACTCAAAGACAGCACATCTTATTAATTAATTTGTTAACTCATCATTAGTATCAGCTTTTTTTTTTTACAATATATTTATTACTTTTTTCAAATTGCATATCACAACAGATTACACAATTACAGAATAATAATCATGAAGACACAGCAAACCTTTTACCCCCCATTCTCCCTCCCATCAACCCTTTCCCTTAAAATAATAAATAAATAAATAAATAAATAAACGATAAGAAAAAAAAGGATATGTTTAAATATGGTAAAGAGGGTTTCCTGAGTCTGTTTAGACCATGATACTTCCCATACTCCTAAGCTTGTTCTTGTTGTAGCAGACTGCCAACATTTACATTGTACTTGAGGAAGTTATTAAAAGGTCTCCAGATATCTTCAAACACATTTTGTTTCTTTTTGACAATGTACGTGATCTTTTCTATTAACATATGCGATGCTATTTCTTTAATCCACTTTCCTATTTTAGGTTCATTTATATTTTTCCAAGTAAGAGCTATAATACGTTTAGCTTGTATAATACACGTTTATGAATCTGACCTCTTTGCTTTGTTAGAGAGGGCTGACAGGATATGCAGAATAAAAATCTTAGGATCTAATAGTAATTTCTATGATGAAATTTGGTCAATTATTTCAATAACACCTTGCCAAAAGTGTTTAACTTTCACACATTCCCATATACAGTGATAAAGTGTTCCTCTCACCTCACTACACTTTATACAGGAATCTGGAATATTATCGTTAAACTTGTGCAATATAGCCGGAGTTATGTATGTTCGCGTGAACCATTTGTACCGTACGAGTTTCAGGCTACTATTGATTGTTTGTATCTGAGCTTTCTTACATGCCTTATTCTATTCCTCAAGAGATATTTCATCTTCTATATCTTCTTTCCATGAGTTTAGTTTTGATTCTGAGGATTCGTTAGAGCCAGATACGAACAATCCGTACAAAGAGGAGATTGAACCTTATTCATATCAGTGTCCTATGATTGCTGCCTCTAAAGACGAAATGTTAGGAATATCTAATGAATGATTTTGAGATGAGGATATAAAGCTTCTTAGTTTAAGATATTTTAAAAAAATGGGTCTTTGGAATGTCATTTTTTTTTTAAATTACTGCAAAGAACATAAATACTTCATCCTTATTGTACATATCTTGAACTTTCCTTAACCCTTTTTCAGCCCATATCTGAAATCCTGCATCCTTTTTTCCTGGTTTAAACTCAACATTACCCAAAATACGACTAAAACGTGAGTTGTCTGTGTTTTTTCTTAGATATTTGTAGTCCGAATATAGGTATAAGTGCAGTGGTATTTGTGGTGTAACAGAGCGGGATTCTAAATCCATCCAAGAAGGAGGACTTTCAGAAGAAAAATAATACATGATTGCACGCAGCTGAGCTGCCCAGTAATACCACTAAAAGTTTGGACATTTAAGTCCTCCTCGATCGAATGGTCTATGTAATAAAGTTAGACGTAGTCTGGGACGTTTATTTTGCCAAATAAAATTGGTAAACAGTTTCCTAATTCTAGTAAACAACGATGAGGGAGGGGGTTTAGGGATATTTTGAAACTAATAAAAAAATGTAGGGGGTATATTCATTTTTAGGATATTTATCCTGCCAATCATTGAGATGGGTAAAGAAGTTCCCATTATGCCCTTTGTACAAGATAAATTCTCAGGTGTCCCCAAAAAAGCAGCCTCAAGGTTTCAGCTCTAAATACCACATGACTCGTTTAACACATCATTCCGTGCTGTTTTTTGGTCAACACTAAAATATAGTTTTCATGAGTGTCTCTTTAAATGCAAATTAGCTGCTGCTTCTTGTCCCTGTCTGGAAAAGTGCTGTGCCTTTACAGCATGTGTCTCAAATACTCTGGTAATAACAAACAAAGAGGTGCAGCACGCTTTTAAAAAGCTGGCGAACAGACAACATACTGTGTGAATAATAAAACGAGTCAAGTTTGTCAAAATTAAACCAATTTACGTTATGTCTGTAACTAATTCCCTCACTTCCCATGCATATTTTGAGCATAAAGCATCTAGATTGATATGTCATTTTTATTGTTTACGTTCCACTTATTTATTATTCAGATCAATCAGTAATCAGCACTGTGTATACGTCATGTTTTTGTAATGGTGGTACAGCTCACCTGGAACCCATGGTGATACTAAAATAAGTACCAGCTACTTGGTATTGAACTCAGTTTAAGAGCCCACAAACGTCAGTGTAACTGAACAACATGGAACCGCTAGAGAGAATAACTCATTTTGGAGTAGACTTTTCAAACTCAAAAAGCAACACTACACAGCAAATGTTGTTTGAAAATGTAAAAAGCATAATAGGACCTCTTTAAAAACGGAGTTTCTTTTTTTTATTCAGTGTTTATGCTTTGACTCATTTCTTCTCATTCTCACCAATGCTGACGTTCCTGGTTTCCTGAGAGACCTGCACCTCCATGTTTCTACTGAGCCGCTTCCCAGTCCTGCGATCGCGTGCACGCCCGCGGGACGTGTCATACTCCCCCACTGACACCAGCCCATCGTTCAGGGGCGTAACAGTGGCTGAGGGAACAGATGAGGTGGGAGTGTTTGATTTGCTGCCTGTGCTGCTGGGTGTGGCTGCGACTGAGTCTGAATCTGAACCATCCTCCTAAAACACAGAGAACAGCATATCACACACACATAGCAATGCACATACAGAAATACAATTTAAACTTCAAATTTATCACTGGCTCTCTGGATTTGCCATCAGTAGGTTTGTATATTTAGTAAAAGTTTAATTTGCGTTTTATTTTAAAAACCAATGCCAGCTTGTCTTCAAATATTTAAAACTCCCATTGAAATTAAAAAGGATATACAATACATAATATGTTTCTGTCTGTTAGCTTTAAGGATATCTATTACCTAGTTTTGCTCTAAAATAGTGACAAAACTCGCATTTAGTAAATATATAACTGAATGATCTTGCAGTTTGTCACTTCCACCTATGTCAATCAAACGATTTTTTTCTTCAATCACCTCCTACTTCAGTTTCTCATAAAATCTCGACCGCTCTTTCATATCTGACATGCCCCGCCCCTTCAAGACGTTCTCATGACGTTGATGCGCTTGAGCTCAATCACTTTCCCTGGCAGAGCTGTGATGAAAACGAAACACTATTGGCGGTTTATTTTTAAAAGGGAGGAGCTACACAATGTCCCGCCCTTTCCATTTTTCAGCTGAGATTACATCAAGCGTCTAATAAAAAAATGCACATTTCAAAGCACTTTACAGGACATTTCAGATGATAACATTGTCATTTTCTGCACATAAATGATCTAAATGACAATGTATGACATAATATGTCTATATAAAGCATGGTATTGATGTTTTGGCATTTTCCACAACTGCTCTATGATTATATTCTAAATAAACACAGATATTAATGGCAAATCCAGAAAACCAATAAATACTCAAGTGTTCTGCTGTATTTAAATAAACATTCAGAATTAACCATATAAACTAGCCAATAAGACCTTAGAGGACCAGCTGTCTAAAAGGTGTGCTAAAAGTAAAAATGTGCTGCCATACGAAATCAAATAAGCAAGACAATTCCAAATGATCAAATATTTGCGCTACCACTATATCCTTTATTGTAATTTCAACCATGCGCATTTTGAGTATAAACCATCTAGATTTATACAAAACCTTTTATCGTTTACTATTGTTGATTTTCAACTTATTTAAATGTCCTTCTCTCTTCTTGTGTTGATATGTATGCTCTCACTCTTATTTGTCTTTAAGCCAGGCTCACACTACAGGAGTTTAAGGGCTTTATTTTTAGGATCTAGGCGCATAGTCTAAAGAGCAGGGCACAAAAAGCATTAAGGGTGAGTCTGAATCCACTTTTGCTATTTTAAGGATGGAAAAATACGCTCTGCGCCGCAGTGCATGGTCTAACAGGGTTGTGCTTATTCTCTTAATGAGTTAAGGGGGTGTTTTGATCATAACGTGCATGAAACCAATCAGAGTCTCATCTCTCATTCCCTTTAAGAGTCAGCTGTGTCGTGCCATGGCACATTTGCTATTTCACTAACGAGAAAACAATTAAACAGAGCATCTGCAGCGCAAGGATAAAGAATGAGCCTCCTCCATTCAGCCTCTTAACTTTACTTTTACTCTTTACTTTACTCCTTTACTTTTGTGGATAAGGAAACGGTGTTGTACACACTCCACTACAGACATCCAATAGCCTACATATTTAATTTCATTTGTTAAGCGCAAAGACTTGATTGAAAACTATTTCTAAATTCAGTTCTAATTTCCAGCAAAAAAAATAAATGAACAATAATAATGAAGTGTGGGCAAAAAACACACACGTCCTATTCTTATGACCCATATAGTGATGCAGACGTCTCCAAAACCCAACAGATCGACAAATCTAAACTAGCTTTTATTAAAACAAATATAAATATGCATATAATAAATAATACTGCTAATAATACTGTCATGAATAACCTGAAGAAAGCCCCCCGAGGTGAAAAAGGCATGTGGTTTTTATATTTATGTAGAAAATAATAATTTTTGTAAAATTTTAATCCTTTAATTTTTTTCATATGTAAACATTTTTGAGTGTTGCTGTACATCCTGTGTGTATTAAGCGTTTGATCCTGCAAATGTGCATAACTAACGCGCTCTGCACTGGACTTTAGAGCAGCTTTTACTTGGTCAACGGCACAGTCTTTTTCAGTTTCTCAGAATAGAAACGCGCCAACAATGTGCCTTAACACACCTCCTTTACAGATTGGCACACCCAATCCACAAAGTGCGCAAATTAATTTCCTATTTAAACAGCGCGGCGCAAAACGTGAAAATTAGGGTTGCGTTGGTCTGAAAATAGCAACAAATCATGCAAAACACGTCTTCCGCCTTTTTGCGCAGGGTGTATGATAGGGCCCTAAGTCAGTTTAATCCCCAATTTATCCTTCTCGACATCTAAAAAAAATACATCTCTAGTTATGATTTTCAGCCTAAATTATGTAGAAATTGAATAAAAATTATGCAAAAATTATATAAAAATAAAACTGGATTAAAGCCAATGGATGTCAAAGCACTACAAATCTGTTGGGAAGTGGAAATGGAGAAACGAAAACAATATGACTTCCTCTATGTGCCAAAAAACTGCTGAACTTCGGTACGCAAAAAACAGAAGCACTTTTAGAAACCTCTATGCCTTTTTTTCTTTTACATTCTTTTAAAACCTCCTGTAACACACTTTAGTCATTTTATTCATTGTTTTAATTCTCCTATACTAGTCTCTTTTGTTCCTGTTTATGTAAAGCCCTTTGAATTACCATTGTGTATGAAATGTGCTAAATAAATAAACTTGCTTTGTCTCTAATCCTACAAGCAAGCAAATGTAAATATTAGCAGCTCATCTGAGTGAGAAATGCTCCCTCTATTATGATAACATGATCTTGAAGTTTGGCATGTTTGATATTCAAAGGAAGAAAATCTGAGAAGATTCTTCTAATAAGCATAATCTAACCAGATTAAACTCCTGCAAGATAAACCCAGCTTTAGACCAACATTTCTACAAGCTGAAAAGCAACATAAAAGATTTAAAACCCGTCAAACAGCACAACAGTTTTTTACTCTTGTGACTTGAGTCATTTAGAAAGCAGGAAGTGAAGAATCACACTATTTCTCTTCCTTCAAAGAACAGATGTTTAGCTTTGTGTGCAGAGCTGACAGATGCTTGATGTGGGACTCTGTAAATCAGACACATCTGTTCGTTTCAGATGGTTAAACTAAGATAGAACGAGGAGAGCAACGAAGATGAACAAAATTCATGGAGCCCCTAGAGGCCTGCTGGTGTCCACTGAATCCACCACCCATGAACCTGATCGTGACAAGCAGGCATGAGGGGGGAGTGGCAGACAGAATGGTGATTAGCATGACTCCTCCCACTTGGGCAGAGTCATATCTGTCACACCTGGTAGCCAGGGGCGTAGACAGGCCTGCTGAGATCGCTGGAGTGCCAGATGTCTGACGAAACCATTCTAGCCCCCCCAGGACCCCCACGTACCATGCCATCTCCACCAGGATACAAACTCAGTGACGGAGGCCGCTCTGTTTTACTGCAAACACAATAAAATAGACATAAAATGTAAAGCATTTCCCACTAAACCAACATTAGCACATAAAATGAGCAAAGCAAATCCGACATACAGGGTGAATACATACAAACAAAACCACTTAGGAGAAAGAGGTAGAGGTTTTTCAGTCTCTGACACTATGACTGCTATAGGGTGGATGGAAAGAGGGTTCATTTCTTTTACTTTTGAGAAATTAAAGGCACAATATGTAACATTTTATCATTACAATATCCAAAAAGCTCTAGGACAGTATTATACAGTATAAACTTCTGTACTTATGTTATCGCCAAAGTTTCAAAGAAATTTCCAAGTCATTTAAACTAGTGTGAAATATCTGCGTGACTACACTAATGATACAAACAGCCTTTATTTCTTATTTGGTTTAATAGAAAGGTCTCAAACTCAATTCCTGGAGGGCCACAGGTCTACACAGTTTAGCCTCTACTTCCTCCGACAGACATCAACATGGGGCGCCAGCATCAACACTTCCCATTCATTCTGAAAGAGTGACGTCAAGCATTGTCAAACTGAATTGTGGCCACTGAGGAAGTCGGGAATTTCTCAACTTTTTTAAAGTGCCAACGGAAGCGGCAGCCAATCAGATCACTTTTTATGCAAATACCTCAGCTCAGACAGTAACCAGCTGTGTTCTAATTTCATTGGCTGATGACGCTATGCAATTGCATCAACCACAACTTCAGTCTGACGCTGAAGCTCAGTGTGAATCAGGCATTGTAGTCTCTAGTAGTCTTGAACACCTTGATTAGTTGGATCCGCTGTGTTTGATAAGGGCTGGAACAGAACTGTGCAGAGCTGTGGCCCTCCAGGCATTAAGTATGAGACCTATGGTTTAATAGAAAAGAGGGAAACCCAAAAGATGCTTTAACATGTTGTGTTTTATTAGGCCCGGTACCAACCAATCTGACTGCAAACAACTAGTGCCGACAAAACACAACAGTGTTGTTGCCTCACGTTAGGTTCCATCTGGATGAAAAAGCTGCCTGTGAACGCACCAATCGGACAGCAGTCGACTGAAACAAGAGTGCGCATTCTGCGCCTGCACAAGAGGACGTCTATCCACACCCATAGGTGGCAGTAGTGTTATTTCGTTCACAACAGAATAACTAGAATTTCTGACGTGCTTATGCAAAACGGAAACAAAGCAGCGTTCAGTAGCATTACCAGATTTATTGTCAGTCACCATGAGGGGATTTCCTTGAGAAAATGTATCTGATAATTAGGGCCAGAAAGAATCTGCAGACATTTTTTGCTATTTCTGCAGAAAATTTTGTTAAAAATCTGAAAATTTATGCGGAACGATTGTGGGAGCATCAAAATTAAACAATTAATATATGAAGTTAAAATTACCTTATTAAACTTTTATTTAATATTTAAAATGCAAATCCAATTACACACCCTTTATTTGGTAAACAAAGCAAGTCTCTCATATAATATATCTACTAAAAGTCAGAAAATTTTACTTTACAAACTATATTGTGAATGAATCATATGAACATTTTCATTTAAGTCAATAATATTGCTAAATTAATTTAAAAACTAAATAAATATAAATTTACACACAAGTAAATAAACAATCAATGATGGGCTAAAAATTTGTGGAATTCTGCGCGCGCAGCTTCCATGTGGGCCTACTGATAATCTAATAATCCATATCGTGTGCAAATATTTGAGAAATGTAGCAAATTTGCAGCCAGACTCTTTGTGATTCTTCTTGGCTTGATTGTTAACTCATTACTTCACTACGTCACACTCGCACTCTGATTCATTGATGATTCTAAAAGCTGAATTTGGCTGCTACTGGAACACACCAAACCAACTAGCTGGAACAACGCTGACCAACAAAGCCCAACGGCTGACTGTTGGCTCTTGTTTTACTTCATTAGCTTTCTATTTTCCAAACGCGAGGTGCAACACATCCTTTCCTTTCCTTGACTTTTTATATCACTAGGCAACGACTGAATCAGCTGTGTATTGTGCGCGAGTGTTGCTGTTGATATTGTTATAATTGTAATATTTGATAATATTGCAAAATTCGTGATTTGTGAAGTCATACAGCTCCAGAAAACTCGAAACAGCGACCACTAGTCTCTCCTGCACCTTCAAAATTCTCTGTAGTCATAGGCCCCGTTTACACTGTCAGGTCTTGATGCCCAACTCTGATTGTTGCCTACATCTGATTTTTTTGTCTGTCTGTTTACATGTTCTTTTTAATTGTGACTCATATCCAATTCATGTGTTTACACTTGCCACACAATTAACAATGCCGTGCATGCATAAGACGGGTTCTAGCATCTGTGCCACACTAGCCACGATGGAAGAAATTGTCTTGTTTTTAGCTCTGCGAAATATGCAAAGTGTAGTGTGTATAAGCAGTGAATAGTTTAGTCCAGATTTACCCCCACGCAGTTTATGTAATGGTATGGCCCTGATATGTGTGTGTGTGTGTGTGTGGTTGGAAGATGTAGCCTTTGCTTGAGTGCGCACTGGTGTTGGAGAGAATAGTTGTTCTATGTAGCCCGTAGTGCGTGTATTAATAGCGACAAAAAGCAAACATTACAACACGAAGTTCGCCCAACTTTAAAATGATTTTGAGGCAGAGGAGGTGGGAAAGGGCCGTCATCACAGCTTGCACTTATGGTTTATATGCTTTATGATGTCCTCCACCATTCATAGAAATTTGTGGGTATGAAAGAGATCTCAGGTCTGGTGGCAAATTATGGCGACTGGCCACTTTCCTCCTCTGTGTTTCGTCTGTTATTGTTATTTACCGCATTGGTATCGCCACACACGCTCTTATATGTCAATAAACAGCAGAGAAGCACCACATTGTCGCAATTTTAAAAATGTACAGAACGGAATGCCTCAATACATCCAATCTGCCTGTTTACATGACAGTCGCGTTGTCACATATCCCATCTATATCTGATTTATTTCCACGTATGAAGGAGGCCTGAAACTGATCTTTCCGAATGCATGCGTTTTTTTATGTTTACATGGCCATAAAACAGATCCGAACTGTGTCACATATGAGCAAAAAAATCGGAATTGGGTCACATTTAACTGGCAGAGTAAACGGGGCCATATTGACAACACAAACACTGCAGGCACCTCAATGGAAACCCCACCTTTGCTTTCATTTGATTGATTGAAAAGACGCGACTGCCATATCATGCTTTTTTTTTTGCAGGAGTCCTGTAGGATAAAATGAAGAACACTGCCATGACTCCACATTCATTCACTGTGTCAGCAAAATACATTTTTGTTTGTTTTGAATACACGCCCTCTAGTGGCAAACATTACATACTGTGCCTTTTAATAGGAGATAATGAGACTACTGGGATACACAGGCGTATTTTACCTTTTCCTCCAGTTGTGTCGTTGACTGCAGAGACACACACAGCGGCACACGTACATGAATAAAGAAAGAAAGAGACAAAAATAATGTGAACATACACACACTTACAAACATGGTCACACAATACTTACACAGGACGTAACGTCACATTACAGTATGCAAAAAAAAAAAAAAAACTCAATGAATTCAACAAATTGAAAACATGACAAAATCAAAAACAGCTTGACTATCATGATGGGTGATTATGCAACCCACAATTTCAGAAAGCACACACTGCGTCACATTTTTAATACATTTTAACAGAAATCAGAAGATAGGAGAAGATACACCTAAAAATATTTTAAAACTCTATAGGTTTTAAATGAACAATAATAATAATAATAAAAATAATAATAATAACCATAATAATAATAACAATAATAATAACAATAATCAACTGTAGAAATAATAATAATAATAATAACAAAATAATAATAATAATAATAACAATAACAATAATGATGATGAAATAATAATAACAAAAATAATAGTAATAATAATAATAATAACAATAATGATAATAATAATAATAACAACAATAATAATAACAACAATAATAATAATAATGACAACAACAACAACATTAATAACATTAATAATGAAAGCAATAAACGAATGCAAGAAAAAAGCTATAAAAAAACTCAATAAATGTACCAGAATCATGTTGCACTGCTTACTTCAACCTTAATTACCTTTTGCACAATATTAGTCCTTAAATACCTTTTTTTGCACAATATCCTGCACAACGTTGTTCAGTGTTGCCTGGTTATGTCCAAAAATCTATTTATTTTTATTAAACCATAAGAATAACCATATTTTATCCATACTCTACAGAAGAGAAAATATCTCGTTTATAGTTACTATATACTTTACAGTTAGTATAGTAGCTTATAGTTACTAGTCCTATTGGATTGCGACCCCTGGGGTAATTATATTATATTAAAGACACAGCATAAGCGTCAGATGCAGCAGATTGAATTTATAACACGAGGTTAAACTTTCTGGCCCATTTACAGGCACTGATAAACATTTGAAAAATTAAACGAAAGTTTGTGTTAATGTTATTGTTTGCATGCAATGTTTCTGTATTTATAACCACCTCAGAAGATATTGGGGGTCACTGGCATTAATATTTTGGGGGTCGTGGACTGAAGAAGTTTGGGATCCCCTGATGTAAAAGTACTTGTTTAGCCCGTCTTATGTGTAGAGTTTAAGTATTTTATTTTATAGTATATGTTCGTTATGCATTGTTTTTGTTTTTTTAAATAGCTCTGATGTCCAGTGTTGTGTTTGTATTCATGAATAATCTATGTAGCACCGTTGTCCTGTAAGACACGACATTTCGTTCCTCTGTATGTCCACGCATGTAGCGGAATGACAATAAAGCTCGACTTGACCCAATAATAATAACAATCAACAACAACATCTCTCTCACAACTCTCTACCAAAATTGCTTAACTGGTTGTAATTGAGTCTGTTTAAATGGAAATAGAAACGTGTGAAATTTATGTGATAATCCAGTGTGACTAAAAGCCAGCCACAACATTAGCTCTGACTAAGCAAGACATGACAGTCTGTCATTGAGCATCATCACCCAGTGCTTAGCAACGCTGTCTCCAAGACAACTGTTCTCATAATGGGCCATTTTGTACCAACAAAAATCTAAAGCAACTGACACATACATCAAAACAGCAACTCACAGTTATAACGTATATGAGCAATAACCTTGTAGATCAACACTGAAAAGACCTAATTGAAATTTTTTCTAACTGGTTAGCCATGACATATTACTTATAAGTCACAAGTGTCCATTTTTTGAAGTTTATACATTATGAAATCTGTAAAAAACAAGTTTACATTGATGTTTGGTTGAGCGACAAGGTGGCGCAGTGGTTAGCACTATCACCTAAGAGCAAGAAGGTCGCTGGTTTGAGTCCCGGCTGCATGAGTTGGCATTTCTGTGTGGAGTTTGCATGTTCTCCTCGTGTTCGCGTGGGTTTCCTCCAGATGCTCCGGTTTCCCCCACAGTCCAAACACATGCGCTATAGGTGAATTGGGTAAGCTAAATTGGCCGAAGTGTATGTGTGTAAACGGGTGTTTTCCAGTACTGGGTTGCAACTGGAAGGGCATCCGCGGTATGAAACAAATGCTGGATAAGTTTTGCTGTGGCGACCCCGACGAATAAAAGGACTCAGCTGAAGGAAAATGAATGAATGATGTTTGGTTTGTTAGGATGGGACAATATTTTTTGAGGGTTAAAATGATCTAAATATTGAGAAAATCACCTTTAAATTTGTCCAAATTAAGAAATGAATATTAATAATGAAAAAGTTAGTTCTCGTATATTTATGGCACTAAATACTCAAAATTATGCAATATGCACCACTGTTCTTGAAATAACAATTGCCGAGAAAAATGCAATTTTTATTAGCTATGTTTTAAACCCATTAATTTATTAAGTGATAATAAAAGACGCAGGTAATTAAATATATTTTTTCCAGAGTTAATTAATTCGAATTCAGACTAAAAAACTGTGTCATGGTGCAAACATTTAGTCTTTAAAACACAATGAATGAGTGAAAACCTCAGCAGATATTCTTAATCTAATTGACCCTTTGCTAAGCCCCGCCCTCCTTAGTTACTGTTGTTACTGTCAAGCTTTCGTGCCTGGCACGTCTATTACAATATGTATGCGATGGTGTCAGATATTCCCATGGATATAAATAGTCATTTTTGGCAAACAGGTGAGATTTCTGAGAAAGCCAGACAAAAAAGGACTGCAGTATGCATTACAGGGGTATATTCATGACATAGGCAAACGATTAGAAAATAAATTGATCAAAATTGAAGCTAGGTTAGCCAAGCCGCCTCATTTGCTAACAGCTTAGTTCATGCACAGCAGGAGAGGTGAAATTTTAAATAATCTAATAATAACTAATTAAACTGTGATTTCTCTTTTTTTTAACCAAAAAGCCAGATAGATTAATTGTTGTGCAATGAAATATAGCGTTACTAACCGACGAGGAAACACGCATGGACAGTGCTTCTACATAATTAATTCATAGAAAGAACAGCCAGAAAGGCGAAATTGCTGGAATTTTGTGCCAAAATTCCATCATTTATCCATAGCAATGTACAGTAGCTATAACATGTTTGTGTATGTTTGTGTGCTCTTTATACAGTTTCTATTCTAATTTGCAGTTAAGTGGAAAAATAAATCCATTGAAATGCAAATCAAGGTATAAATAGCAGAAGTGAACAGATAGATTTTCCCTACCAGCAAATATTAATCCGACACCAAATATAAAAGCAGACACTAACCCCCTAAAACATCATCACCCATGACTAAATCTCCAAAAGACTAATGAAAACATCGGTAAATTGCAGCTCTGACATGGCCATGAGGGTTATAAATGACTGAAAAACAGCTGCGGGTGAAGTATATTGATCGCAAGTGCTCAGATTGTGATCACATCTCAGGTTTTGTTCTGTTGATATGTAATTTCAAATATTTGTAGCTCGAAACAGATGGAAATATGACAGAAATTAGTACGACTACTATTGTGAGGGCTTAAACGGAACAGTGCTCATAATATTGACCTTATTCTAAAATGCGGAAGTGTGGCTGTTTTCGCGATTGTCTTTGAACTTCCGATTCAGTCGCCTATGGGAGAAATGACTAGGAATAATAAACGGCAGAAAACGGTCAAACTACTTGCTCTACAAACAAATGTTTGCATGACTATACAGACCATGTAGAATAATATAATAAGGAAATATCAGTTTGCAACATCAAACAGCGAAACGAGCAGTTTTTAATGTATAAAAATGAATGGAAGTGAATGAGACCGGAAGTCTCGAGCCAAAAAGATTCAAATGGCAGCGCCCGCTTGTCGGCGAAGAATAAGGTGAATAGAGCGAAAAAAGACAGCTGGGAAACATAACCTGCTTTGTATTTTTGTGGGAAACACAGTTTAGATCTTTTTATCACTAAATGTGTCAGGTATATCAAAAACAAAACTAACTCAAGCCCGCTCTTTTATCGTCCCTCACAGAGCTCGATCCATGCTGGCATTTCTCCTCTTGGGTTTTAAGCTTCAAAAAGGGAAACAAATTCCACCCCCTGTCCAAAATTTTAGGATACAGTGTATCAGATTTGCACAATCCACTTGCACAGTGCTTTGGCTTGTTTCCCTTGCTCAAAAGCTAGATAGACATCTCGTGCGTAGCTACAGTTGCTAAGCAGCGATTGGTGTGTGTGGCGGTTTTCTTGTGTGGCTTAGCAAAGGGTCAATTGGCTGTTGTCATTTTGCTTTCTTGTTTTGACTCTCACTATTGGTATTTATTTTCACTATTACTGTTATATTTCACTTAATATCCTAATGATTTTTGGCCTATCAGATCATTTTCACTCATACTATGTATTGTTGGCCATTCCAACAAATACACCCATGCAAATGTAGACCATTTCAATGTGGTCATGTCATTGGCCCATGAACATTTCCTGCTTGTTACCAAACTATTTCCTAACTGTGACAAGAGGCAATTCAATCATAACGTAATGTTAAAACAGCCATCATAACATTATTTATCAATAAGTGGATTCTTGAAAAAGCTATCAAAGTTTAAAATGTAATACAGGAAATATTTTAAGACCAATGTTATCGTTTACATCCATCAAAATCAGGAGTCACCAATCTCGTTCCTGTAGGGCCGGTGTCCCTGCAGGGTTTAGCTCCAACTTGCCTCGACACACCTGCCTGGGTGTTTCAAGTATACCCAGTAAGACCTTGATTAGCTTGTTCAGGTGTGTTTGATTAGGGTTGGAGCTAAAATCTGCAGGACACCGGCCCTCCAGGAACAAGATTGGTGACCCCTGATCAAAACGGTCCATACCCATGATTTCGAGCTCCAAGGTCACGTATGCACAATCCAAACTTTTCATTAGGCACAGGATTGGAATGGCTAGATCAAACTGGTTATAAGAGTTACTCACGACCGTCCGCAGCCTGTGGATTCAGACTGGTTGCTGCCTGACTGCTGCAACTTTGAGCGTTCAATGTGTTCCACATATGTCTGAATCATCTGGAGGAAAATAAAATCAAAATATTAGTGTTGAGGACATTTTGGAGATTGAGAGTTTTGTATTTTTAACTTCTGATTTTTGTTATAGTGTCCCTACACCTTAAGACCAGTTAACGTACATTAATTTGCCTTGTAAATAAAAAAAAATTATCATACACACACACAAAGCAATTTCAACAGACAAAAGAACACATTAACAACTTCATTCAAAGAAAAATTAACTCTCCCTAAATTTCTATTTCCATGTTTTCCACGTCTGTAGAAAGAACCCGTTTGTAAAGTTCTGACCCTGTGTGTTGTGTTTTACCAAAGACCCTTCAAGGCAAGTCATTTCACTCAGCAGCCAACATTTAAACCCAGCTCGGGCGGTCTGTTTGAATAAGGAAACATCAAATTCTCCCAAAATAGCTTGCCAAGCTTACGATTAAATTTCATATTAGGAATAACCAGTGAAATGAAACAACAACTGTCTCTTTAGTTTCATTTCTTAACCTTCGAATAGCATAAAATCTGCAGAAACTCCCATCTGATCCGAGCCCTTCCACTGGAGAATTGTCGGTCTGAATCGATTGATGTTCGGCTCCTGTACTAGAAGGCGGAGCTTCATTCGCCATATTGACTGTTACACGCTTCCCTATTCAAAACTATATGAGTGACACGTCTTGTGTATTCTAGAGTCTTTGGTTTTACTGACCTCCGTGTGGCGCTGGTGAAGGGCATTATACTCTTTCTTCATGTCTGATTCTCGCTCTTCCAGACGCGAGACTATAAAACAGGAATAGTCACATATGGATGGTGTAAGATCCCAAAACCTCTGTTAGTGTCTACTTATGTGTGTGATGAATTTGACACTCACTCTGGTCAGCATAGTTCTTGGACTTCAGCTCCAGTTGCTTTGCTTGCAGCTCCAAAGTCTCCACTGTGGTTTGCAGATCTTTCTTGTCCGCCTCCAAGGCATCTTCAAACTCGATGAACTTCTGTTAAAACACATTCAGATGCACACACACAGCAGGTCAGATCCCTCATCTAACAAGAGACGGGTGGATGGTCTTACAAGGGAGGGAGGGAGGGAGGGATGCACAGACAGACAGAAAGAACATACATATAGATAGAATGATAGATAGACAGATAGACAGACGGACGGACGGATAGACAGGTATAGACAGACATACCCATAAAGATATATGGACAAAAAGAATAAGAAACAGATAGACAAAATATACAGATATATATACACAGTGCATTCACAGCGCTTCACTTTTTCCGTCAGCCTTCTTCCAAAATGAATTAAATTCATTTATTTCCTCAAAATTCTACACACAATAGCCCATAATGACAATGTGAAAAAAGATTTTATGAAATTGTTGCAAATTTATTAAAAATAAAAACCTGAAAGATGGAATGTACATAAGTACTCACAGCCTTTGCTCAATGCATAGATGATGCCCCTTTGGCAGCAATTACAGTCTCAAGTCTTTTTGAATATGATGCCACAAGCTTGGCACACCTGTCTTTGGGAATTTTTGCCCATTCCTCCTTGCAGTACCTCTCAAGCTCTCTCAGGATGGATGGGAAGCGATGGTGTGCGGCCATTTTCAGATCTCTCCAAAGATGACTAATAGGATTTAGGTCTGAGCTCTGGCTGAGCCACTCGAGGACATTCACGCAGTTTATGTGAAGCCACTCTATTGATATTTTGGCGGTGTGCTTTGGGTCATTGTGCTGCTGGAAGATGAACCATCGCCCCAGTCTGAAGTCAAGAGCACTCTGAAGCAAGTTTTCATTCAAGATGTCTCTGAACATTGCTGCATTCATCTTTCCCTCTATCCTGACTAGTCTTCCAGTTCCTGCTGCTGAAAAACATCCCCACAGCATGATGCAGCCACCACCATGCTTTACTGTAGGGATGGTATTAGCCTGGTGATGAGCGCTGCCTGGTGGTTTTCTCCAAATGTAAGGCCTGGCACTCACTCCAAAGTGTTTAATTTTAGTCTCATCAGAGCAGAGAATTTTGTTTCTTATGGTCTGATAGTCCTTAGGATGCCTTTTGGCAAATTCCAGGTGGGGAGTGTCTTCTGTCTGGCCACTCTACCATACAGGCCTGATTGGTGGATTGCTGCACAGATGGTTGTCCTTCTCTAAGGTTCTCCTCTCTCCACAGAAGAACATTGGAGCTCAGACATAGTGACCATCAGGTTATTGATCACGTCCCCGACTAAGGTCTTTCTCCCCCTATCACACAACTTAGATGGCCGGCCAGCTCAAGGAAGAGTCAAGGTGGTTCCAAACATCTTCCACTTTCGGATGATGGAGGCCACTGTGCTCATTGGAACTTTCAGATTTCACAATTCACAAAAACGTGTGTGTGTGTGTGTGTGTGTGTATGTATGTATAGCTGACTCTCCATATCTATAACCAGATTATGAAGCAGAACATCACAAGGTCAAAGTAGCATTTGGAGAAGGGATTGTTCTTCGAATACAATACAGTCACATTTACACACGCACACACACACACACACACACACAGACACAGACACACATTCACCCGGGAACATCACACACTCACAAGTGCAGTGTGTGGTGACTTTGAGCTGCAAGGATTTAAAAGTGGAACATAATAGGCTCTTTCTGCAGTGCAGCCCAGCCACAAACATCCTCCTGGAATTCAGTAATCCCAGAACTGCAAAGAGGGGGAAAAAACAACACACTCTAACACTATAAACCCAAATCACCCTTCAATAAAAACATCACACTAGGTCAATCATGTCCTTCGAATGACAGCGTTGACTTAAAGCCAATTCTAGAGTACTACATATACTATATAATTGGGATTTTATAATAGATTTAACAAAGATTTTCGTAAAAAGTAACCCCACAATGCTAATTCTTGCCAAAACGTGGCATATAACAAGATCCATCCTTAACTGCATTTTAGCAACAACAGTCATTAAAGGGGAAACGTTTTATTTCTGCATCACAATACCAACAACGAGAATTCACAAAAATAATGAGCGTTACCAAACAGATTTATATATCTCTTACAAAAAATCAGGGCTGCACAATATATAAAAATATTTGTAAGCATATATATATATATATATGCTTACAAATATATAAAATATATATACATATATATACATATATAAAATATATGAGTATATATATATATATATATATATATATATATATATATATATATATATATATATATATATATATATATATAACTGTTCTGTCTGGTTCTCAAATCTGACTGGCTGGAAGCCAGACGATATTCCCGTTATAACAGCACTCGTTAAGCCTCTTCACCCTTGTGTATTACTCCGTTCACATAGAGTGACAGCAGATCAATAAACTCACAACAGTTTGACAAATATTGCAGCTGTTTTACAACAAAATGTACTTTATAGGCTTTTTGAGGTGAGAATGTAGTTTTTTAGATTGCAGCTATGCAGTTTTTATCTAAGGACAGTATCTAAGGACAGAGTCCAATTCTCTCTTATGTGTTTTGTAAGGCTGCATTTATACCATAGTAATCTGCTAGTGTTTTTTCAGGGCTAATTATAGTACTGGGAATTGTCTCTAGATTGAGATGGCATTTCATGCTGTTCAGCCTTATAATCTTAAAATGTGAGCAAGATTACCTGTTTTGTCATCACTTTAGACATTACACTAGAGAATCAATTTGATTGTTGGTCGTTTTGGATTGTGTCTGAAGATGGGGCTGATGTGATCATCATAGCGTGCCATCAGCCAATGAAACAAGTTCACAATAAGCTACTGTCTGAGCTGGGGAATTTGCATAAAGCGATCTGATTGGTGCTTGAAAAGTTGAGAAATTCCCAACTTCTGCAGCAAGTAATGCCGCTTAAGCGGCGCCGACGGACCCACAATTCAGCTCGGCAATGCTTGATGTCACCCATTCAAAGGTCATGGGAATGGGGCAAGTCCATGCAAAGACAGGAACAGACATCCTGCCGCGTGATATGCCGGATGAGGCGGCGCAAATTACGCAATTCGCGTAAATGAAGCAGCACAACTTGAGCATTTTGCACAATCAACACGCTTAACGCGCAAATCTCTCGAATTGGAAAATCTGAACTTCACCGAACAATCGCATCGCATTAACCAATCAGGAGCTTTTCTTATGTAGGGTGTGATTATGACATAGCACCTGTTGTTGGTGTCCTGGGGAAAAATCCTCTTGCAGACACCAGATAGTAGTTCATCAAACTGAGCTCGGCTCAGTCGGAAGCACCTCTGAAAGCTTCTATTATCTAGGTACAGTTTCTGGAGAAGATGATGAACTCGTAAGGCTGGGTGCACCTCTGAAAGGATATTGTGGACTTATGCACGGCTCCAAACAAATCGATGCGGTTTATCAGCCTTCATAAAGCACATAAACAAAGCTATTCTCTCAATAAAATCCATGTTAGCCATTTAGCAACAAAGCTAGAGTCACCGGTCAGACAGAAGCCCTGCCTATGACGTGAATTGTGAGGTGAATTTGACGCGCAAATGAAGCGAGTAAACTCAAAATGTTCACGTGTCTATTTAAATACGAATATCGTGATTTATTTGGGCGTTCTGCATCTGGTGTGAACACAGCATAAGGCACTCTGCCTGCTCCTCGAGCCAACACACACAGAGCCGATATACTGTCATATCACACTGCTACACCACTTTTTGGGTGTGCATGACCTCTGAAAAACTTTTCTGCACTTCAAGCAATGGAATTATTTACATGTCAATCTCTGGACATGATGGTTTTCAAAAATCTGCAACAATTTTAGTATCAATGCTGAAATACTGCATGTCCAATGCAATCAAGGCAGTGTCAGTTTTCCTGATTGTTCCTTGATGTTCTCAGGTTGATGAAATTATGCAAGTAGACAAATATGTTTAAAGGAGAGCAGAGTGTATTTTTTTAAGCTTGATTTTGTTTATAAGATGCAAAGCAATGTGTGCTCAAGCTTCATTTGTAGAAAATCATGTTATTTTTTCATATATCTTACTTTGATTATATACAGCTACTCTGCTAACATGAAAACGACTGTCATATTTCCTAGTTCCTCTAAAAGGCCCGCCCTCAAGAGGCTTTGATTGGTCAGCTAACATAATGTGCTGTGATTCGCAGATCAGCTCCACGTCACCAGGAAAAGAGTCACGCCTCTACTAGAATGCACTTTGCCATTGTGTAAATACTGTCAGGAGTATCAGCTTGAACCTGAATCAGACAGAAAATAAAGAGCACACAGCTAAACCTCACGCGTGCTTTCTAAAATAAGTAATATGAAACGTTCAAATATCTTTTGCAATTTTGTTATTTGAGAGTGTAAAACGTCCGCATCGAGAGACACTGCAGCGCTGCTAAGGATTGTGGATGTTTACAGCGGTTTGACGGATAAATATGAAATTGTAGCTAAATTGCTAATGGTGGTAAACAGCATTTCTCGTTGTTTACATCCTTGTTTACGTCCTCTCTACAACATATGCATGCATTATCTTCAAGTCGGATGTATTAGAAAGATGTGAATATTAAGCAAAAAAAATAACTTTCAAAAGAAAGTCATATGTATGCTTTTATATCGTTCACAGATTTAATTAAAAATGTCTATATAACTACACACTGCAAATAAACTATCATTCTAAACTATAATTGTGCATGCTAATCATACAAAATTAGACATTCTGACTTCTATCATGATTGCGAAGCTGTACGCTGTTTAACATGCAGATTGTGTTAGTATGGTCCATATGAGAGGAAGGCAGTAAGATGGACGTTCTTAATGTGGCCATTAAAGTCTACTGCCATAATCCCAGAGGATGCGAAACTGGAGAATGCTGTTTTCTCTCTCTCTTTGCATCCCTCTCTCGTTCTGTGCTCCCTGTCTGTCTTCTAACATGAGAATCAGGTTACAGCGGATGCCAGCCTTCTTCTATGAGAACATTGATTACCCATAATCACCCTCCCT